TATAGGAAGTGCTAGTGGTATAATGACATGATGGAGGATGTCCCATACAAATAATCTAATTTTACAACCACAGGACGAATATATGGTCATCATAAAGCGTTGTATAAGATAAGTTCACCAGGGTTGCAACAGACCCTCACAATGCTGTTGATGTCATACACTGAAAAATAAAATAATGCTTCTTTCCCCGGTATGGCAGGGTGCGATTTCGGGTTTTTCAGTACCTGCACAGAGTGCAACCTGGCTTATAGGTTTGGTATGATGACATGACGTAGGATGTGGTAGTGACGACATGGTACAGGAAGTGCTAGTGGTATAATGGATGTAGGATGTGGTAGTGACGATGTGGTAGTGACGACATGGTATAGGAAGTGCTAGTGGTATAATGACATGATGTAGGATGTGGTAGTGACGACATGGTATAGGAAGTGCTAGTGGTATAATGACATGATGTAGGATGTGGTAGTGACGACATGGTATAGGAAGTGCTAGTGGTATAATGACATGATGTAGGATGTGGTAGTGACGACATGGTATAGGAAGTGCTAGTGGTATATGACATGATGTAGGATGTGGTAGTGACGACATGGTATAGGAAGTGCTAGTGGTATAATGACATGATGTAGGATGTGGTATTGACGACATGGTATAGGAAGTGCTAGTGGTATAATGATGACATGATGTAGGATGTGGTAGTGACGACATGGTACAGGAAGTGCTAGTGGTATAATGACATGATGTAGGATGTGGTAGTGACGACATGGTATAGGAAGTGCTAGTGGTATAATGACATGATGTAGGATGTGGTAGTGACGACATGGTATAGGAAGTGCTAGTGGTATAATGACATGATGTAGGATGTGGTAGTGACGACATGGTACAGGAAGTGCTAGTGGTATAATGACATGATGTAGGATGTGGTAGTGACGACATGGTATAGGAAGTGCTAGTGGTATGATGACATGATGTAGGATGTGGTAGTGACGACATGGTATAGGAAGTGCTAGTGGTATAATGACATGATGTAGGATGTGGTAGTGACGACATGGTATAGGAAGTGCTAGTGGTATAATGACATGATGTAGGATGTCCCAGTGACAAACATAATCTAATTTACAACCACAGGACGTGGTAGTATGGTCATCATAAAGGAAGTATAGTGATATAATGACATGATGTGGGATGTGCAACAGACCCTCACATGGTATAGGATGTCTAGTATACTGACATGATGTAAAATGTGGTAGTGACGACTTGGTATAGGAATGGCTAGTGGTGCGATGACATGATGTAGGATGTTTTAGTGACCTGCACAGAGTGCAACCTGACATATAAGTTTGGTGGTATAATGACATGATGTAGGATGTGGTAGTGACGACATGGTACAGGAAGTGCTAGTGGTATAATGACATGATGTAGGATGTGGTAGTGACGACATGGTATAGGAAGTGCTAGTGGTATAATGACATGATGTAGGATGTGGTAGTGACGACATGGTACAGGAAGTGCTAGTGGAATAATGACATGATGTAGGATGTGGTAGTGACGACATGGTATAGGAAGTGCTAGTGGTATAATGACATGATGTAGGATGTGGTAGTGACGACATGGTATAGGAAGTGCTAGTGGTATAATGACATGATGTAGGATGTGGTAGTGACGACATGGTATAGGAAGTGCTAGTGGTATAATGACATGATGTAGGATGTGGTAGTGACGACATGGTATAGGAAGTGCTAGTGGTATAATGACATGATGTAGGATGTGGTAGTGACGACATGGTATAGGAAGTGCTAGTGGAATAATGACATGATGGAGGATGTCCCATACAAATAATCTAATTTTACAACCACAGGACGAATATATGGTCATCATAAAGCGTTGTATAAGATAAGTTCACCAGGGTTGCAACAGACCCTCTCAATGCTGTTGATGTCATACACTGAAAAATAAAATAATGCTTCTTTCCCCGGTATGGCAGGGTGCGATTTCGGGTTTTTCAGTACCTGCACCGAGTGCAACCTGGCTTATAGGTTTGGCTACACCATCAAACTTTTGGTTGCACCATAAAATAATGTCACTGGTTCTAAAAATAACATAAATTCTTGTTTAGCAGTTTTCATAACAAGTACTCAGTATCAGATACAGTCCACAGAACCTGATTTCATGACGATAAATCAGACATCCGACAACCGACATCCGACATGTAATCAAACATTCAGTCTGCTAACATGTGGCATACGGTTCCTGACATGCTTACGGTATTGTAATTAAAGGCATGTTTGTCGTGTAGTGTCTGTTATATAACAGGTTCCATTGGACGTTGTAGCAGTGAAACATATATGAACAGGTCGACCTGTGGAACTATTCACAGGGTAATGTTTAACGTAAAACCCAAGTTGATTCTACGAAAGCTGTGACGTGCTTAATGCTGTGGTATTGCTGAAAGCCGGTGTGTGAATGTTTACTCACCAGAACAACGACAACGTGCACTTCAGTATGCTCTTGTGTCCAACATGTATCCTATTGTATATTGTATGCGCTGAAGCTCTGATAGGAGATACATTCTGGCCCAGAACATTTACCAGGTCCACTCTTCCAAGAGTGTTGGAAAATATTTAATGGTCTACAATTGTGTATTCTGTGACACCTAAACTATCCTTATCTTCGTGCACACGCGCACACATATCCACACACGCACAAACTCTCTCTCTCTCTCTCTCACACACACACACACACACACACACACACACGTACGCGCAAAGTATAACAGTACAACACACTGATTATGACAGTACTGGAAGTGGACAGCTCTGGCGAATGAGCAGGAAGTTGTCGGAGTCAGTGTAGAAGTTGTCACAGGGGTCTTAACACTACATGTATATATAATATTGATAGGGTGTTAAGATCACGTCAGTGACAGTATATCATGACATCTTTATGCCATTTTTTCTGCGTTACAAGCCTCTCTGGAGGTTGTATCATGGCTGTCCGCAGACGTTCTCGGTCTGGTACCCACAAACAATAGTGCTGAATACCAGCACCCATCCTCGACGTCTCATTACGCACCACTGAAGTTGCTCCCCGCAACAATCTAGCCAAACACCCCAAACAATCCTGAGTGAGTTTCGTCCGTTAGGATACACAGTGCAGTTCCTTCCCGCTCTTCCTGCCCAGTTCATACCGAAATCGTAAAGAAAGACTCATTAGCCTGTTTGTTGCTTGTGCTGAGAACAAACATGGACAGCCCTGTGAAAGGGAATGGAAACAATTTCGAACACGTGATGTATTTAATCGAGTTTTTGTATGGAAGCACCTGTCATTACACAGTTAAGAGATGTGAGTGAACGGTCTTCGCTGCTGGCTGTTGGTTGATTGAGTCTTGCACATGCCCGGATGTAACACGGGGAGATGACACACCTCTACTTCCGGTCTTTTTCAGTAAGACAATGAGAAATGCTAAAACACAGGATTGTTACCAGAATATCATCTTTGATAAGACGATATATGTTCTACAGACAGAACCTTCGACTTATTGATAATAATGTGTACATGCCTGATGGCCTAATACAGTTCCTATGTACGCCCAGACTCTGGACACAGGAAAGGTTTTCCTTCACTGCGTGTTAATACTTTAAACTTTCCTGGCGCTTTCGTACAGAAGGCGTGAACCAATACAATATGTACCTGTATCTCTTGATACTTGGCATGTGTTAGATCGGGATAGTTGAGCCTGTACTCCAATATACAGGGAAGAATGTGAATGCCTAGCTCTGACTGTGAATCGACTGCCTTGTTTTATATTAATTCCTCTGTGTCATCTAACAGGGAACAATTGAATAGATTGTGAAACGACTGACATACTAACATCAACCATTGCAGGCACCGTGGCAAGTGGAATTCTTTCAATTAAAGTCGTAGATGTTATGCATGCTTTACTATACAATTAACAACTGTTTCTATGACCGTAAAGACACCATTTATTGTATTCCCTTATGACAGTAGTTCATTATACGCATTTCAACTAAAATACCAAGCAAGTGGACGGGATAAAGAAACCAACAGTTATATCCGTCAGTTCGTTACAAATGTATTTTACTATAATGTCAAAATTAGTGATTTACTCAATTCCTGTCTTAAGAATAATAATTAGTCCATTTATATTGCGCTAAATCCACACCGCCAGCATGCTCATAGCGCGGACAATTATTACTCCAGATAACCCGCACTGCTTGCCTGTGAGGCGCTAGAGGGTTATATATAGTCACATGACTTATCCCACCGGATACCCATTTTCTGCTGGGTGAACAGAGGCAATTATGAACAAACTCACTTGCCTAAGATGAGACCAAATGCATCACATGTGCTTCTTGTTAAATATACCAACAAATGTTTACCACTTATTATTGAGAAATGAATGCTATAATAGATTAGTATTGTAATGGTACTAACACTTCATTATTCCGGGTGCCAAAGAAAGGTATCAGATGTATATAGAACAACTGTAGTTTTCTGTTGAACTCGAAAAGAGTACAAACAAATCATCCCTTCCCGGCACAAACCACTATGCTGCCGTTATCAGTCTGTGAGAGAAAGTCTGGAGTTCCGACCGCAGCCAAATCACTACACGCATGAATGGATTCACAAATTGTAATTAGGGGAGAATTAACCTACGTCCTCATAATCTAACGAAAATAGTCAATAGATAACCCATAACCCCCATTCATCCTTGAGTACACCATCGTTCCATATGTGAGTGAGTGAATATGGTGTTACGCCGCTTTTAGCAATGTTGCAGCAATATCGCGGCGGGGGACACCAGAAATGGTCTTCACACACTGTATCCATGTGATGAATCGAACTCGGTTCTTCGGCGTGACGAGCGAACGTTTTAACCACTAGCTACCCTACCGCCCCGCGTTACATATGTACATCCTGTTTATTCAAAACACTTATAGGTGTACTTGTTCCATTGTTAATTGTGTTTTTGTTGATTTAAGGAGCGTTCCTGGCCCCATATTTCTCGGTCCTGCTTCTGGGAGCTATGCCGGTGTTTCTCATGGAGATGTGTATGGGTCAGTTCAACAGACAAGGGCCTATTACTGTGTGGAAAATATCGCCCATGTTTAAAGGTAAGTGTGCAAGGAGCATCACTGGTTGGTTGGTTGGTTGTTGTTGTTCAACGCCACAATCAGCAGTATTCCAGCTATATTGCGGCGGTCTGTAAATAATCTAGTCTGTACCAGACAATCCAGTGATCAACAGCCTGAGGCAATGAATATTAACCATAACAGTCAAGTTGTTTTGTTGCGACTTGTATATACTCGAGCCTGACCAGAAGAAGAGTGATCGATATCATGAGCAACGTCCTACGTCGACGTCAGCAGGTACACGTCATGACGTCACTGAGCCTGACCTTCAGATCCATTACGTGGCATTTAGGGAAAGTACGGTTTGGTTTGGATCTACCCTACTAAAAGAAAGGAACAGAATCCTCAAAACTTTCATATGGATGTTGAAAATACGTTGAATATACGTTGAATATCCATAAGAAATCTTACCAAATCGTTGTTATCCTTCTGAACAAAGGATTTCACTTGTGATGTTCACTGACGTGTATTTGTACAGCACCATTTGGAACCAGAGATAAACAGGGCCCCGTTTCACAAAGCTCTCGTAAGCCTTAGATCTCGTAAACTTTCTCGTAGCATTGTTTTATATGGAAGTACTAGAAGCCTCGTAATTTTAAGATCTCGTAACAATGCGACAATTCGTACAACGATTTTCGAAGCTTCTAGCGCTAAGATAGTCGAAAGTTAATGTTAATGTATGGCACTTACGACTATCTTAGCGCTAAGCGTCCAAAAATCTAGGCCCTGGACATGAGGAGGTACGAATGCTACGAGGATGAGATTTTAAGCTTACGAGAGCTTTGTTTTTCAACCGCCATCAGTGGTTATAGGAGTTTGGGATGTTTATGTTCTTCTTCATAGTATGGTTCTTTTTGGCATATAATGTATATTTAGGAGATAAACATACTGTGTTGGAAAATCAGAGGTATATAACGAAATTATAATAGCTCTAAATTTGATATAAAACCGAACGTGATTATTACCTCTGAATGACTTTAATTAACCAACCACAATCCAGTATTTACTGAAGTCATGGAAGAATTATATTTATGTTTGTCATTTTTAAACCTAAAACATTAATAAATCAATGTCTGTATATATGTATTATGGAAAGGCAACTAAGTTTGACAGAGTTTGCCTACTTCCAATGACCATTATGTAAGTAAAGTAGCCTATGGTTAAAAACCGAGAGTAGACGTAATTGCTTCTGCACCTGCACAGGTGCCTGGGCCGCAATATCTAGGGTAGTAACAGATAGTTGCATCCGCTCTGTTTTATAACTTATTTGTAAGTCAGTCAGTACTTTCAAGATAAATCATCCTCAAAAACAATACCCATTTACCTCAACTTACTGGGAAAGGCGTAGTAGTTGCCGTGATAGTAGTAGAAGTTGGCGTATAGTAGTTGCAGAAATAGGATTTGTGATAGTGGTAGTAGATACAGGGATCATTGTAGTTGAGGGAGACAAAGGGAGTAATATCAGTAGTTGTAGTGTTAGAACATGTAGTAGCAGATGTTGCAGTAGATGTTGTAGTGTGAGAACAGCAACGTTAGCCCGTGTGAGCCATTCTTCATACCCCGCAGCGTTTACGTGGTTACATCAACAGGTTAGGCACTAAAATAGGTCGCCACAACCTTCCAAGTCGTAACACAGCACTGATGTTACGATATTTAGGATACATGTTTAAAAAGTCCAATCACATACCAAAGAGTGTTTATGACGTGATGTGAAGATTTTAGCAAGTGGTTCTTTGCTATGTCTCAGCAACCGCGCATACACCTATAACGAGCACGACGGTTATAACGAGCTCAAAGGGACCAGTAATTTTAGTTCGTTATAACCGTAGTTACACTCATTTCAACTAACATGTACAGCCAGTGTTGGCCCCAAACACTTCGTTATATCCGTCAAATCGTTCAAAGCGTGTTCATTATCAACATAGTTGCTGTATTTCAGTATGTGACACGACGTATTACTCTGTCTCACAGTCTTTGAACCAAATTTTTCCTTCCGCGCAGCCCTTTCTGCAAAGGAAGCAAGTCTAGATTTCCACGGGCTGGACCTCCTTTTCAGTTTAAAAGACATAATTTGTTTCTATCAACGAAAAAAAGGGAAAAAAAGATTCTGTGTCTACGCTGCGTATCAGTTTCAAGCCAACATACACACATGGTAGAAATTTACAAACCACAAACATGCCGTGGCACAAGGAATACATGGATTGTATTTGGCAGAAATCAGGTACATATGATCATCGGATTACAGCACTACCAAGGCACGCAATTCTTCAAAGGTAGCTGTGTCGCATTATATAATTGGGCCGCCAAATGCTTTATGTTCTCCATCTGACTTCAGGTATAGGTTTTGCCTCCTGTTTCATGGCCTACATCGTTGCCTTCTACTACAACATCATCATCGGCTGGAGCTTCTTCTACCTGTTCTCCTCCTTCACGTGGACGCTGCCCTGGACGACCTGCAACAACGCCTGGAACAGCCGCGACTGCTGGGAAGTCGAGTGGGCCAATAACGAAACCCACAACAACAGGACCTACAACGATAACACATCCGTCTCGTCCACCATGGAGTTCTTTGAGTAAGTGTGATATTGTATATATCTACCTGAGTAAAAACGTTGTATTGTGTGCCCGTTATATAATACCCACCTTATCAAGGCATCCCACAATGATCCCCTGTGGGGGGTCGAACACGGATTATTTCGATGAGGCAACGCTTTAACCTCCAGGCTACTCCAGCCCTCTTCTACAGAGGTATCTTTGTTTCACTTCATGTGGAATGAGATGCCAGATTGACCATTTTTAGATAATCCTAAAACCTAAGTGTCTTTGCCAAATTCGGGCATATCGATTGTGCCTAAAGTTTACTAAGCCTTATTGATATGCATACAGAAACAGACCAGCAAGGTGAGGGTCAGTTGGCGCCCATCGGGATGCCTACTTATTGCCAAAATATATAACATATGTTATATTTGGGATTACACTTTCTTTGTAAAGTACAGATTCTAGTACTTTTGATGGGTTGAGACCCATCCGGGATTCGAACCCACACCCTCAGAGTCAGGCTCCTAATCGCCAGCACACAAAGTCAGACGCCTAGACCGCTCAGCCACCGCGACTCTGAGGGTGTGGGTTCGAATCCCGGATGGGACTCAACCCAACAAAAGTACTAGAATCTGTACTTTACAAAGAAAGTGTAATCCCACATATAACATATGTTACATTTGGCCACTTTCTAAAATGGCATTGTGTACATAAAAAAATATATAACCCTTAATTCAAATAGAAGTTCCCTTTGAGGAAGAGTATCAAATTCACATTTTTTTTCTCGGTAAACTTTAGATGATATATACTAATGCCAATAATGGTTGTCACCCCCTTCAATTTTTTTATTTGGAGAGTGTGTGTGTGTGGGTGGGGGGGACAACCATTATTGGCATGAGTATATTTTGTTTGTATAATCTTTACTGAACTGACTGACTGAATATGGTTTTACGCCGCTTTTAGCAATATTCTAGCAATATCACGGCGGGGGACACCAGAAATGGGCTTCACACATTGTACCCATGTGGGGAATCGAACCCGGGTCTTCGGCGTGACGAGCGATTGATTTAACCACTAGGCTACCCCACCGCCCCATCTTTACTGAAGCACGACACAGGGTATAGAGGTTCCCTAAAGTATTAGTATTTTAAACTGTCAGTATTCTGTTTTATTTTGTACAAGTTTGTTTATGCTTGTGGAAAAGTTTGCAGAAAGATTCAACTCGTGAAGATCCGGGTTAGAATTGGTCTTCAGTAACCCATGCTTGTCGTAAGAGGCGACTGGGAACAGGTGGTCAGACTCACTGACTTGGTTGACACATGACATCGTGTCCCAATTGCGTAGATCTGTACTTATGCTGTTGATCACTGGCTTGTCTGGTCCAGACTCGATTATTTACAGATCTCCGCCATATAGTTGGAATATTGCTGAGTGCGGCGTTAAACAACAAACCAACTGTTTCACAGGAGACTCAATGGCAATTTAATGTTCTGGTTAAACAAGTTTGTTAATTAAAGGACGACGTCGATCGATACCCAACGACAGGAACACCTCAAGTATCACGTGACCATTCTGCACAGGACACCAGAAGTATGACTACCAATTAGAACTAATGTGTAAAAACACCTTCCTTGCACTCAAGATAATGTAAGCTTCGTTTTAGGACGAAGCAGCGCTTGGAATGAGCGCTCGATGAATACCTTTAACAGGTGAAGAAAAGATGCACTATAACCTCTACAACGTGTAATACAAGCTATTCCGCATTTAGCAGGGCAATGGATCATCATTAAAGTCATAATACAATCCCACATTCATAAGAGACTGACTCGGTTGAATTTTTGTGTTTCGTTAGGTGTTATGTATGACAAGCGGAAGTTCCAACATTCTATTCGCCCAATTAACACTGTTCGTAACAGTAACTTGTTTGTGATAAAGAAATGTCTTGACGTCCAGTGATGCTGTGTGTTTGTGAGGATGCCAGACTGAGTAATGGAATTCCATCTTTCTTTGTTAAACAATGTGCTTGTTTGCAAGAGGCTTGCTGACATGCACACCCCAGGAGTTAAACAACTGCAGAACTCTGAAGTCAGTTGTGATGGATGAGGAAGTAGCCATTCACTTGGTGAAAGATGCTGATTCTGCTATCGGGAAACAATTAACATGGCGTCTGTCACCACAAAATTACAAGGACAAAGTGGATTCTTTAGATCATACAGACATGTTGCAGGGCAGGACTGCTTACTGCTTACCCTTACCGCGAACACCTGGTGTCATCACTGACTGCCGGTGATCCATTCGTATTATTTTCACACATTATTTCCTTTACACCGACCGGAATTTGTTTTTGAGGATTGTCAAGACTGGGTGTTCTTTTGCACTGACGTTCTATATTTTTCGTTTTCAGTGATGAGTGAGTGAGTCAGTGAATTGGTTTTACGCCGTCTTTACCAATATTCCAGTAATATCACGGCGGGGACACCAGAAATGGGCTTCATACATAGTACCCATGTGGGGAATCGAACCCGGGTCTTCGGCGTGACGAGCCAACGCTTTAACCACTAGGCTACCGCACCGCCCCTTTTCAGTGATGAAAGAACATATCAAAATTTGTAAGTAAGATTCATCGACTGCATTAAAGATGAATGGCCCGTACTCTGACTTTACTAGGTATTACGGTCATTAATCACGACCCCGGGTGAGAATATCGCCCCCAGCAACCCACATTGTTCGCAAGATGTGCCTAAGTGGATCGTGTGGCCAGGGTCAGTGACGTGGTTGAGTTCACGTCATCGGACCAGTTATGTGGATGGGCGCTCATGATGTCGATCACTGGTTTTCTTGTACAAATGTATATAACTCAAGACTTGATTACTAACAGAAGCCCTCATATATAATCATAGGAATAATTATCTTGTCAGTCTGGTCGCAACAACGTTGTACAACACAGGGACATATATATTCCATCATTGGGAGTAGGGGCATGGTGTCCTTAATTGTTTAGTGAATGTCAAATATAACGCTGGAAGTTCTATTTCCACACATAAGGTACCAGTTACTCGCTGTCTACGAAACACTTTTCCACTCATATTCTCCGCATTCTGTCACCATGTCATAACAGGATATATATATACATGTAATCTGATGTACAAGAGAAAGAACACGCTTGTTTGGGATTATTTCCCCAAAAATACACTTTTACCATTTAGCTACCCCACCGCCCTAAATGTTTAAAGAGTTCCCTTGGCCGGTTTCGGTCTCTCCCCACCGCTAACACACAGGCAACCCGGGTATTATTTCTGAAACTCATATCTGGTGTCCCCCGCCATGATATTGCTGGAATAATGCAAAAAGCGGCCTAAAACCCTATTCACTCATTCACTACGTTTTGTTGGGGCGTATATATTACCATCTCCTTTACTTTAATGAAAAACATTCATGTATGTTTCACAGTCACAATAAAATCCATTATATTTTAGGTTTGGCTTTTCAGAGAAATAATGTTCGCTAACTTTGAGTGCTTTACGGTCATCAGTGAATCACATTTAGAGGTATCAAGACACTGTTGATTCATTAGAAAGTTTCCCCTACGTCGACAGAGCTTTACTACTATCGTGTACTATCACTACAGCAATGGCCAGTTGAGCTTCCTCAACAGGGTGTCTGGAACCCTGCCATGTTTGTTTTGTACAAGTAGTGATAAGGTACTACTGGTGATAACCAGAAAGTGTAGAAAAACACATGGTAGTGTCTTGGTGACCTAGTTTAGAATCCGTGAAGGGATAGAGTTAGTGTTCAGCAACACATGCTTGTGGCGACTAACGGAACCGGGTGGTCAGGCTCGCTGACTTGGTTGACATATGTCATCGGTTCCCAATTGCGGACATCGATGCTGATGATGTTCATCACTGGCTTGTACAGACTCGACTATTTACAGACCACCACCGTATAGTTGGAACAAACAAACAAACAACCTAGTTTAGTTATCACCAGTAGAAGCATAAAATCACTGGATTGCCTGGTCCTGATTCGATTATGTACAGACTGCATTCGTTTTGCTGAGAGCGGCAGTTAACCAAACAGTACCCATCATCATATCACATAATAAAAGTATCACAGGCACATATTTGTACCAAAGCTGAATTCAGGGGTCGGCGACTATCTTTGAACCAATCGTTTTCATTCAGTTCCACATGGCGACGCGTTCAGGAGCTGCTCCTTCTGTGCTCATACATGTCATTTTGTTCTATCAATGTTTTACATAATTTACTACATGTCCTTCTGCGGTGCGAATATGTTAACAGTCATATGCAAAACTTCAAATGAAATGAAATAGAAATAAATATATGACGTGGTGTATTTTAGGCTGAAATCAGTGATTCACATGCCTGCATTACGATAAACACGTCATCTTACTCGATGTAACTCTGTAAAACCAATTGAAGACAACAGTTTATTAGCCAGTAATTAGCACGTCCATTAGAGAGTTGTAGTCTCAATTAAATACAAATCGTCCGGTCCAACGAGTACAGAAATGTACATTTATCCATCAAAACTGTTTTCCACTGGAGAATATATATATTGCTTGTGCGAGATCAAACGACAGTAGATTTTGTACAATGCCCTGATATCATCAATTACATGACTCACAATTATTAGACATCATAAACTTGATAACGTCATGACATCGCTGCAGTTCAGATCTAATGGCAGTACCGTGTTCAAAGATTTTTCATTGAAAATTGAGTGATTTTTGGTGATAGATAGAATCTCACCCTAGTGTCTACTGATATCAATTTTATCAACACTCGTTGATAAAAGTAAACATATATTTGTAACTCTATAAACGAGTGTTGATATAATAGATATCAGTAGACACTTAGGTGAGATTCTCTATATGTACACTTGCAAATTGCCACGTGATATCTGCAATACATGCGTGGCTATCGAAGGCTATTTATTCTGCTGACGTCTATAAATAGAACTAAACGCAATCTTACCAAGTGTTCACCATGACTTGATACTACGAATAGAGTTATACATTTGATATAAACATCCTGGTCATATAACAGAGTGGTTATATCGCTTCCTGGTCACATAGTGGACTGGTCACATAGCGTCCCTTTTCTCCCAACAGACGGGGTGTACTGAACCTTCACAAGAGTTCCGGTATAGATGACCTCGGTCCAGTGAGATGGCAGCTGGCACTGTGTACTCTACTGACCTTCACCCTCCTTTACTTCTGTCTCTGGAAGGGAGTGAAAAGTACAGGCAAGGTACGTACTGTTTTTCTCAAGAATGTCAATTTGACTAAATTATGAGAACAGTTGTATATCTTTCTGTCAATACATATAATAAACGGTAAAATATTTGACATGTCCTTTTTCATCCTTTTATTTCCTTTCTAAGATGCAAAAGATTGTCATTAACTATTTCAATACTTATGGAATTTATTACATGTATAGCTCCGAGCCGACACACCGTGCCTAATGTTGACGTAGGCGGGGTAACAACAAGTACCATGTTTAAAGTATTACAGAAAATAGAGGCCGGGGAATCTGACAGCAATGTCCACTATTCCACCGAAGCGGCTGTTAATAAGAACAAAGTATTTGTATTGTAAAATCAGTAAGTTAAGGCACGTTTTTGAATTCAATACATGTTTTAACAGTGAAAATTCCGTCGATGGAAGGTATCATATGATCGTAACAGTCTTAATATGTAGTTATGTTTATGAAGAAAACTGAGTCATATAACAGTATATTCACTCACATATAATGAAATGTAGGTTCTTGTAAATAGAACGCCTGACGTCTGTTCGACAACAATGCAAACGTCCCTTTAACTAAATATATCTACAGTTTGTAAATAGGACGTTTCTTACAAAGTGAGTGTGTGAATCTTTTTAATCGTCTCAGGCAGCAGTATTCCATGCAGCTATTGCACAGCATCCTGTAATGAACTGGACCAAACAAACCAGTGATCAATATAGGAAAAACCCAACATCGTCAGATGAAGATGAAGCACTGGCGCTCAGGTCATCTCCAGTATCACTCAGTCCTTATTTCACTGTTATCTAACGACATGCACGAAAGGGGACTTATTACCATCTGACTGAGTCGACGTTATTAAACGTGAAAATGTCTCAAAGAAACCATCAATGCCATAAAGGGCGTTGATGACGTTATCAGCCACGACACATGTTGAACATGCGGTTTCCGTCATGTCGATTCTCTCGACAGCCATGAGGTTCTGGAAACCTTATCGGGATCTCCTAGTGGATTTAGATACAAGCACATAAGACATTCAATCACTAAATACCATTGAAATATCACTAATCCTGCAATGTCATAAGAAAATCAGTATAAAAAATATAAACAATTTATAACAAACTCAGACAAGAAATTATAAGATTTTCTTTATTGAACAAGCAAGTAAGTAAGATAAAGCATAGAAGAACACGTCTATTTACTTCCCAATATAATAATATATAACATATTTAAGAATCACATTCTTTGTACTTTATTAGCCTTAAACCCGAACTAATACGCTACCTACCGACTTGGGATTATTAAAATGGAAATTTCACATTAAAATAAACGTTAAATCTGTCTTGAGTAAGGGGACATGTAGTATTGCAAAAAAAGTGTAAATAAAGAGCAGATACAGTCGCTCTGTCGAAACAGATTCCAAAAGGCCTAGACAAGAAAGTGGTGAAAATCAAGCGAATAGATCAATGAAAAGTAGTGATAGAGGTTCATATACACATGTTCATGACAACTTGGGAATGGTAAAGTCAACACTGCTATTAGCAGGGATGTGTCGCCTTTATATGCAGACTTGGTTCTTCAGTTATGAAAGACATTTTGATAACATACCAATGGTTGTCAGTAGTTGATCAATAGTTTTGCTTGTTTCATGTGTTTTACCGTTCATCACATCCACGTATAGGACAGCAGCTTCCATTACCTAGCAATTTCCACTCAGAAGGAATACGATGTATAAACATCCACACATTTTAACATCATTCGATGACGTATACATCATAAACCATGAATATGTATGTAGCAATGAAATTGATGCTAAGTATCTTCATATACATTTTTCAACATAGTAACGGTGTCAACCAATATATTTTAACAAATGTAAAAGTATATATACGTAAGTAAGCATTAAGATCGGTGTATACCTATTTGTACACTCAAGAAAGGCACTGCCTTCAGCACATGGAGTTTGTGATGAACACTGCTACATTCTCACCTGTTTCATAAATACGATTGAAATATGCATATACAAGCAAAGAAAGAACACAATATGTTTACAAATGTGGTAGGTTACATAAATATAAGGCAAATGTGGTAGGTTACATAAATATAAGGCAAAAGTGGTAGGTTACATAAATATAAGGCAAATGTGGTAGGTTACATAAATATAAGGCAAAAGTAAAAGAGTGTAATACCTACTGAACACCAAAGTTTTCATTTGTAGAATTTAGTTAAGAATAGAAATATAAAGACAGCATATGCCAGTCTTACATGGTCTGTCAGCAGACGACTGAAAGTATGATTGTGACTTTCCTACTCTCTGACAACCAGATGATTATACTATATATGTTTCACGCGACTGGCACTGCCATTGTTCACATGTACATCAAACTTCTGCACTGTTAAACATATATATCGTTTGTAAATCGAAGGTTTTACATAATGATCTATAACGTTTTGACAGCCACGTTCAGTACATTAAAGCAATCATTTAAACATGTAATATGTAATTTTAAATATGTAAATATCTTATATTGGACTACAAAAATAGGGTCTGATTTGGTATCTAATCACATAGCGTGAATAATGATATAAATAATCTTTCACGGCTATTAAAGGGATGCAAAAAACAATAATCGTTCCACGATGTTATTTATGTTATAAGTTTGTCGACCTCTTAAGTATGTTTGACTAACACTCACGTTTAAGGTATACATCCGGTATTACAACCAACATCATTATGGTAGTGATGGTACGCAAGCTGTACCCATGTATTTGTCTGCTTTTAATGAAGTGTATTCGTCCTTTGTATTCGTTCATATTTGGAATGGTTTTGTCTTGGCAATATGAAAACATCGACGGAAGCACCTGTAAAAGTATCATTTACTGGAAGACCCGTCCGACATTACGAGCTTGCCATTTAACAGCCAGCAGTATTCCTGCTGTATGAGGCATTGGTACTGAATACCAGTGCTACTCAAGATCTTATAGTTTCCGGGGAGTCCCTGTACAAAGCGATCTTACCGCTAAGGTGACCATAACTCCCATACCTTAACATATACATAAGGAAGTCTTAGCGCTAAGGTTGTTTTGTAGAACGGCACCCAGATTATAAGGCATAAAATACATATAGATATATACATATGTACAGAGTCATGTACATCATGTACACATATATACATGAACATAGGAGGGGTGATGAAAAACAAAACATCTCAGTGAAACAATGATATTTTCTCTACATTATCTATACTTCAGAGGTCTTGTTGCTGTATGTCTTCCCCAGGTGGTGTGGGTCACAGCAACCATGCCTTACATAATCATGGCTATCTTACTGGTCAGAGGATCTCTCCTCCCCGGAGCCAAGGAGGGCATCACCTACTTCATCACCCCCAACCTCAGTCGCCTTGGGGACCCACAGGTAAGCTGTCTAGAGTCTACCATTGCTATAATGTGTTCCAAGGCAAACAGTGATCACCTTCGTATTTATTATATTTTGAAACACTAACCTCCTCTCTATTTATCCCCAAAGATAACAGATGTACTGACGTCTAATGTTTGAAGTTTACCCACATAATATTTTGGTGGTTTTAAACAATGTCTAAGCAAATCAAATTTCAAATTAAATCTATCGGTTTTGGTGTTGTTAGTAAATGTCTGGTTACATGCATACCAGATTTTGACCCAAATAATAATAATAATGATAATAACACGTTAGTATTTTATCTGTTTTCACAAGTCGCTGTAATGGACACTGTTAAAATATGTACACCCATTATGCAAATAGTTTGCACTGCTAATATATGTGTTTAATAGGCTAAAATAATATATTTCAACTTTTTAAATAATGATGAATATTTTCGACATATAGTCTGTACATAATCCTTTGTTTTCTTCCAAATATGGTACTTATTTTCTACCACGTGCCCTCAGTCCACTGTCGAAGCGCTGTGGAACAGGAGGGATGAATACAAAGTTAAGATATTCCTTGTTCTTGTCTGGCAATAGTGACCCGGATATGGAAATGGAAAACGTATTGACGTCTTCTTCCTTTGGGGAAGCAATAACCGCTTCTTCTTGTCGATAGTCCCCTTCCTCTGTCATGGCCATATGGGCCTCAGTGTAGGCCTTTGATAGAACAATGAAGTAGGACCTGAACATGTATGGTTGGTGTCTTGGCTGGTCACTCGACAGTATAGCAAAGGTTCCCTCAATATCTTTTGGGTGCTGGATGTTCTGGTCCGGGGGTATATGGCGAGTTTGGCTCATCTCTGTGTGTGCCTTCTTGAAATGATCTTCCATCATGCCAGGTGTCCTTGCACTGCTGACACACAAACGGCCTTCCGCATCTGAACGTGTCTCCTGTACTATGGGGGTCGCTTCTCCCGCCATCTTGAAAACAATAATACACTTATATGTTTATTTGAACACACAGTGACCTTGTAATGGATGTGGTCAAATGTAACCTCACATATATGGTTTGAATTCTATTTCTTTGGGGGTTGGGTGGGAGTGGGTGTGGGTGTGTGGTTTGAGTTCCATACAGGAATCGATGCCCAATCTTCAGAGTTAGGTCCACAAAATGGATGTCCTACCATTGGTAGGCTAAACCACTTACCGTGTACCCGTCTGACTAGTGTCAAATGGAACGGCTCCAGTGGCAGGTGGCTAGGACTACAGAATGCCTCAGAAGGGGTCAAACGTGAACAAAGTTTTGTAGAATGATTGAAACATGTACTAAGGCTAACAATAATGATGCTGTGTCATTTGAATAAATCTCAATTTAATGTATAATTTCACTGATAAACGCCACTGTTTGTCTAATTTGCATATCTAATGTGTATACTTATGTCATTTGGGCATGACATACATGATTTTATGCCATAAGTCCATGTCACCGATAAATGATTTACTTCAATGATAAATACACTTATAATACGGATATATTCCATATCGAAGACGCCACAAGATATGGAAGAAACAGAACGGAATTAAAGTCCAGCTCATTAATTAGTTTTGCTTATCCGAGGACAATATCAGTGAAATTTATTCAGAGAATACCTTTGGTCATTTGACCTAGATTTCAATAGAACTAGATCAAACAAATAATGATATATATGAAAGGGATATCTACATAAACATCAGCTTCATTCAAATAGAGGATACTACATTTGGAGGCAAAAGATTTACTGTGTTTTCATTACAATCAGAGAGTCGAGTCAATTTTCCATGTATATATAATATGGAGGAAAATGTAGGCCCCTAAATATTTCCACTTTGACGCCTTACCTGACAGGAAGGCTTCTCATACGTGCGTTGTTTCCTTTAAAACGTGGTCCGGTTGCAGCGTCCTGCAAATATAATATATTGACGAACAGTGAACTTAACATGTCCCACTGGCAAACTGCTACTAATAAGTACTACATGTCTATATCCACGAGGTAGCCATTTTGCCAACCAAGATACAACATAAGGACACATTTCAGTAGACGCATAGATGATGGTACATGTTACCTGTAACTCTGATATTATCCGCTGTCATTCAAAATAATCACCTTTTCCTATTTCTCTTTTAATGCAAGCTACAGTGACGACGAATGAATGAACCTGTGCTTCTTGTGGGTGCTTAGTCTCCGCGCAGGAACACTGCAGTACACCGCGTAGTAAAATATACTCCTTTAATTTTATGATTTGACTATAAATAGTAATTCTCTAGGTTAGTGTATGCAAATATATTACAATTAGATGTTTTGCGCTTCAGATGAGTGTTTACTATAAACAAAATGGGCTATCCATTTTGGAACTACATTTTCATGGTAAACGTTACACGAGTTCAGAGGTCACAATAGTTGTTTGCAAACATCACGTGGTGGTGGCGGCATACAGATGGGAAGAAATTCTTAAAATGGATTTTCAGGTCCCACTGTAGAACAGTGATTACCTGTTACTTATGTTCTTATCGACACATCTACAGTTTGGCTGTCGTAATTTTGACACCAGGGATTCCTTGAATAAATCCTATGCCTATAATTAGTCTCATGTCCCAGGTCATCTGGTTTGCGAGTTATGCACACAAACAGCGGCCCGTTTTGATGGTATTGAGTAGTCTAAACACCCAGGACTTCATTGTCTAAACGTACTCTAACCCAGACCACAGTACAAGAAACAAACTGCCCGGATGAAACTGTATCAATGAGGAAATATAAAGTAGTTGCAGATTATAAATAGCATTCCTGTTGTAACAGTGAGACACAACGCCGTGTGACGAGACATACAGCTAAGTAAGCCCCACTGTGAGATAAACAAGTGGTTGAGCTGTTGTGAACATGCCTGATATGATCAGGATGTATGACATCGCGAAAGTCTATCCTCATTGTATTCCTGACTGCTTGATAGACAGATGCTCAGGGTGAGTGACTAACTATAAAATACTGCACATTAACAAAATGTTACAAAGCACATACCTCTTTAGGCCTTGACACCCGTGGAGACCTGGGTTAGAATTGGTTTTCAGCAACCCGTAAGAGGCGAGTAACGGGTTCGCAGGCTCTTGGTTGACAGATGTCATAGTATCCAGTTTGCGTAGATGCTCGTGCTGTTGATCACTGGATTGTCTGGTCCTGACTCGAATATTTTCAGTGAGTGTGTTTAGTTTTACGCCGCAATCAGCAATAATACAGCTCTATGGCGGCGGTCTGTAAATAATAGAGTCTGGACCAGACAATCCAATCATCAACAGCATGAGAATCGATCTACGCAATTGGGACACGATGACATGTGCGAACCAAGTCCACGAGCCTCACCACCAGATCGAATATTTACAGATCACCGCCATACAGCAGGCGTGCGCCGTTAAACAATAATTTACACAAACCAAAACTTTGGGCCTTTTAAGGGGACTCCATCGCCAATGTCCTTGGCACTGAAATTACTTTCGTACAGTTATAGACAGTTTGTTCCACACTTATTCAAGTAACACAACTCAAGTCATGTCATCACAAGGGCATTATTTTCTATTACATGTTAACTGTCTCTCAAGCTGGAGAAGACCGGGAGACTCAAATACTTCCCTTATTGCATTAATGGTTTCATACGAAGACCCTGAAGGGCACAATACAGATTTATCTTCAAAGTATTTCTGGAAGCCATGTGTCGACACTATATGAGCAGCAAGTGGGGTCACCAAAGGTGGTGAAGGTTCTGCGGGTTCTGTGTTTTGATGAGAACCGGATGTGGCTGTTTCCAGTAATTCCCCATCTTCATCCACGATGAACTGAAGGTCACTCATATCAACAGATTAATCGTACTCTTGTCAGCAGGCTGCAGATGGCGGATATTGTTTTCCCATTTATGTATAGTCACCTGAAACGCAGACATGACGTTGGATATATACTCATTTACAATAGGGTCATGTAAGCTGTATACCTGCTCAGGTAACTCTATTGCACGCGTTACAAAAATCACCAGAGTATGCAATATTCAAAATGTCGAACTTGATCCATGCACAATCATTTGCAAAGATCCACTGAAATGCCCATCCTACGGTTATGGGTGAGTGAGTGAGTATGTATTTACACCGCTTCTAGCAATATTCCGGCAATATCACTGCGGGGGACACAAGAAATGGGCTCCACCCATTGCACCCATGTTGGGGAATCGAACCAATGTCTTTGGCGTGACAAGCGAACGCTGTAACCACTAAGCTACCCCACCGAATCGCGAGGTTACCGATAAGAATCGCTTTGACCAAAATACAAACATAGGTATTCATATTTGTGAACACGACATGGAATGATATTAAATATATATTTTCAAACTAACTATGACGAATATTGTGCAAAAATATTATGCGATTCCGTTGAAAGAATGCACTTTGTTTGTTCATGTCATTTTAAATGATGACATGTAGTATACGTCCAGCAAAAACGTTCACTTAGTCCAACATTGAACAGGAACATTGTGTATCGGCAATCCATTCCAATGTCACGTATCGGCCAGAAGCCAGGTCAGTATAGCATGTACTAGAATCAGGAAACTGAAGGGCGCCATGCATAACAAAACAGCTGAAGGTTTTTGAAACGTTTTGAAAACGACATTGTATCATAACTGGTGCATTTATATCATGTACACATAACAAAATATGTGAACCCCAATACAGACAATGGTGAAGTGTCGCGGCATTCACGAACAGAAAATAGTCCACTGAACGGTACTGATATCTTCAGAAAAAACAACAATAACGCGTATTGGTCTCGTCAGAAAAACCGAATGCAAATCTCCTGATACAGTTGAAAAAGTCCAGGAGGAATTAACTCAGGACAGTATTGCGTCACCATGGGGATATTTCAATAATTTAGCTTTGCCCCCAAAACATGTCTCTGGTATATCCGATTCCTACAATGTGTTAATCCAAGCAATCAACTTCGAGTCATCAACTCGGATAGCAAACCTTAAGGCGGTACGTACCTGGACGCAGTATAACCCTACGACGTTGACCAAACACATCAAATGTATCGTCTTGACTAACTCCCCCTAAATAGATTTTTCTTCAACAGCTCTAAATGTATTTATCTTCATCCTAGTATCTTCCTGGATTGAGTATGTCACGTGACATTGCTGACTCCTTTGGGTTATTTTCTCCCCATGACCTCAAATATCTTGTAGCAAATGTCATGTATCGCCAGGATGCGCGTTCCGTACAAACGTTCCGGAAACGGCGATGAAAAATAGCTACACTATTTATAACGCCAGCTCAATCACACATGCACATAGTCAATGGAAATTTCCTAAAAACTAATTCAGTTTACTTAAAGACTGATTCGGCTCTGAATCCACTATCACCATATTTTTATATTGAGAGCGAGTTAGTAGTAAACACGGCCTGTCAGCGTGTCGTGACAGTAAAGCCGGAATTGATGGAGGTCTCGGACGTTCACAACATTGTGAAACTCACAAGTACGGTTTCGGTTCTGACAAACCTAGATACATAAGGATTTGAACCTAGGTCCCTACTTATATTGTATAACCAGTGCTTGTATTGATGGGTTTCTGTAACTATGGATAATGATGATGAACATGGGCCTTTGTCAGTGGATTTTGTCTAAAAGCAACTACAACACTTCACTAGCAGTAGCAACTAGCAACTGTTCAGTTGAATACTATAAGAACTGTGGCTCCAGTTCCCCTGAAATGTGTTCGGATAATTAGTTCATATATTGAAATGGACGCTTACCTACATGGGAGACGTACATGTAAACAGAATAATGTCTTGTATATGTTTATTGAATTATTAAATTAAATCTCTTTGAAAATATCTTAACATAACGTAAGCCAGAATCATGTTAGAATATCACATTTGTTTATATATATATATATATTTCTTCTTGTGGTAAAAATATAGTTATGTTTTCAGCCAAGTACCGTTTTCATAATGTTTGTAAACATGCATATTTCAAGTGAGCGCTTTCCTCTGCCAAGCTGTTTAACCGCTAAATGTTGTGTATTTGTAGTAAATTTTGTCGGTAAGGAACCCATTACGTGTAAAATTGAGCAGTCAGCTGAACATAATGTACGTGAAGGTTATGATTTAGCATAATATTTATGGGAATGTTTATATAAAAATTGAACCTGTTTATAAATTCCAAAAAGTATGTACCCTTTTCTTCAACCCATATATTTGAAAGTGTTTCCATTTATTTATTCTGTTCATATGTTATTCCATCATAACTACTTCACGTAGATATTCCTTCTGGAATGATCCCCATTGAACTACTTGGATAGTTTTTTCGACCTGCATAATTTACCAGTTAAATGGTCGAACAATAAACTTTTAGCTTAAATCACTTTATACTTTGCATGTACACCAAAATGTGCACAACATGTTGCATTCTCTATGAGTCGAGAAAATACATACATATATATTATGAAAACCTGAGGTGATTTGTACACGTCTTAATAGGATATCTCAGTGTATTTTCCAAGGAGTCTTCATGAATGGAGGAATGTGCACGTTTACACTGCATTATCATTTGAATGATAATATAGGAACACTCAAAGGGCACTCATTTCTACAAACCAAATAACCACAAAATACCGATACGAGCGGGACATCAGATACTTCTCTCGAGAAAATGTCAACGAATTTATATCGTAAATTATATATTTATATAGATATTAAAAAAAGCCAAACGAGATTCTTAAATCACAACATGATATCAAGCTGATTCTATGGTTTCTTTAATACAATAGACATTAAACAAAAGTCTAATTCTACATATCCGTGTATATTAATGAAAATATTTCTATGACTATGGACTTATTGCAAATGAACAAAACATATCGATATATGATTCCTTTGGAGTGGAACAGTTTTATTTCACTCTTTGTTTTCCCCTTACTCCATAAACCAAACATATCATAGTTTGTGCCGTGAACATCTTCCACAACGCAATACGATACAAATGAAGACATCAAACATGTAAGGCACAATGCTGTAACCCAGTTAGAACGCCCGAACTTCACAGTTTCTTTTATATTTAGAACCAGGCCTTTACAACATAGTTCAGCACTTCCCTGGCACTGAATAGTTGAACTGTATGATCTCGTCATCTCCAAATGTCTGATAAAGTCATTCAACAAATGGATGTTCCAGTGTTACCATACACGCGTTTAGACAACCAAATATACCTATACATAGTGCCATGTCTGTGTGATTGTGTAGATACGTGACAGATTTGGGGGAAATCCATTAATCCGAGTCTTTCGCAGACATCTCCTGGACAATCCTGTCCTAGTTGTTTATGTACTAAACACGCTTTGGTATGTGTATTGATTGCCGAGGAATCCAACTGCCATTTATGAACGAACCTTCGGTTTAATGGGTGCCTCTGAAGTCCTGGTTTGTTCTCTTGTTCTGCTGACCAACTGCATCAAGAATCACGTCAAGTACTCTTCACTATGTACACACATTGCTTTTCAAATCATCCTATTTTTACCGCCTCGTTATACCTCGCAGCATCCCTTGGGCACTTTCTCATTGCACCTTAAATCATCCCCTGGGTACTTTCTCATTGCACCTTAACTCATCGTCAAGGACGAGTATCTGTAGAGAACATAAGGTCATTTCTCCCGTTCCCAAAGGTGCACAAATGTACGAATTCAGAACCCTGAAAGGTAGTGACGTCTGAACATATTCAATGTGGACCCAGGCTGTCAAACGTCATGTCGAAAAGTAGAACAATTTCAGAATTAACAAGAGCATAAAATGTGACTGCTTATGTGGAAACTGTTTTCTGTGAGCAGTAATTTGAACAGTCCAGTTTGTCAGGGGAGAGGAGTTCAAGGTCATGTCATTTTGTTGTCCCTGGCTCTATGAAACTGTCGTCATCTGGAGCATCTTCTCCACCAGAGAGGTCATCTGATCGTAGTCCAACCCTGACACACACATAGTTTGTACTGAAGATCCTTCACCCCCAGATCACGACACTCCAGGGAGAGGGTTGGAGTGCCACCACCTTCCCCTTGATCCCCCTGATCCCCTGGTCCCCCGGTCCACTTGATCCCCCTGGTCCCCCCGGCCTCCATCCTCACAGACATCCTCGCCCTTAAAGCGACTTCCACTTGTGCACATCAGATGGGATATGTCGTTTGTGACTGTCTCGCTCATTTGTCAAGCGATGAAGAAATTGTCCATTCCTACACGAACACAAAGCCTCCACCCGCTTCCTGCACCTGCAGCATCCCCTGCCTCACGTCATCTGAAACAGTGAAGAAGAATCAGTGACAGAACAGATGTTGTTGCCAACCTATGGTCAAATACGAATCACAGTGATTGACCAGTCGACCTGACTCACTCGTTGTTCACATCGTGATCAAAGACAACCTGTCACACAACCAGTCTAGGGTCAAAGTTGTAATCACCAAATGTGAACGCTGTCCTTGTCTTCAGGCAGACATTGTCTATAGTTATGCAGAGGAAACATTACTCTTCATTACCATGGTGATATTCAGCAATGGAGGGAAACCCAATACGTTCTCACTGGAACAAAAACACACATCCAAGGGAATTGTCAGCATATATGCTGAAGACTAATACGTCGACACTTGATGACCAGTGGAGCCAGACACCTGCCGACGTATGCCACGTAAACTTTACTTCAACAACTACTGCGACTATTGTCGCGTCTGTCGTCAAAAACCAGGTCAGTAGCTGAAAGGCGCCATTCATAACACAGCAACTATAAGGTTATTGGAACGTTTGAGGGAGAAACTGTATTATGAATGGTGTATTTATATCTTGAAAAGATAACAAAGTAAGTAGACCCATGTATCCAGTTGACGCACGGAAATGGAATCGGACGTTGAAACAGTGCTACAGTATTAAATATATTCTCTGTATCTTCCGGGGGTAACTATTTTGTGATTTGCATTCCTGTGCGCACAAAATCATACATTGCGTGTTGGTATATATGTGTTCCTTGTAGTGAGAATGCTTTAGCCTGTTTGAAACATTAACGGGTCATCAAGTTTCTTGTTTAGTGTTGTATTTTGTAAACATATTAATTTGCATTATTGGAAGTTAAACAAAGCTAATCTTTGTCATTCCTGGAACAAGCAATGTCACCATCATCTATGGAAGCATTGTTCTTTTGAGCTTCATTGTCCTCAATGGCATGTGAACCTTTTAATGTGATGAAAGACCAGGAATAGGTTTAGCTGTCGTACCGATCATTACCATCAACAGATTAATGCCATAATGATGCATGCATATACACATACATACAAATAAACATACACAGACCGCTAAAACTAAGATGACTAACAGTAACATTCATAGCCATGATTAAATGCATAGTGAATATACTTATTCTCTTTAAAACGCAGATACAATGGTTCAATAAAAAATGTGCCATGCCACTATTATCGTTATTGCACAAGCTGACAATTGTGCAGATCGTTAATATCATACTATCTTGAAACGACACGGACACATGTTGGTTGTTTAATTGTCTGTACCACAAACCTTTTCTTACGTTGTCCGATTTTCTGTTCCCAATTGCGTATGATTTAATCAGTCATGGCGGAACTGTATGAAGCAGACAATGCGAAATGACGCCATGCTTACCCCATGTATGCAGTGCAGCATGTGATCCACGTGTGATTGGTCGTTTGTAGAGCTGCGACAGGTCAGATCAAGAACAATGTGTTACTATACGACTTAGATCCAGGACATGACATGTTGCATACCTGGACAGGGTCTAGCACCCTCTGCCGCTCGTCATTGTATCACTAGTACCGGATTGACTAGGTCAAGGCAACTTGTAGTTTTATCGATCTGGACGGGTGATTTAAAACCCCTTTGTATACGGCAGGTTTTACCCAGATCGACCCAACCGAGTGTAAATGCGTGACATGCTCTCTCACGGGAACAAAGTAGCATGATATGACTAAAGGAGATCTATTTCAAGTGTTTATCTAGACTAACGCTTAGTCCCTGAATATGTATATTGTTTTTTTCGATAGAAACAAATAATTCCATAGAAATTGAAAAGGAGCCCGAGCGGGATGTGAGATTCAGAACTTGAGGATATCTAGACTTGCTTCATTTGAAGCTTAAATTGGTGTTGTAGAAAGGGCTGGATAGAAGGTGGAATATTGTGCTTCAGGGACTGTGAGACAGACTAGGTCTTTGTGACCTGAGAATGAATTTGATCCCACCTGCGTGCACCAGCGCTGTCAAAAGATAAGCTCCACTTCCTGTGTTTGCGAAAGCTGATCGCATGGCTGACTTCGCATAAGGAAATATGCTCTTGAATATGCAATGGCTTGTATAGAAATCCCACTGCAGAATACGTGATTATCAGCAGTGTGTGTGTGTGTGTGTGTGTGTGTGTGTGTGTGTGAACCAAATCAGTATATCACTGGCGCCCTTCTCTAAACTATGGTTGTAATATGGCCAAGGTAAATCACTCACTCTGCATGTGATAGATGTGGCGTGAGTTTTATTTGATCACTATTACAGCTATATCTGCGCTGGGTGCGAAACACTGAGATTGTAAACAAAGCAGTGACTGAAAGCATGAGCAACTCTCCGCCATCGCCACATTGAACATTATTTCAGTAATATACGGGCATGTCAGCCGAGAGACCGAACACTTTCCCGTTATAACAACAGTCGGACGGAACGAGGAGTTTAATCTATGATTACGGGAGACTGATCTTCCAGAAATCTTAAAAACACTATGCACCACTGTTTTCTAACACGCCATAAGGTAGGTAGGTAGGTAGGCAGGTAGGTAGGTAGGCAGGTAGGTAAGGTTTTAGGGCCACCTTGGGCCTCAAAAGGCCTATATGCGTCCAACACTTAACAAACTATTATAATGTATGTTCCTTTAAATTATGTCATACTTGGTTTTGTTAAGCACAGTTTCTTTAAACGAGCCTTACGCAAAGGAGGTTCTGAGCATTCCACCTGCAGGGCGGAAACTGGAGTAGTAGGAAAGGCTCCAGTACATATCCGAAGAGCTTTGGCTTGTACACGATCAAGTTTAGCCAAATGACATTTTGCAGCATACATGAAAACGCCATAATTCGCTGTGAAGGGTTGCCTCCCCTAAGGCATGCCAGAATCCTGTGATCGCTTGTTTCGATTTACCGATTCAACCTGATTAGTGATATTGGTTTATCTCTGTTTATGCGTTTCACAAAAGTGACACACATGTTTGATCTGAATATCTTTGAGCTTAGCTGTAAACTCAGTCTCACACGCTGGGATGTGCTTGACATCATCAAAGCGACGTTGAACTCATCTCACTCACTCACTATACCCGTGAAGATCCGGGTTAGAATTGGTCTTCAGTAACCCATGCTTGTCGTTAGAGGCGACTAAGGGGATCGGGTTGTCAGGCTCGTTGACTTGGTTGACACATGTCATCGTGTCCCAGTTCCGTAGATTGACGCTCATGCTGTTGATCACTGGATTGTCTGGTCCAGACTCGATTTTTTACAGACCGCCGCCATATATAGCTGAAATATTGCTGAGTGCGGTGTAAAACCAAACTCACTCATGAACTCATTAACTCATGAACTCACTCACTCATGAACTCACTCACTCATGAACTCATGAAGAACCAATATGTTCCAGGTGTGGATTGACGCTGCAGTGCAGATATTTTTCTCTGTGGGAGCCGGGTTCGGAACACACATCGCCTACTCCAGTTACAACAAATTTAACAACAACTGTTATCGGTAAGGTTTTATCTCCCCAAGGTCATGTTACCTCTCGTGAAGGTGAACGTACTGGGTCAAAAAAGAATTCATCAACGTAGACAATGTGTCGATGTTAATCCTGCGACTTAATTAGATGTCTGTGGTTAAAACACATACAACTAAACCTGTAGTCGCAGGCATACAAATTGATAGTTTTTCTTAATTTTTACTAGATTATTCGGCGTGAAGACTCGCTTTACAATATGGTCCACAGCGTTTTGTTTCCTGTCGTAGGATATTACAAAGGGGACAAAATACAATATACAGAGTTTTTATGATGTGAAAATAGAAAGTACTGGCGTTATATTTGATTATATCTATTTACCATAACTCATTCCTACAAGATTATGTAAAAGGTAATCTCTAGCAGGGTATTTTTGCACAGATAAAATACAATGAAGACTGGGGTGTGAAATGAATCTGAAACCACGTGACCCCGAGGGTGTTTAAAATTTTATGAATATCTGCAGAAAAATGCAAATTTAATGATTTTCTTGATTAGATGTACTTATTAACAGTTGTGTATTATGCGAGTTCTGTTTTTTTAAATGTTATTGTTTATTAATCAAAATATATTCAAAGAATATTTATACCCATGTAGATAAGTATCCTTTAAGTCTGGACCAGACAATCCTGTGATGGCATCATGAGCATTGCAATTGGTATAGATGACATGCACCATACAAATCAGCCTGACCACCCGATCGCGTTAGTCGCCTCTAATGACAAGCATGCTTGCTGAAATTCAATGTCAACAATGTTTCTCTCGGTTCTGGATCCAGGGAAATAATCTAAAAAAAGAGAAATGAACCCTCGTGAAAATGATGGTTGTACGTTTGAATAACGTTTGACGCCGCACACAATCTTACGGCCAGATATTACCTGGGTGCCTTGCACTTGTAGTCGGTGATTGACAGTGTTTGCCATGATCCTTGGCGCTGGGTCATGGCGCCACATAGACAAGTCACACAATGTGACCATCCATCCCTCAAAAACAAGTAATATTTGTGTACAGTCATCTCTCTGGGTCGTTATTATACAATCAACAAACAATATAAAATGACTTACAAAGTACTTTGGTTTGTTCCAGCGACTGTCTGATCACAGTGGCCGTCAACAGCTTCACCAGCCTCTTCTCCGGCTTTGTCATCTTCTCCTACCTCGGCTACATGTCCTTGAGGACTCAGAAGGACATCTCCGAGGTGGCCACTGAAGGTGGGACATTATCTCAGCTTATCAGATGAGGAGTTATCTGATTGTAACATCTGTGACGTCACTCTATTGTCTTAAACGACCCATGATGCACACGAAGGGATAGGTTGTGGTAATTTACGTAAATTGAATCAACAAAACTAATGTAATTTGATTCTCAAGACTTATTTTTCAAACATTCCCCCCAAAACATGTCGCTTACGGAACTGGACCATCGCTCTATCATACGAGGACGTGTAATAGTGGTCCTCGGCTGCACCTTGTGAAAATAACTACATAAAGGCTCTGTATATACAACCATGTGTTACATTATTATACCTGAAATGCTGTTCACGTTAAAGTAATTAGATAACTATTTGATAGAAAAAAATTAAACACACAGAAGTCGATAGGTCTTGTTCTATATTCATAATAACCCAATCACTTCGCACTCAAAATGAGTAATGAAATACTGGTTAAGGTCCCCCTGAAATAACAAAGAGCCATGTATCGCATCGTGAAGCTTGACGTATCATTGTTATTCACTATCCAACATGATGGCGTTCTCCTTACGAACATGCTATTTGCTCCTAATATTTTCTGTTGGGCAATACTTTATAAACATATTGGAAGTTTTACTACAACCTAACAAAAACCGAAGATTAAGAACGAAAACTAGAAAGTTCAGTCGCTGTTTAAGGTTATAATTAAAGATTCTAGTCAAGCGAGTTAATACACATGTCATGACTGTTCACTTCCACAAACTCCATCGTTCGACGTAATGTTATGACGTCACGTCCTACTGTCTATAACACACGTACACCGTGTTACGTTCAGCACTATTTTAAAGGAAACGGACACTTTACCACTTTCCTGAAACCAAAAAGGAAGTGTGACTGTCAACGATATTGTTACATACATGAATACCTAATCGTTTCAAAATTCTTGCTGGGGAAATTATGAAATATTCACACAAACTTATTACCTACAGCCGGTTTGCTACTTTTATAAAATGATGTGATTTGATGCCTTTTTTATTCATTCGTTCTGTGACATGTAATTATTCAAGTGGCCCGTGAATATCCGGGTTAGAATTGATCTTCAGCAACCCATGATTGTCGTAAAAGGCGACTAACGGGATCTTTGGTCAGGCTCGCTGACTTGGTTGACTAATCGTATCCCAATTGTGTATAATATCGATGCTCATGCTGTTGATCACTGGAATGGCTGGTCCAGTCTAGAACTAAACTCACTCACTCACTGTTATTATTTAAGCGCCTGTAACTGTTTGCTACTGCCAGGTCCCGGCCTCGTGTTCATCGTCTACCCGGAGGCTATAGCCACACTGACGGGGTCCACCGGGTGGGCCATCATCTTCTTCTTCATGCTGCTTACTCTCGGCGTGGACAGTGCGGTGAGGACACGTCTACATCGTTACACTAGACATGGACTTCGTACTGATTCCGGGGGAGGTCCCAGTAACAGCTGATCTGGATCGGGTGTTTCCTTGTGACCTTGTGTTTCTTTTGACCTGGTTGATCTGGGCCGGTGTTCATACTTTCAACCACTTGTTTGCTTCACTAGGCCCGATGATTTATGGCTGCAATATTGCTGACATCTGGATAAAACAATATTTTGGCATCTCATGATTTTTCAGCCAGTGTCTCATCGCTGCTTCCAAACGCATGAACGATGTAATGTTCTATCTAGCAAAGCTAGACATTCAATGTTTACATGCTGTGCAACATAAACAACTACCCAATCTAAAAATTTCACATAAATATAAATATTCTAGGCATCATGGCTATGCCTTTTAATATAAACCTTCTGCCCAAAATAAACGTGCCTTTTCTCACTTCCAGTTGCATATTTGTACGTACGGTTCTTCGTACCATGAAACATTCTAGCCATATAACTTTTCTTCTCCAACATAAACGTTAGAAAAGTATAATACTTTATGGATCATCATCAACTTCTAAAATGCCAATTAAACAGATCAACATAAAGGTTATATGGAACATATCATGCCATCCAAACCTGCTACTCATCATAAATATTATATTCAACATAAACACAATGTTCAGTTTAAACAGTATATCTAACAAAGCCATTCTATTCAACACGAACACTATGAACAGCGTCAAAATAATATCTGACAAAGTCAATCGATTGAACCTATACACTCTATTCATAAATAATTCAGATCATTTCTTCTTTGAATACCTTTAGGCTTCCTTACAGAATCCCTGTTGACGTGACACGTTACCATTAACTGACGTGCTCCTATTGTGGCTGAGTTACAGAAATATGTAGCTGTGCCACATTAGGTTGTATTGTATTCCGATACCTTGCGTGGCTTCTCAACGATTACCATAACCGTCAGAGGTATTGTGCAACCAGTCTGGCTGTTTAATGGAATTGATTTGACATGACATATATACAGTTTTCGTTATTAATATTTAGCACATTTCTCAGGCACAAACTGAAAAATTCTTTTCGATATAGTGACACATATATCGCATTTATTGTTTATATATTTATTTGATTATCTATTTGATTAAACTACAATAATCATAATGGACAATTTGTCAGTATATCTATGGTATATTTATACTAAACTAAGTATGATTACACAATGCCATTTTAGAAAGTGGTCAAAAGTAGTATATGTTATGTTTGGGATTTCACCTTCTTAGTAAAGTACAGATTCTAAAACGTTTTTGGGTTAAGCCCATCCGGGATTCGAACCCACACTCTCATCTAAGTAGCAATATATCTGTTTTAGACATTAGGGTGTGATACTCCGAGGTAACTCAGCAGGTAGGGTAGATACCAGTTTGACAGTTTAACGTGATATTACTGAGAAGTCCTCAGCAGAGACGTGTTATCATTTTGTGTTTCAGTTCGGGGGTCTGGAGTCTCCCCTCACGGGACTGAGGGACGAGTTGCGTCATCTAATCAAGTACAAGTACTTCCGGGAGCTCCTGACCCTGGGCGTGGTGGGGTCAGCCTTCATGTTCGCACTGCCCTGCTTAACGGAGGTCAGTACATTCTGACATAAAAGTGTTTCTGTTAACTATTGGGCTTGTGTCTTGTTTAACGCCGCCCTCGGCAATACGGTACACGGCGGCGGGTGTAAATAATCAAATCTGGACCAGACCAACCAGTGATGATCTTATGAACAACGGTTTATTTCCGTCGAGGCACGATGGCACGCAATCAACCGAGTCTCCAGGCCTGGCCACCTGATGCACTTTGTGGTCTCCTCCGACCAGCATGGGTGGCTGGTGACTGATTCTCACCAGTAATCCCCTAGGGGTCTGTCTATATGGGTCTAGACTGCCATTACACAGGGGTCCATATAGTCTGTCTCTGAGTCCCCGAACTGCATTACTTTCCCTACTGCCTAGCTGTTCCTGCAATGCTAAAACCTTAAATAAGGCAGGTCTAGATTTTTCTCCCATCTCTGACGGGCTCCTTTTCAATTTAAATGGGTTTATTTGTTACTATCGAAATTATATATATTCAGGGACTTAGGCGTTAGTCTAGCGTCCGTACTGACACATGCATCAGTGTCTGTGTGCACTGTCATCACGGATACAGGTGGAGGTTCGCCAACATCTTAAACAATTGTTTCCTATCAAACCATTCAAACATTGCCTTTGAAGCCACAAACACATTGTGGGCGGTGGGGTAGCCTAGGTGTTAAGCGTTCGCTCGTCACGCCGAGAACCCGGGTTCGATTCCACAATGTGTGAAACCCATTTCTGGTGTCCCCCCGCCGTGATATTGCTGGAATATTGCTAAAAGCGGCGTAAAACTAAACTAACTCACTCACAAACTCATTGTACAAATGACTTGTCTAGCATGGATGTTTCCAGTATCAATGTTGACTGTTTTGTCCTATGTTCAGGGGAGAATGTATGTGTTCACGATGCTGGATCGCTTCGCGGCCGGGACGTCTATTGTGTTCACCGTACTGTGCCAGGTGATAGCCGTCTCTTGGTTCTACGGTAGGTCCATGCCAGTTTCAACCCAAGTCAATATACATTTCTTCCGTTCCTTTGTGTATGGATATGCCGATCATTTTAATATGAAACGAGCCGGTGGGGCAGCCTAGTGGTTAAACCGTTCGCTCGTCACGCCGAAGACCCGGGTTCGATTCCCCACATGGGTACAATATGTGTGAAACCCATTTCTGGTGTCCGCCGCCATAAAAATTGCTGGAATATTGCTAAAAGCGGCGTAAATCCATACTCACTCACTTTGATATGAAACCTACACGATATTTCATCCGCAACTTGAAACTGTAGCCTAGCTATTAAACAGGTAGTATTACAATTGGCTCTGTATTCTGGACTGTTGTCCTGAGCATGCCATCTAACGTTTACCCCTGACATACAGGCATGAAGCAGTTCTGTGACGACATAGAGTCAATGACAGGGAGCAGGCCAAACCTGTACTGGAGAATCTGCTGGAAGTTTATCAGCCCAGTTCTACTCCTTGTAAGTAATTTATACCGTGTCCAGAAACTTACCTTACCAATCTGTTCATGTCCTTGTGTATAGTTATATTCTATCTTCTAGAACCTACTTCAACTAGGTGTCACTGATAAACTAAAATCGTGTGTATAGTTTATACAATGTCTAGATGCTGTCTGAAACTACCTGTTATGCATAGTTCAAATCTTTGTAAGTAGACCAAGTTATATCCAGTTTATAGAAACGTACTAAACAATCTGTTATAGCCTCGTTCTACTCTTGTAAGTAGTTTTATACAATCTCTAGAAACTTATTTAGCAATGATCTTAAGCTACCAGTCATTGTCCATTCATGCTGCTGGCAAATGCACTTAACTGCCTAATCTCTAGATCTGTCCACAACTCACCACTATTACCCTATTGTGACCGGATAGACAGAAGCACAGGACCTAGAAGTGCCTAAACAGAATGATAAAATCTCTGTTTTGTAACTTCCGCATTTTTACTGAAATAGTCTGTAGTTAAATACAAAGTTTTAACAACTGATTTTGTTCCTGTCCAGATAATAGTGATATCGAGTTTCGCCTCCTACACACCCCTGGAGTACATGACAGCCACCGGCCGCTACGTGTACCCGGAATACGCTAACGTCATCGGGTGGTTGATAGCCCTGTCCTCCATGTGCATGATACCCGGCTATGCCATCTATAAGCTGGCCATTACCAAGGGAACACTGAAGGAGGTACTAGTGAAACCGTACTCTTGACATATACAGTTGGTTAGCAGGGGTGGGTGAATATATACTAAGCGTTATTAATGTTGGGTCAAATGATGTATAGCACATGTAAAGATAAGTTTCTCAGAAATAATAGAACTAAAAGTGTCATCATAATGTTTAATATGTTGACAAAGGTGACACATCGTGACATACAGACAAAAAGTTCACATAGCACAAGCAAACATCAGTTGTATAGACCAACCCCACAAAATGAAAATGACAAACATGAAGAAATCTGTCATTCAATATCTTGTGTGCCCTCCTCGCGCGTCCAAGACACAGGTGCACCTTGTTCTCATGCTCCTTATAAAGTTCATAAAGAAAGCTTGTGGAATCGCATTCCGTTCCTCTACTAGAGCTCTGCGGAGTGTTGGGAGATCAATTGGTGCTGGGTCGACCGAGTTCATCCCAGTCATGCTCAAATGGGTTGAGGTCAGGCGAGCATGTAGCCACTCCATCCGTTCCACACCATGCTGCCTAAGGAATTCCGTGACAATCCTGGCCCTATGAGGCCATGCGTTGTTGTCATGCAGTAAAGAGGGTCGACCATAAAAACCATGCATAGCTTGCAGGAATGGCACTGCCATAGGAGCCCGAATCTCGTCCCGATAACACCGTCGACCACGTGCAGTGGAGTACGTCCAGTAGGAGTTAACCTCTCAATTTAAGCTGCGATTTCAAACAGGTACCTGAACAGTGAACGACAGTGAAAAAGCATCAATGCATGTATTGTCCTCCACTTTCCATGGATAGAGCGACTTGCAGGTGCGCGTCATTGACATTACGTGGCAGGTCGATTTCCATATTGACAATCTGGATTAAAAAGGTGTCATTTGTAACAGAATGTATCGGACGTTAAAGAACGTAATAATAATATTTCAACGGCCTGATGTGTTTTTCCATACTGTTAAGAAAGTCTGTAAAATATTCATTTGTATGTATTTCAAACAAAAAACGAAGATTTTACAAGTTTTAAGAAATAGTGTTACCAATAGCTTGACCTTTCATTAATGACGCAGCGTATACCTACAGATGATTAGCAGGGGTGGATAAATATACTAAGTTACACTTGGTTACCATGGTGTTTGAATGTACTTACAATTGGTTAGCTGGGACGGGTGAATGTACTTAGATAATTGGTGTGATTTTATGGAATAAATTACTTGTTTCAGAAAATGCTTGAAAATCTCCGTCAGCGTTCATATGACGAATTCTAAGTGTAGAATTACGATGGTCGTAGGCTACGACTGCTGCGTAAATCTGGATTGAGAGTTTCTTTTCCATAGATGCGAGGTTTGTAAACATAAGTACTTGTAGGTCTAACGTTTACTTTCAGTGATATTGTATGTTTTTTCAGCGGTTTGCCCTGTGTATATCGCCTGAAAGCGAACATGAGCAAATACGTCAGAAAAAGCAAGTCAAGCGGTTCCAGGTGAGTAAAGTAGGGAAATAATGAAGAACTACCAGGCAAACTATATATACTTCAGTAAACAAAGTTCCAAACTGTTTTTCATATAATAATAAGTGATATGGATTACGTTATAGGATTATATAAATTAAAAGAAGAATGGGCTATGTGCGGTTACAAAGAACTTGCAAAATTGTTTTGTCATGATATAAGTTGTAGTACAGAATCCAGATGAACATTGATAATAAGTATTTATTTTGCAAACACTATCAATCCACAATACATTCAAACAGGTTCATTAGAACAGTTTTGATTCACTGTATAATACTGTAGAACTGGGAGGACGCACCCATGATTCATTAATTTGTAAATTCGTCTGAGGACAATTGTACGCTTCACTGTTTCAACACCTCAAGGGAACATATTTACTATGAAATGCACAATGCCATTTAGAAAGTGGTCAAATGTAACATATGTTATATTTGAGATTACTCTTTCTTTGTAAAGTGCAGATTCTAGTACTTTTGTTGGGTTGAGGCCCATCCGGGATTCGAACCCACACCCTCAGAGTCAGTCACCTAATCGCCAGCACACAGTCAGACGCCTAGACCGCTCAGCCACCGCGACTCTGAGGGTGTGGGTTCGAATCCCGGATGGGACTCAACCCAACAAAAGTACTAGAATATGTACTTTGCAAAGAAAGTGTAATCCCAAATATAACATATGTAACATACATGTATTTACTGAATGTGTTTTGGACATGTCTTGACACTCTAAAGACAGTGGTCGTCCAAAAGATGACATTGGGGTTTCTGAACGGTTCCGATTAATATGGTTTCATTTTACCCAGTGTCCGCAGCTCAGCATGGACATAATCATTGTTTCATTGTAACTAATAGGTAGTGAATGCTTTCTTCAGAAGGAACACTGGCTGTCCGTATGAAGACGGGGACTTCACTCGAGACGGCATTCTTCAGGAGGGACCACATGACAGTGATAGTAACTATAGAAGAGTACCTGCCCGCTGCAGGGAAAAGTACTGTGTCGCTCATGAACGTGCCATTTAACTTGGGAATCGTAAAACCAAGGCGATGGGCGACGCACCACGTATACAAGTCTTTGGGGCACTAGGAGATCTGACAGGCCAGATGTGGACTACAGCCGTGGACTAGAATCCTAGATGAATATTACTACGTGAATATAGTCTAGTCTGTTGGATGGTAGCAAATCTATTGAATAGAAGTTAAGATGAAACCATACCATAATTTGTTGTGACGTATTTCCCCTCCTTCAACAGTTTACATCCATTTGGCTCGCCTCGGCCGTTGTTACTTCAGACGACACCCATATTTGTACTGGAGTCACTAGTTTCATTCGTTCGCGTGACTATACAATCAGTCGGCAGTTGTAGCCCTTATATATATGACAATAATATCATGTATTAACCTAAATAACGTTCGTATTGCACGGACTATATGCGGAGGGATACGATATACGATTTGGACTGAAAGCAATGCAATGCTATTCCATTGCTGCCGGTGTTACGTCAGTAACGGAATAAGCCGAGAGCACCCGAGTAGCCTATTAAATGTAATGTGTTCGGACACAACCCTATCGGAGCAACATAATGCAGTGAAAATGTGGAACAACATAGTGAATACCTAACAATACGTATTCGTAGTCCTGGGTTTAGAGGATACTATCTTCAAAGACTCATTAGACCGTGGAGTCAGTATCTTTCCCTGAGTTGTGATTCGGGTAACTGAACAATGTCCTGCATCCCATGGCCCAGTAACCCTACAGTGTTGTGATGTCTTGGTGTGAACTGGTGTAGATGATGACGTGCATGTAAACGGCTGAACAGTATTCCATTGGATATGCGTATCTCTGAGGTAAAGACATCAAGAGAGTTTTCAGATATAATGAAGTTGGAGTTGATATGAATCCATATGAATTAACGTAAATAACGTTCATGAGTTAACTTGAGAATAACCGCCGGTATATGTGATTAGAGTAGGGCATTAACAACATTTATCTTACCTTACACATAAATGTTCCCCGCTTGCAGCATTTTCTGCTACCCGCTGGGAATGCCGAACTGTGGGAATTCCTTTGGTACTTCGTATTAGTAATTCTTTATCTCGAAGAACTGAGTCACGTATGATGTACGGAAATTACCGATGTTTTGCGAATGCAAATCGATGGAAGGGAGATAATTTGTTTTTCTTGTCTGCTGGATTCTGTGTCAACTGAAAATCTAGTATTGACTAATTGCCTAACTCTGATACTCCCTTTTATGATCCGATACCCGTGCTTCAAAGAGTTCAAAATAAACACTGAGGTGTTCGGAAAGATAAATACGTTGTGGTCCCTCGGGGCCCATGGGTTGATGTACCCTTGTCCCCCTCGTGACCAGTGAACAACTTATAATGCTAACTTGAGACTCAAAGTATGGTATATGTGATTTGTGTAAGGTATCAACAACATATGTTAACTTAAGAATCATGGCTGTTATGTGTGATTAGAGTGAGGAATAACTCGGGTTTGACATCAAATTGATATGATTTATGTAAGAGACTTCCACGTGATTTACTGTGGGTTTCCACGAATTGTGTAAAGTGTGTTTTGCATAGGTGTAACCTTATGGTGTAATCCTCCTAGTGTTATTACATATAGCAAAATGATATTGATATTTAACAGTATTGAGATAAACAGTATACAACATTCAAGAACAGATTCGTGTTTAATAAACAGGGAGATAAATGCCCTCAGTGTAACTGGCAATGTCTTGTTTGGTGGAGTAAGAGTTCTCCGGGAGAAGCAGCAACGTTCACGAATTATCAGTAATATCTGCCTAGTATTACCTGAAATAACATAATTAATAACATAATGAATAAGCTGGGTAGATAAACAAAAGCTTGCATTAATTCAAAGTGACGAATCTGGCCAAATGTTGGGATGATCTTGCAGGTTTCACATCGTTATCTTAACCTACTGATATTAACAGTCATATTGAATAACCCTTATTGTCAAAAACAGGAACTTACATTGTGATATTGTTACACTTCATTTCACAGAAAATGTTGTTGTGAACGAGTATAATAAGTAGAGAACCGTGTAGATTTGAATACCTTTCATAATTATATGTACGTTTGTAATTTTCATACATTTGACCAAAATGTTTACACTTGGTGTTTCAATGACTTTTCATTGGATTATTACAGTATTAGTAGAGTGTTTGTGTCTTGAGATTTATGATGTGCAAATGTTATATCTCCACCACTAAAATCATTATTTAACATAAAATAAAATTGGGAATATTTCAAATTCATCCAGCGTTAATTTTCTGACTAATATGACATTTATTATGATATAGAAAACAAAATCTCGTTCATGACATTCTGCATTGTTCAGAGGCACTCTTGCTTGTCTGCATCTGCCATATATTCTTGGACCAACTTTTAGTGGTCGTTGTGGTATTTTAGAGTGGAATCAATGATCAGAGTCACATATAGGTATTTCTAACTTACACTGAAGTTCGGGTTTTATGAAAATTAATGGGTGGTGCTTGATATTTTCAGGTGTAAATAATCGTAGATGTAGAATACAATTTAGTAAATGTTGTACAATTCTCGTTGTTTCAGTTTGAGTCTATTGAGAACTTGATTTGACTGTAGGACTTTGAGGTAACGTATCATTGTTTAGGACGAGGGTTGTGTGGGTGACTTTGAGGTAACGTATCATTGTTTAGGACGAGGGTGGTGTGGGTGACTTTTCTTTTCAGGGAGGTTCAGTTATCAGCTGAATACCATGACATGTACTCTTAGAATTTAGCTGCCTGTACAGTCTAGGACAGAATAACATTGCCCGATTGTGTTGTTTGGAGAGACGGTCGTGTTGGTACAATGTGATGTGTGGGTATTTTGTATAGTAGTTGATAATAAATACGAAAGTAGTGAAGTTTGGTCTGTTCGTGTCTTGATTTTGACAAGGCTATATAAACAAGACGTATCAGGCAATGACAACCCCCCCTGACACCGGGTGAAGATTACTATTTTTACGCTCACAGAGGTAAGGTCTGGAATGAGCCAACCTTCTTCTTTCATTTCTTCTAAAACAAAAGATCAAAATGATAAACTTATGTATCCTCACCTGTCTCGAGTTACAATATTGGTCTTCAGCAACTCATGCTTGTCGTAAGAGGCGACTAACGGGATCGGGTGGTCAGGCTTGCTGACTTGGTTCACACATGTCATCGGTTCCCAATTGCGCAGATCGATGCTCATGGTGTTGATCACTGGATTGTCTGATCCAGACTCGATTATATAGCTGGAATATTGCTGAGTGAGGCGTAAAACTAACCTCACTCACTCACCTCAACTGTCTGTTCTACCCAGGATTGTCGTGGGGATTGGAGCTGATACTTGCTGTGCATTGTTCCGTTGAACGTGGCTTCGAATCCCAGCTTACCGTCCATAGGTTGAGAGAATCGCGCTACTCGTAGCTTTATCACAGTGGTCCTGCCTAAGAGTGTGAACTCAACATAATCAGACCTTGGGGGAGAGTGTGAACATCAGTGTCTCACATAGTGAGATCGTGGTGGACAGTGTGGACATCAGTGTCTCACACCATCAGATCCTGGTGGACAGTGTGAACATCAGTGTCTCACACAATCAGATCCTGGTGGACAATGTGAACATCAGTGTCTCACACAAACAGATCCTGGTGGACAGTGTGAACATCAGTGTCTCACACAATCAGATCCTGGTGGACAATGTGAACATCAGTGTCTCACACAATCAGATCCTGTCGTGTGACATCAATTGTCTCAGAGAATCAATGCTGGTGGACAATGTGAACATCAGTGTCTCACACAGTCAGATCCTGGTGGACAATGTGAACATCAGTGTCTCACACAATCAGATCCTGGTGGACAATGTGAACATCAGTGTCTCAAAGAATCAGATGCTGTGGTGGACAATGTTGAACATCAGTGTCTCACACAAACAGATCCTGGTGGACAGTGTGAACATCAGTGTCTCACACAAAGTCAGATCCTGGTGGACAGTGTGAACATCAGTGTCTCACACAGTCAGATCCTGGTGGACAGTGTGAACATCAGTGTCCCACACAATCCGATGCTGGTGGACAGTGTGAACATCAGTGTCACACAATCAGACCTTGGTGGACAGTGTGAACATCAGTGTCTCACACCATCAAATCCTTGTGGACAATGTGAACATCAGTGTCTCACACAATCAGATCCTGGTGGACAGTGTGAACATCAGTGTCTCACACAATCAGATCCTGGTGGACAATGTGAACATCAGTGTCTCACACAAACATATCCTGGTGGACAGTGTGAACATCAGTGTCTCACACCATCAAATCCTTGTGGACAATGTGAACATCAGTGTCTCACACAAATAGATCCTCAGTGTCTCACACAAACATATCCTGGTGGACAGTGTGAACATCAGTGTCTCACACAATCAGATCCTGGTGGACAGTGTGAACATCAGTGTTTCACACCATGATGAATTAGAGAGAATACAACAACTTCAGCTGATACAATTTATTTTGACCGTTGGTATAAACATTCTCACATGTTCATTTGTTCAAATGGACTTCATACATAATACAATTTTGTCAACATACTCATTCACCTTATATGGTCACTCGGCAGTTTGGCGTTACTTAATCATTATGTATAGTTTACTGCAGATCAAACATTCTAGTAACCTTGCCATTCCTGATGCAAGTGATGAGGACCTATTCCTTTTAATGCCCCATTAACTCAATGCAATGTATCATAAGTGAGTGCCTGCATCCTTCATTACTGAGGCAAAAGAAGTGTGTACCATTAACTGAACATTACTAATAAAAATACTGATATGTACAATATAGCTTCACTGACTGTTCTACCTTATATGTACACAACAAACCTCTCATCACAACTAACCAGGACATAATGGTGATAGTTTCAATCTAGTTTAAACAAGAAACTCACACTATGTCTTACCCTTTTAAACTGCAGTTTTCTCAATATGAAAGTAAACACACCTCATCAAAACATGAGTAAAAAACTGAAAAACATTGCTCAACAGAATTTGAATTTGACATTTAGAATTTGATTAAAGATGAAGACATGCATCTTAAAACCTCAAAACTAGGGCAGTACACTCATTCTAAATATTTTAAATAAGATGAAACTAACACTCCAAGGCAAAAGTAACTCATAAAGATCATTCTGTATGATCCTTGACAAGTACTTTTGCTTGAGTAGTGCATATCTTGTTGAAAATATTTAAAATGCCAAAGTAAATGTAAACACAGTGGTAATTGAGCATCACATTTGACAATAACTGATTGTCTTTTTGCAGAGAGTTAAACATACTCATCTATTACATTATAGCTTGTCCTGAAAGAGACTGTTTCGTTCGTTTTGTGCCTTGTGTATATCTAAATAATATCATTCATCATTTCAAATTTCAAATCATACCCAAATGACAATTTCCTATTGTCAAATAGAATAATTATCATTATTATGTTTCATAAAAATGTAAATAATGTTGTAAAGACAATAAATTACTTTGAAACTTAAAATATGCCCCCAAAAGCGGGTCACAAATTTGTATACATTTTATAAAAAATTAGTAAAATGCAGAATGAAACTAGAATGGGATATAGAAAGCCTACACCTAGAATGGACATGGAATCTTCAGAGAACTACACAAGCATGGTCTTAAATCAGAGAAAGACATAATCATAATTCATCACTCTTAAAAATTTGGTTATTTGCTTTGTATTATATTCCATGCTTTAATAATAACTCTTATCATACATGAAGAAAAGATTCTCATAAGCAAATAAATAATATTGTAGTAGTGTCATATTAAAGCAGCACAGTAGAATTTGGCAACAGGTATAGAGTCTCATGATTTTGTTTCTCTCAAGTTTTCGTTGAGATCAGGGGCATAAAAAAACATTCAATTTTTCCAAATGACATTTCAGGACTGAAAATGTAAAACGTTTTCTCAGAAACTGATTCCGAAGCAAATGTAATTTATTTTTTGTTGCCTTGTGTTGTTTGAATGAATTTTACTCTGACTCAAACAAAAATGCTTATCATACAGAACTGGCATCCTCAATAATCTCTAGGGTATACGTTCTGATAAATCTCCACTAGTACCCTGGATGCATCTATGGCTCGGCTCGATAATGTTATTACATCCCTTTGCTGGCTAATGCCTTCTCACAGTAGCCAATCAGATAAGCCGTTACAACCAAGCTTGCCGGTGTCAACAAAGGTAGAGCCCGCAGCCATGAAGGTTTGCTCGCTGTGCGACTCAGATTTAGGGACAAAATCACACAGACAAATTGACAGGTCTGAAACCTTAAAAAATTATGTGCAAGAACTCCTTCTACCTCTTCCAGAGTACCTCTGCAACAATTGTGTTGCCAAGTTTAATCGGTTAGATAAAAGAAGCGAAAGTGAATTTTATGATAGAAGCCATGTGATTGGTATGCTCAGCTTCCCAGAATAGACACCTGATTAGATAAAAAGCCAGCAAAGGGAGGTAATAAAATTATCGGGCCCAGACGTAGATGCATCCAGGATACTAGTGGAGATATATCGGATAGTATACCCATGAGATTATCAAGGATGGAGAACTGGTGGCACCTGGAAAAATATTTTGTACCTCCCAAACAATGAATAAATTATTATGTACAGGATTTATTCATTTATTTAGAAATGTTTGCTGGATGTCCTGTTAAACTGTGTTGTGAAAAAGGATCAAATTCCTTTCGTAGGTAGAAATTATATGATCTGAAAATTTAACTGAAAAATATCTGCCTCAATCATACTTCCCATGACGCCCTCAGAATATTAAATGGTGTCTTCAGGAAGAAAATCTGCTACTTGCAAACTGGGTATCCATTCATAAATCATGTTAATTCAGTCACACAAATATATATATTACATCGGTGTTTTGTAAAGAGGTACAGGACGCACACAGATGGTTAAAAGCATGACAATATAACCAATAGCCTCAATTCTCAAATTTACAAATGTCTTTTAAGTATTGTGTTTATTTTGACCTTTACATTTCTTAAATACGATACCAAAGCCAACTCAATACATCTTAAAATACTTGCAGCTAAATTATCAACATAACTAGGAAAGATTCAAGGCATTTTCTCAGAGAAAATCCTTAGAAAAATAAACCCTTCAACATTAATATAGCTCTAACAAATTAACATTTTGAATGACGTCAGTCAGACCTGAAGTTTTTCCTCGTTTTTTTCTCAAAAGATGACAATATTCCAAGATGCTGACGTAACTTGTTGTCATGCTGGGATTAATCTCTAAAATACTCCTTAAAATAAAAGTTATAACAAAAATGTAAAGAAAGATAGAAAACAAACCAAATTTCAATGATAACATAACATTGGTTATTTTGTTAATATAGAACACCCATACAGTAAACAAGAAAAGAGCGTGTCTGGCCAAACATACCACTGGCCAATCTCGATTCTGGCCTAATGGAAACAACCAGGTCAAAATATCCCAACAAGGAAAGTCAGTTACCGCTGTGCTATTCAAGTCCAAGACGTTCAACAAGGTTAATTAGGAAATCTTCGTCAGTCATGTCAGAATAAAATATTCACCACATTGGAAAAAATAAATTATTGCAAAAATCATGAAACTACCTTCAGTTGTGCATGTTATTTATATAAATATGTAATGAACATGTTCCCAATATTCACACAGCACACAGAGTCAAGATGATCCCCCCTAGGGCCTAGGGCCAAGATGATTCCCAAGGGCCAAGATGATCCTCCCAAGGGCCTAGGGTCAAGATGATTCCCCAAGGGCCAAGATGACCCCCCAAGGCCTAGGGTCAAGATGATTCCCCAAGGGCCAAGATGATCCCCCAAGGGCCTAGGGTCAAGATGATTCCCCAAGGGCCAAGATGATCCCCCACAAGGGCCAAGATTATCTCCTGTAGGGGCTAGTGCCAAGATGATTCCCCACTGGGCCAAGTTGATCCCCCCAAGGGCCAAGATGGTCCCCCTAAGGGCCTAGGACCTAGATGATTACCCCTAGGGCCAAGATGATCCCCCCTTGTGCCTAGTGCCAAGATGATCGCCCTAAGGCCAAGATGATTCCCCCCAGGACCAAGATGATCCCCTCCAGGAGACGTTCACTGTAGAAAAGGGTCTCGTGATACTCATACCAATGAATGGTGAAATGATACAGCAAGGTCATGACACAGTACATGGGGGATACACACATCTTTAGCTTGTTATTGACATTATAGAGCAGGTTCCAAAGGAAAAGATGTATCAAGTGACCTAAATTGATAGTTATATTTATTCATCAGTAACCCAGATTAATCCTTACAATATGGAGAACATTTTCCGTAAAGATGACATTCAGTTTCTATAAGTTCAGTGATAATACACTGATGGATGAACAGATGACAGATGAATTCCATGTCATAAGCTTTCATTAACCACATCAAATGTTACCTAACCAAACTGAAGACATCAAATAAATATCTACCACATGCAAAATATTAACCAATATTTCAAGATCCAACATATAAAATGTTAACAGAAAAGCCATTTTTCGGTCCACACCAATCTGAATTATTTGGTTCAAGAGGTAAGAAACATTTAGCAGCCATGTTTGTTTAGGCCAAAAGGTATCAATAACAAGTTAAAAACCTAGTAAAAGAAATAATATCTCAATATGGACTATATTAAATTTGACAAGAACACTAACAGGTATCCTGATAAGTGAAACTATACAACTCACACTTTGCTAAGGATAACAAAAAATCACAACTATACTTAAACGTAGATCTATAATTTGAAATTGTATCCATTTGAATTGGATAAATAATGATATGGTAACCTCTTTAGCCAAACAGCCACTTTAATCTAACCTAATGCACTTGATACATGAGCAAACATGGAAATTGTTTTCATGGCACCAATCAACCATTTTGCAAATCATGGAACGAGTCATTGACAAGTACACAACACCTGTTAATAGCAGGTATGGGTTCCACAAGACGAAATGACAAACTGAAACCTAGGATCCATGCTTACAATAAGCTTAGATATTTAAACCAAATTTGACCCCATATCAGTTTTCTGTTGAATGCATGATTTGATCCTTAGCAAAGTGTGAATAGTATATTACCTACATTGAGTTAAGTAGTTCTTGTACCTCAATACCACATCATGACATTTTCTCCAAGATCATCTACACCTCCCTTGTTAATGAAACATTAAAAACAGTTGAACGACCCTGTACAAACTGAAATCACAATCAAATTTGTAAACTAAAATGGCAAGCCCTAATCTCACCTAGGTATTAAACTGTTACCATATACCCCACAACATCCACAACACACGACCACATGAACATGAAGGCTGTTTTTCTAGTCGACTATGTACAATATATGTTGCCGCACACAACACCTATAAATAAGATATCACATTTTTTATAGATGTGACACTGTTGTCACCTCATACCTTGTCAGAAATGTCTTGTGCACATGATTAAATACAATACTTATTGCATACACAAACATGGGTAAGTTGATAGTCCTCAGATAAATCTGGTAGTGGGGTTCCCCATGTTAATTCCAATGTTAAAAGTCCAGTTATTCTTCTTTGGAAACACATTATGTGTTTGATATCCGACTCTCAGGCAATCTAACCGCCACAATTGTAAGTGGAGTCTGAACACGTTAGTGAAGTTCCTGTGAGTTTGAGGATTGTAGTTTTGCTGAAAATGACATGCTTTTGTGTATTAACACTGATAAAAGTCCTACAGTGATACAAGCTGAACTCTAGTTAATGCAAATGTGACCTTTGATGGGAAACAGCAGTCACTGGGAACATTGATGTTCTACTGATTCAGATGTCTTCTGATGACGTAGGTCGACTTCCTCCACACGTTGGACGTTCCTTCTAAAATCATCAGTCTCAGTGATCCGCTGGTCTCCTCTCTCTTGACAATGAGAGATGATGAAGAAGATGATGATGATGATCTGATGGATGGTCATGGAACTAATCCACAGGAACTGCCCACAACCATATCCTGTACTGATGATCCACAATTCTCATATACCCCCAAATTAGCCTTTCAAAATACTGCTACCACTAATGCATGAATGCGGGGATTCATGTGATTTCCTCCGAGAAGCCAGTTTTCTGTTCCTTCAGTGTCTTGTACATGAAACTTTCACACTATCATTTTACCCACACTATAAACCACACTCAGAATCAAATAAAGCAATGCCCAAACTACTAAATGCACTCCACATGTTCAAAGCATGATCTGGACATTGCCAAGAGCACACCATGTTACCAAAGAACTCCAAAATGTATGTCTCTCTGAGAACACAAATGTCATCTTCCCCCGACACAAATGTCATCTTGCCTGTCATACATCTCTTGTGAATCAGATCTTCCTAACCCAAGGTGTAACAGTCCACACCAAACAGGAGGTCGTTTATCATCAAACGTTAGTGTTGTAAGTTTGCAGCCGGGAACACAGGTAATGGCAGTAGAACATGGAAGGAACAGGGAGGTTTAGAAATAGTTTGATTTGTCAAATAGTGTCTGTTGCTTCAGCACTGTGAGAAAGAAATAGTTCAACGGTTCTGATATTCCTGTCGATTCATTCAACAATAACAACATGGCTTCAACATCAACCTCTGGCTCAGGGCTACAAGGGGTCATGTCAAATGTTTGCATTTCACTTGGGAACATATCTTGGACTCCTTTCCATCAAAATAGCTATAGGAGATTGTCCTCCCAAAACATCCATGAAAACATTCTATGCAAGCTTTTGACACACCCCTTACTTCATCATACTCCTGGCACTTTAGCTCCGTATATAAGCTGCTGCAGCTTGCGAGGTCGAGGACGTTTCCGTTTCGGCCGGGACCGACTTCGGTAATATTGATTCAACAAAAAAAGCACAACAAGTCCAGTGCTGAGAAAAGCTAATACTGGAAACACATTTGATGTGTCCTGTACGACATGTGGCCCCCCATATTGGGGATCGGCTATAAACCCGGGCTTGTCTTTTATCCCCACGATCGGGTTCAGTAGATTATCTTTCCCCTTCACTGGGGGCAGAGGGGGCTCGAGCTCAATGAACATCAGCTTCTGATGCTGATACAGGTTACTGAAACAGACAGAAGTGGTTCATGGATACTATGACATGCAATCTCATACAATCATTAATTATAAGTTCCTTGAAGATGATTTTGAAGAAGATTGTTGTAAAGCATGTGACCTTTCAAGGTAAACATTCCAGTGATGGTGTCACCATATATATTTACATTACTTCAAGACATATAGGACAGGGGTTACTAGTCTGTAGTACCTACGATGGTGTTGATATATAGAGGGGATGAGCACACAACACATGGGTTACTAGTCTGTCATACCTACGATGGTGTTGATATATAGAGCAGATGAGCACACAACACATGGGTTACTAGTCTGCCGTACCTACGATGGTGTTGATATATAGAGTGGGTGAGCATGCAATCATGGGTTACTGGTCTGTTTTACTTACGATGGTGCGGACTTATTGAGCGGATGAGGCGGAGCCCACACCAAATGTGGACATGTCGGCAGGGGGCGATGACGGGCAGTACCAAGATGTCCCTCCAGCACCTTTGAGTACCGATGTAGATGATTTCCTGGGGAGAGACTTAGCAGCTTAGTGGGAGAAAAGTAGATAGCAAGTACAATCAATACATTAGGACACACTGTACCAGCCAGCAAGAGTCTCGACATCCTGCTTAGATGCTAATCCACATACAACTAAATTTATACATGAGAAAAGCACGCGAAGATCATTCAGCCCAATTGGACAAATAGGCACAATGCCTGTGAATCTGTAAATAGAGAAAATGGAATGGAACGTCAATACAGTGTCACCTACCTTCCATTCTCTCTGGAAGATCAATCGCCATGGACAGAGAGATCTTTTCCTGGTTGGAGAAGATTGGCAGCAAGGTGTTGTAGGCTGTATACTCCAACAGAGCACTCAACATCCAGAAACAGTCTGAAACAAACACACAAACACATATAACATCCTGCTGAAGTGGAGTCCCTGACCAGATCAGTCAGTGTTTCTGGTATGCGTTGTCTATGTCACACTGGGTTGTATACTCGACAAACCAATATGACAGCTGTCTTCCCAAATCTGATGACATCCACTAGAGGTCATACCAGTCACGCGATCGACACACATCATAGCCCACATTGAAAATATTCCCCCAAAAATCTTCGAATTTTCTGCAATTTTTTCCACAAGCATTCAAAAAGTTTTCATTAGAGTCATGGTAGTATAAATTATCTGGTCATGGACTTGCACTGTGAAAGTATTTCTGCCCACCTTTCTGCATGTGGCTGGTATCCAGGCAGTTGGAGTCTCCATACAGCACAACCCGACCTCCACTCCCGGCTGGAGTCTTTGTCTGATGCAGCCCCAGCACCGGTACACTGTCTGTCATCTTGGTGTCTCCCTTCAACACCTCATAACCTGCAAACACATCATCATGGATAATCACTTTAACAGTACTTTCCCCAGGCCAGAGTGTCCACTAGCCAGTAGAAAACCCGAGTCTCCAACCAAGCCTACTTTTATTGGGTCTATCATGAGTGAGTGAGTATGGTTTTACACTGCTTTTAGCAATATTCCAGCAATATCATTGTGGGGGACACCAGAAATGGGCTTCACACATTGTGCCCATGTGGGGATTCGAACCCCAGTCTTCAACATGATGAGTGGACGCTTTAACCATTAGGCTACCCTACCGCCCCAGGCTCCATCATGGAGTCACCCAACAAGAACATGAGTTGTGTCACTTGAGAAGACAAAGCTATACCCAATCAGGGCACTCTTCTTATTTTGAATAACCAACGTGCCAAACAGAACAGACGACCTGGTAGATCAGATGACAAAACGTTTCAAGATTTCGTCCCTGGCAGACTAACAAAATGACAGATTACCACTGTAAAGATACACATTACTGCCATATTTCACTTTTAAATTCCACAGGTGATAACTGCGGCCACAGTGGCGACCACATCTTGGGAACCTAATGTTGAATTTGGCAAATGACCTCTGATGGGATGATCAAAATGTAATATAATGATAGGCCTGAAATGACAAGGGTGGAACCTAGACTTTGATCATGTTGATATAGGATAGAGGAGATCCTTCCTTCAGAAAGTGGCACAATAGTGATGGACCAGACCAATAGACCTGTTTTGGTGTTAGTCACAATTTTAGCAATTCTACCCACTACTTCCAACATTCTACATCTGAGAAAACTTAAGTGACCATTCATATGTGAACATTAATCTCAAGTACATGCTGTTGACTTTATAAACATACTTTTGTGAGTACTTAAGGGTTAAAAGTGTATGTGTAAGTCTTACCTTGATTTTTCAAAGACTGCAGCACTAGAACCCCTTCATCAGGAAATTTGGCTATACTGGTGCCAGATGCATAGTACACTAGAAACAGAAACATCGTCATTTTCATGACGAACATTGCAGACATTCCTATAAAAGAAAAAAACTAATCACAATCTGAATGAAACTTGATGTGTTACTGATATTGAGGTGTATGTGTGTTGCTTCATGCCAATCAGCAGTATCTTAGCTAAATGACGACGGCTTGTAAACAAATGAGTCTCAACTAGACAATCCAATAATTGAATCTGTAAACAGCAATCCTTGCCATCAGAGAGCATTGACAAGCATCAGTCAATTCTGATCACCCAAATAATTAAGTCACCTCGTGTTACCAGAATCAAGACCTTGTGTGATTGACCTGGAGTCTAAAGTAGGTCAAACTGGACTTGGTGAGATCACAAACTGAAGTACAAGTGCTGGAGTTATCTCCCTTCACTGTCAACACCAGTATAACTCTCTGATCTACTCACTGTCATGATCTCCTACTGTATAGTCTCCTTCATACACTTGATCACTAGAGGAGGAAGAGAAATATAGGAATCAATACCAAACATTTCTCAGACATGACATAACTTGAGACTTACAAAACAACTAAAAAAGCTTAAATATATGTCATAGTGTCTCAAAACCCACCAATAAGTTCTATGTTGACGTTTGGAAAGGATTGAAAGCTTTTATGACAATCAATTTATAATATTTTATGACTTTTTTCACAGTCCTGGCCTAATTACTATATACAAGCCCATCATTCATCAAATACATTGACAAAAGTTGTCATATATTATAGAGCAAAACATTTTAAATCCATTTGTTCAAAAGAGCATAATGACAAAGGGTTTGAATGTTATACAAATTTATACAACCAACTGGGATACACTTATGCCACACAATGTCTCCTACCTGAATGCCATTCCAAGGGGTGACAGCAGATCATTAATGGCTGGAATATTAGCACCACCAGTGTCTGGCATCCACCACTGTCTGTAACATCACAAATACAAACCTATGTCAACAGTGGGCTATCCAAAGGGGTCCTTCAACTAAGTACTACAGTATTCTGAGCACCAAATCTCCTGCATGACCTCCACACCAGAGATTCAAGATACAACAAGTGTTTGCCATTGGGTGCAAAATTTTATGATATATCGCGTTATCTTGAGTTTGAAATGCAGTCAAAGTGTCGTGGTGACTTTGAAAATAAGGTCAAGGTCACCCAAATCGATCGGTGTCTGAGCAATCCCCAAAATAGACTGTCACCAAATTTGAAGACGTTGGATACAACAGTGCATGAGATATCACGTTAACAAGTGTTTGAAAAGTGGTCAAAGTGTCATGGTGACCTTGAAAATATGGTCCAGGTGACCTAGGTCGACTTTCTGCATGGTTTGACCTTCTGAAAATATGGTCCAGGTCACCTAGGTTATGGTCCAGGACATCACCTAAGTGCTTTGACTGTGTGTCTGCATAATCCCTGCATAATCCCCAAATGTAGGCTGTCACCAAATTTGAAGACATTGGGTACAACAGTTCATGCGATATTGCGTTAACAAGAATCAGAATGTACGTATGTACGAACGGAGGCTGCTCAATACATAGTCCCCCGTTGCTGTGGGGAACAATTACAGACAATCATCCAGGTCACACCATGTATCCAACTGATCTTCATTAATGCCTTACATGGGGAGCTGGGAGCCTGACCTGCTTCATAATATCTACAGGAACAGAATTCATGGAAAGAAAGTCACACCACTCTACTTTCATCCTCAACAAAATGGAGAATCTTTGGCTACTGAAAACACATACCTGGTATTTTCATCGTAGAATTTGACCTTCTTCATGACAGAGACATTGTACCAGTCAGCAAACACGATGACTGACAGTCCCTGGTCAATGTCCCGCTTCAACTTGGTCACCTCTTCAGGGAAATACTCCTCCTCAGCATCAACAATCAACAGAGTTCCTGGCAAGCACATGAAGGATACACCGGTTTAACTTTTCTCTCTTGTAGGGTAGAACATTGGTAAGGTACAGTGAATGGTGGTTTATGTGTAATAAGTTACATAAACGTTTCCAGGTGGAACAGTGACTGATACAATAATCAAACAACAATGGCTTGCTTGAAAAGTGGCTTACTGTTGCTAAACCACCAGGATAATTATTAGAAAACCTTCTTCCCTTGGCAAAGATGTTAGCCACCTGATCCCCATTTCATGCAGCCGAAGGGCCTGATTCCATGACACAAACATATTCTTACAGGGAACACCTGGGATTAATCAGTTGAAGTCGTCTCCCCAGAATAAATATTATAAAGTTCTAGAAGAATTATCAAGAAACACTATCAGTCACACAATCCTGACTGCTGGCAACATGAAACTAGATAACAGAAAACATACTGGGTCTAGAAACATCCTCACTTAGGTGCTATTCTAACACAACATCTGTATAATGCTATAGACTCACCATACTGACTAGCATCAAAACATGTGAATGGTGAACCTGAAACGCAAGCAAAATTTGAAAGACAGTTATTTTTTCGAAGATGTAGTCACTGAAAATCATAGAGTTGCAGTCAATGAAAAGTACATAGTTTTAAAAATAAACAATAAAAAAATTAAAACTGATAACAAATGAATAGTTGAAACACTGTTGTCTTACATATTTGGGGGAAATGTAAATACTATCATACTGGATGAAGTCATTTTCTTTAGATCTAATACAGATCTAACTGGAATTAGCTGTGCTGTGATTGCTCCTCACCAAGAACCTCTACGAAGTAGCCACTGCTCCTCAGATGCTGGTACATGTCCTTGAAGTTGGTGTGAATGTGGTCCCCGTTCCTGCACAAACATCAAACAAATCAGTTGGAATTAAATAAAACACCATCAGAGGCATACCCCTGAAGATACAGCATCCCGAATATCACTAACAGAGAACAGTGAAGTAAAATACAATAAAGCATAACAGAAAAACATGTTTATCAAACGTGCATATTTCACATCTTCAGAAGGCAGTAAGGCACACTTGCACAAAGCGATCTTAGAAGATCGTAACTCCCATACTGCAACATAGACGTAAGATGGTCATAGCACTACTATCACTTTGTGAAGTGGTCCCAGTACTGCTACTTGGAGTGTTACTATATAGGACTTGGTAAAGCAGTATATACTGCACTTCCAATAACTACTGTACAAGACAAATCACATCAGATAAGTGAAAAAGTGAGAAAACATTTTCAAAGAATGCATGTTGATGCATTACCAGTCAAGTGGATCATTCTTCATCCTGAGATTGTCTCGAGGGAAGTATCCTGGAGGGTAGCGGAGATTATGGTACTGATCCCACAGGATACGTTTGCTGAAATACACACACACGTCAGATAGATTAGTTTGTTTGTTGTGCAGTTCACACTAAGCAACATTCCAGCTGTATGACAATAAATCTATATCTGTTTAGCACCTTTGGTTTGCTTCTGAAGCAAAGTTACCATTTCAAAACCTTTTGTCACCAACTCAGCAAGCAATATCTATGGCAATATCTCCTTGGCTTGACATCAACAACCAATCATCATCAAAGCACCAATTTGATGGGACAGTTATTGTGTGTATTGATGCCAGCTTAACAAGGGAGGTAACCCAAGGTGAACCAGATTACTGATACCTCTCAGTTCTGGGAAACTAGCAAAGGAAATAGAGCAACAAACCATGAATACTGATTGTGGTAGTCTGGGATTCAAAACTAAACCATAATGATATGATCTTGGCAGAAAGAACTATGTTGAGTTCTCTAAGGCTACACGAAACTTGTGCTGCCGAGTACTCACCTTCGTGGAGGGGTGGGAATGATTTTCACCCTGATCGGTAGTTTCACCGTTGACTGCCTCACATCTTTTTCTTCACTCTGAGAAAATAACATATAACTGATCACATACTATCAATGAACAATATGCCAGTAGTTGATTAATTTCTGTCACACAATGACATCATCGGTTCTTCCAAATTTGCACTGAAATGTTAATAACAATATTTGATTTGTACCATATGCTGACCATATTTATTTAGAACGATCATAAGACATAATGTTTGAATAGAATCATACCTCTGCTGGAGATTCCACTGTAAGGGTTATCTGCCCCTGAGCAATGCCTTCCCATGTTGCAGCATTCTTAGACACAGTTACAGACACAGCCAGGAACCCCGACCATGGCCACAACACAGGTGAGTAGGAGAATGCCACTTCAATGTGGCTGCCAAACTGAGGCGTATACGGCTCCCACTTCGGCTGCAATAAGTCAAACTCTTCTTACAACATGTATATCACCACCTCCCAGTAAATGCTCACAGGTCATTCTACACATTCATAATTGTACAGATGGTGAGTTTTCTTTTACTATGCTTTCAACAATATCTTAGCTATATTATGGCTGAGAACAGAAACTGGGTCCACAGAATGTACCCATGTAGGGAGAATGAACCCAGGGTCTTAGCATGACAAGCAAACACTTTAACCACTCACCTACTCAAACACTCTGTAATAAGCATATTGCATAGGTCATGTGTTAACATATTTAGGTAGACAGATTTACAAATTATGTACTGTTAAACAGATTTTACAATTGTATAAATTTTCTGTGAACTTGAATATGTTTACCTTATCTACTATCTTTCCTGAAACTCCCATTCCATTCAAGATTGTCACCTGGAAAATTCGAACTAACCTGTAGAGGTTTAAGATTCTTTGAATATATTCCTCCTTGGGGTACTTATAAGCATTTAAATGTCCATTTAAAATCCCTACGACAGTTGTAACAATATTTTGAATAAAATATTTACAAAACAAAACTACGTTTTGTCTTGTGAGACCACCCTTACAGGGCCCTCTGGCCCCTACAATAAGAGCAGGTAACTCCAGACCGTAACCTCGTACCTCACTTTCCATGCTGAGCGAAGTCAGACAGAATCTTGAGGGAGGTGGTAGTACCCAAGGAGGAATATATTCAAAGAATCTTAAACCTCTACAGGTTAGTTCGATTCTTTTTATATATTCCTCCTTGGGGTACTTATAAGCATAAGACAGACTCCTAAAGGCGGATCTCAGGGCGGCATTCTGTCTGCTTAAACACCCCGACAAGAAGTGGAATTTCCCAAGCTAATTATAGCAGAAAAGGCACACTTACCGGTCCGTGTCCACCAAAGCCAATCAGGCGGGGGCATGAGCCAGGGTCAGGGGAGTAGCGTATGCAAATTTTGTCCAGCGAAACCTGCAGCTAATGCAGCGAGCGAGACACACCCTCCCTCCTTCCCGTAATCTACTTTCGGAAGTGAAGATAAGGGTCCATAATAAACCCAGAAGCGAAATGCGTGAACAGCAAAGTTTCCAAGGGCAGTTTAGTCTATAAACTTCTCCGGTTAGAAAGCAAGAGACATGGGAATAAAAACCATCACCACATAAAACCCATCACCAAGGGGAAATGTAACAAGATTTGTAAAACCCAACACCAGTGTTAAAAATTGGCGAATAGCGGTTCACACAATAAAACCTCGAAAGCTCAATGCGGCTAGAGAGGTGGAACCATGCCCACTGGAGAGAACTGACTGACCGAACCGAGCAGCTCACTGGAGAGTCTGTCAAGTTGGTAATGACGGATGAGCGTGCTCGGGCGGCTCCAAATAGCCCATGAGCAGATCTCCTCAATGGGCAGGGCTGCAGCGTAAGCTGTCGATGTAGCCACTGCCCTAACCGAATGAGCCTTCAACCCTACAGGCGGGATCGCCCTGTTTGAGTATAGCTCATGTGTATGGCAGAGACAAGCCACCTAGAAATGGTTTGCTTGGTGGCGGAAGACCAGCCTGAACCCGCCATAACAACAAAACAATTGGTTACCCTTACGGGTACCCTTGTTCGTTTGATATAAGCCTTAAGTGTCTTCACGGACATCTAAGGCGTGAGCACGTCGTAGAGAGTACCCGGACAGGGAAGGCTGAGTGAAAGCTGGGAGCTCAATAGAAGCCGTCACATGGAAGGGACTATCCTTCTTAGGGCCGGTAAGTATCAGGCAGCCGTATGCTAACTCTGTCTTTGTGAAAAACAGTAAAGCGCGGGATCGGCCGACATTGCGTGAATATCGCCAACCCGCCTGCCTGAAGTCACCGCCACAAGAAGCGCCGTCTTCCGTCAACAGCTGGAGTGAAAGAACCGACAGATTGTGAAACAGTGGACGGACAGCCAATCAAGAGCGATTGACAAGTCCCGCGAGGACTAATCCGCCCGGACAACGGGACCAGTTTCTGTCCACGCCTGCTAAAAAGCGCTGTACCAGAGGGTGCTGCCCCAAGAGAGCACCGTCAACAGGAATGTGAAGCGCCAGAAATAGCTGTAGAATATCCTCGAACAGTTGAAGCCGCTAGACCGGCTTCCAGCGAACTGGAGGAATTCTAACACACAGACTAAATCTGTAGAAAGGGATCAAGAATCCCCTGTTGACACACCAGCGAATAACAGGCCCATCTATCCTCATATTGAGCGTTTGTCCGAATCCCTCCAGCGAAGCCAGAATTGTGTCTGCAACTGGTGCAGGAATTCCTTTCGCATGGAAGCGATCCCTGATAGCGGCCAAGCCACCCACTGAATCCTGGGATTGGTGGGGCGCTCCGTTCTGGGATAGGAGGTCGGTCGAAAAGGTAATAGAACAGGAGGCTGAGCCAGAAACCTGAGAATTACGGAAACCAGCTTTGTGCCGACCAAAGGGGTGCCAGAAGCACAAGTAGCCGAGCTGGTTGTCGCGGTCAGCTCGCGACAGGACCCTGGAAATCAGTGGTATCGGGCAGCATACAGTACCCTGTCCGTCCAATCTAGCTGAAAGCGTCGTTGGCTAACGCACCCGGATCGAATCCGGGAGCAAAACACAGGAATCTGGTTCGTCACCCCAGGCGCAAACAGATCCACCTGGAAACGACCGAACAACTGGGAGATAATCCCGAATATCTCGGTCGAGCATCCACTTTCGTGTGGGGCTAGTATCGCCCGTGAGCGCGCGTCTGCGGGGCGTTGTCTACCCGGGGAGATAAACAGGCAAAACCGAATGTTGAACTGATCGCACCACAGTAGAAACTGCCACGCCTCCTGAAGGGCGGCGGAGACACTGTGCCGCCTTGCTTGAGAATGTAAGTCATGGCGTTTGATTGTCCATTTCTAGGCGAACCACCGCGGCCCTGCACCAACACCGGAAGCACTTTCGAACACCTTGCGGACTGCTCTCAGTTCTAACACATTGATGTGTAGGCTGACCTCCCGCTCCGACCAGAGGCGGAGGCTGAGTGCTTCGCCAGGACCCCCAACCTGTGAGGGGCGTCCGTCTGAACTGAAGGGAAGGTGTCGAGGGTGTCGAGGGGATCCCCTGGACAAATTCCGACTTCCGTCCACCATCGCCAAGTGAGGGATTAACCACTCTGGCGTTATGAGCATAATCTACGTAGCCCTGCGAGTGGGACCACAGCTGAGCTAATGCTTGCTGAATTGGTGCATCCTCAGGCAGCGCCGCGCCAAACCCGTCCACTGTCGCCGCCATGTTGCCGAGCAGCGAAGCCATGTTGGGCGGCGCAGCGGGGACTGGAGGAACTGTAACACAGTCCCTCGGACTTTGGCGATCGCGGTCGAACAAGGGAAACAATCCCTAAGCGCCGTGTTGAATCTGGCTCCCAAGAATATCAGATCCTGCGTCGGAGCGAGTTCTGATTTCTTGAGATTGATAATCCAGCCCAGTGACACCAGAGTATCCAGCGCACAGTGTGGAGGCTCTGCTTAACTGAGCCCTAAGGCCCGTAGAAGCCAATCGTCCAGATGCGGGTGACAACACCTGCCCTGAGACCTGGCTAACTGAGCTGGGATTAGCATAAGTTTGGTGAACACCCTTGGCGCCGTGGAGATGCGAAGGGAGCCGCAGCGAAACTGGTAGCCGCGTCCGTCGAAGGAGAACGGAGGTACTTCTTGAATTGAGGTGCATTGGAACATGGAGGTATCGTCTTTGAGATCGATTGGCGTAAGCCAATCCCTGTCTCCGGCGGAGGAGATCACTGACCTGAGTGTCTCCATCCTGAAAGCGGCACCTCCAGTAATTTGTTCAGCCCTCTGAGATTCAGAATGGGTCTGAACCCTCCGTCCTTCTTGGTCACGCGAGGAAGTAGGTGGAATAAAACCCCTCTTCTCGCTGACTCACAGGAACCACCTCGATGGCTGCCTTGGTCAGTAAAGACTGAACCTCGGCACGGAGGACTTCCGCCTTGTCGCGGGAGGTCGGCACAGGCGTGTGCGAACCCGGAGAAGGGCGGAGGATCAGCGCGCCTCCACTGTGGCAAATGGCCATCCCTGGCGTGGACAGGACCCAGGGATTTGAGGTGGCTGCCTCCCACTCCCGGAGGAATAGGGACAGCCGGACGCCCGACAGGGGCGTGTGGCAAGAGGCAGTGCACCCCACCGTCGGCAAGTCTCGCTTGCGTGAGTGGGGGCAACAAGGGCTCTGGGGCATGAATCAGTGGGAAGCGGGGCTGGCTTCCCCTTGCCCCGAAAACTGCTGCTGCTGGCGCCAGGCCTGCCCTGCCTCTCGATCGCCTGCTCGCTTGGACTGCAAAGGGGCAGCCCACTTAACAACATCCTTCGCGGGCGAAGGGTAGCGGATCTGGCGGGGAGGGCGATGGCGAGGCGGAGGGCTGCTCCAACAAAGGCTTTGAGTCCTTAAAAGTAGAGACAGCCTCCGGCGGCCTCCTAACCACCTGCAATGCCCCAGGGAACAGGGAAGATCCCATGGTATAGGGCAATGAAAGTAGAGCTTGCTGTGTGGCCGGCGAATACCGTGCCACAGACAGCCACAGGCGGCGCAAGCCCATGACTGCACCCATCATCTGGCTGGCACAGCACCTAATGCTGTCCCGAGCCAGATGTGAGTGTACATCCGTTAGTTGCCGCGAGCACCGACTCCGATGAATCGGCACCGCCAGCGCTGTGGGCCACCAGCTGTCCCTGCAATGCAGACAGGTAGGCTGAATGGACGGCCACTTTAAGCTGCTGAGCCGCGCACCGGTAACATTCTTCAAATGACCGGTAGGCAGACTTCAGCGGTAGGGATGTACTAGCGGAAAAAGGGGGCGCCTGCCCTGCCTGGCGAGGCCAGGGAAGGCGAAAACGACCCTCCTAATGTAACCCGAGGCAAATCGCTTTTCGTCCACCACTGGTGGTTGAAGCGTCTCCTCACCTAACTGGTACCGCCTGCCCGTCAGGCAAATCAAAGCGGGCGGTACCAGCAAGGGCCGGATTCACCACTTCACTGACCAGTGATGGGAGAATCGCGCAAGCGAGCCTCTGCGACCGGTTGGAGTCGCGAGCGCCTCCCGGGAGCGAAACTCAGCGAAGTCGGTTGCGGGGCGGGAACAGCCACCTGCGGCAGGACTTGGCGATCTTATCCCGAACCTGCGCGGGGGCGAGGCAAAGAGTCACGGTACTCCGCCTCCGGTTCCTCCGTCCCTTCCTCCTCCTCCATATCGACCTCGGCAGAATCCTGGCCCGTCATCATCTCAGACTCCTGAGAGAGCGCCCGAGGAGCATGAGGCAGGACCAGACAAAGTAATAAGGTCCAGAGGAGCCAGGGGAAAAACATCACCCTGCGGGAGGAACCAGCGCCAGGTCGCCGAGTAGCCCGAGGAACCTGCGCAACAGGCTTCCGGGCAGCCCAGACTGGCTGCCAGGCGCCGAGGTATCCCGAACTGGTGGTGCCTAGCGACCACCAGTCGGGGACACCAGGCGATGACAGGGGCAACCCTGTCTGCGCCGGCACCAAACACCTGTGACAGCCCGGGCGTAAAGCCAGGTCGTCAGCAGGCGCCGAGGGCATGCTATCGCCCGGCGAAGCCAGGATCAAGCCGCCGGGGCGGCGTTCTCGAGCGAGCTTCGGGCGCAATAACCCCAGATGTGTCAGCTCCGCCCCGGCGACCCGGTAGCTGAGCTCCTTCACGGAACCCTGCTAGCGCCCGTATCAATCAGGGACTTGACTGACGACATCTGCTCCTGGAAAAAAATGGTTAAGGAATCAACAGGAACATTTTGCACAGGTGCTGAATCAAGAGGGGGGGTGGCGGGTACAGAGATGGAAGCAGGAGGAGACGCCGAAGGGGCATGAGTGCGTGACGAAGCCGCCTTGGTAGCCTTAGCTTTCTTGGGAGCCGGCTCCGCGTGGGAAGCGGCTCCCGTGGACCCCTTTTTCCTACTATGGGAGCGCTTGGACGGGGGATCCTGCGCCCAGAGATCACCCCCCGCCCGAAGCAGGTTGCTGTAAAACAAGCGTGTCTATCGCGCCTCGACCCGAATGGTTTGGGGCGAGAACATGGCACATGCCGCACACCCCTCTTCCTCATGTTCCTTCTGCACTAAACAAGCGTAGGCAGACCTGCGTTAGGAATCCCGTGCGGGGATTGCAGCAAGGCAGGAAGTACAGGGTTTAAACTGCAACAAGTAAAAACCTGTGCAGCAATCTACCCTATACCCACATACAAATACATGTAAACAGGCGCGTAGGCGACACAACTAATCGACAGCGTGGCATGCAGTTGACCTAGTACACACTGCAGCATAACTAACAATTCACGGTTTTAGCGTAATATAGAAAATCGAGCAGTTGACATCGCCCTACTGCGTACAAAGATACAAATAAAAATCACTAAAACCACCTGTAACATTGAAAAACCACATGGGAAACCAATGAACAGGAAGGCTAGCGAAGGGACCTGTCCGCCATCTTGACCGCACTAGCGAGCCGACCCGCGACAGGTACCAAGTTACAACGAGAATTTATGAATGAAAAATTCAGAAAAAACCTCCAATTAAGCCCATGCAGGGAAAAAGAGAACCATACATACAGTTGCAGTTTCTGAAACACTCATTTCTCTATAGTCGCAAGGAAAAACCTTCTGGTATGGACCCGTCGTCTTGTCGGTTTTAGCGACAGCATGGAAAGTGAGTGCGAGGTTCACGGTCTGGAGTTACCTGCTCTTGGCTGTAGGGGCCAGAGGGCCCTGTAAGGGTGGTCTCACAAGACAAAGCGTAGTTTTGTTTTGTAAATATTTTATTCAAAATATTGTTACAACTGTCGTAGGGATTTTAAATGGACATTTAAATGCTTATAAGTACCCAAGGAGGAATATATAAAATGCCCAGTAACTAAGGCAAGAAAGAGCTGAGCCACTGAATCATATTTTTTATCAATATGAAAACCAAAATGAGAATCATTATGTATCCGTTATTGGATCCTGAGGAATTCTGAGGCCACTTACGTTTACAATGACGGGCATGCCTCCATAGTAGATGGGCTGTGTACAATAGGGCCACATGTAGGGACACTCGGTTAGGTCAATGTAGCTTGGACTCAAACTGCAACACAACAATATATACATGCTCTGCTATCAAACATATGATCCAGATACATTACACATAAAACATACATCAAGCAAACAAATATTCACCATTATCAAATATAAACATCATTGCCTATTTAGCCTATACTGTCTATAATTCTTGACTTAAATATAGAAGAAAGGGATCAAAAAGACAATCAACACATCAGTACCTGGCCTGTGGTTTGTAGGTGGTGAGGGTCTGGTATGCTCGGAGCAGATCCAGTTTGCCATAACCCTGCTCAAACATGTTGAAGTCTGGCAGTCTCCGTGCTGAAGCCATCAGGGCTTGCTTCATGCTGGCTGGATTGACAACATCAGCCCGGTCCAGTACAGCACTGTGCATTGTAACATACCAGATAGTGTCACTCAGCATTTAATTAGATCTACATGTATTCTGACATTGGAAGGATTGGGTACAGGTTGTCAAAACTTAGCTATATGAAAATGTACAACTTTATGAGTAGCAACTCCTGACTTACTGCACCTAGTGAGGTTTAGATATAGATTCATACATCACCACGCTTGATAATGGTAAGAATCTACATGAGAACATTGTTACATTCCATAAACCAGACGTTTTTAGCCATAAACTTGATAAAGTTGACACATTTTCTTATTTACCCACCAATGTCGAGAATGCTAACAAAACACCTTAGATGCCACATTCTCACATTAACTAATCCTTGTACCCTGTTTCATCTTGTTATACTATACATAATGAATATATCGTAAAAGTAAGTACAGGAGAAAATGAAATGTTTTTGGGTTACATGTTTATCACGCTACAGTAATTTCAAACATATCACATTTCTTATAAAGTAAAAATCTATGAACCACACTGCCTTCAAACTTTCTGTGACTGACCTTGCAAGAAGAGTTACTGCCCCTGCAACAACAGGAGATGCCACACTTGTTCCAGACAGAGATCGACATCCACCCCTAGGAAAGTATAGAGACAATTACATTAGTCTAATGAATCTTGCAGTTAATGTATTAACACAAATACAATGGCACCAACTTGATGGAATAATCCTTCAGTAAGCTCCAATTTTACATTTAACTAATCCTCATTACACTTTATGGCACGTAAAACCTCTAATCTGTGAACTATTTACATGTATGTCTAATGAGATGAAAAGGCAAGTTAAATGTATGGTCTTAATATTTGTTGATCACTGGATGACTGCAAGCAGTGTAACACCTGAATAGTTCATTTCACAATTCAGAAATGTTTGAACAAAAGTATTCCTAACAGCATAAACATAAGAATAAAGCATGTAATCATAGACACTGCATTGTTACAAACAAACCACATGTGAATTGCGATAATGTCTAAGTCAGACACTTCCATCATGTTATATTTGATTTAGTCTACACAACAGTTACTAATTCCCATGTGAACAGTATGATGGTTGGTGACTTACTTCAGAGCTGATCCCCGAACAGCCGAGCCATAGGTGACAATATCAGGCTTCATACGTCCGTAGCCAGCAGGGAGTTCCTGAAGGTAAAACACAATCAGTGCTAAACTTACACTAAATCAACTGGTGGTGTGTGGTCCTGTGCGTAGAGCTCAGGTCACAATCAGTTGAAGTTAAGCAACGTTGGTCGCGGACAGTCCTCGGATGGGTGACCGTGTTTGGCAGCTTGACTCCTGAGAGTTTCTAGGACTTCAGTCCTGCCCCACAACGAAGCACATGTGGCGCATGTGGTCTCACCTTAGGCAAGTGAGTTTGTTCAACATTGCTTCTGTCCACCCAGCAGTAAAATTGGGTACCTGGTATGATACGATGGTAGTCTGAATTTGAACTTTGAGCGCCTGACAGGTGACCGGTTGTATTCTCCACATGGAGTGTTCTGTACTCGTTGACCAAGGGGTAATATGTCAGCGCTTTGAGCATGCAATGTGCATGGATAAAGGCGCAATATAAATGAACTATTATTATTATTATTATTACATCAACAAGCAACGCTATTCTTTACCCTTCAGCCACCATGGCTTCAAATGCAGAACTGTTCTTTGCCACCCTCTTGGGGCCCCATGTTGGCTAATCAGAAACTGTGTCAGTTTAATGTAGGAGGTAAGCTCTGACGTCTACAACTGTAATGAAGTTATGAATAACATCCGGTACCCGCGATTAGTAGGTTACCCCAGCAAAGGGACACAACTCAGAGCAGCTTGTGGTGCCTTACAACCCTGGTCAATGTAAAAGGGAAACAAATGGTCTTACCCATGTGGTCATGCCTCGAGATGAGAAGCGCGCTATTTGGTGGTCGAAGTTGATTCCACCTACACCGATTACATCCATCTGGTCAGCGGGATTGTTCAACGTTCTGCACAAGAAACACGCATTTATTGTTATTGTTATGATTACAGGCAATTCTAATTGAACAGACGAGACCATCAAGACAAAATCAAACTTTGAAGAAATCTGTTGAATCATGACTGACCAAATACTTCTTTGTAAAACAAAGTCACTGTCAATATCAAGTTAATATTTTAGCAGGGGTGTAAATAACCAATTGCCCGACGTCCGAGTCCAGTGTTTTCTTCCGTCGGGCAAGCAAATTTGTATATCACGCTGTACCGGTGTCCAGTTGACTTTCCAACGTAAATCAACAAGAACACGGACGGTATAGTGGAAAACTTATCAGGGCAAGTGATTTTACATGTGCCACAATACCAGGGTACACTAGCAATTTGAAAGTTATTTCCACCCCTGTTTAGGCAGTGTTCTTAGAAACAAAAACCCACATACTTTGCATTACAAGCATAACAGATACTATAGATAACTATATAAAACTCACATTCAGAAATAACCATGTCAACTGCCAACTATTTTCACTGCACTGCTGAAGTGACTCCATGTAATGACATGTGACTACAGGATTTTACGCAACGCGTAAATGTGCATCCAGTATGCACAAATGTAGAGAATAGACGCAGAAAATATAATTCGCTATGTCCTGATGGATGCTAAATATTATTCATTGTATCAACAACACATCTATGACTTTGCTAAGTGTTTGGTTGTTTCTTTCAGAGCAGTTACATGCATCATTTCTTCCACCAGTCCATATGATCAATGATTCATTCCAGGCTCTAAAGAAATGATCAAAGCATGCAGTTCTCTACATCATTACTTCACAGGACCCTCACACAGCCTGCAAGGACACCCCCATGTTAGTGAGTTGAGGTAAAACTCTGTGTCTACTTACCCATAGAGAGGGCCATCATTCCCTATAGCTGACACCATGATCACCTTGTTCGCTGTCAGCTCCCACACCTGATGATTAGCAATACAGTTAGACCTTCATAAAGTAAACCACAATGACAGGAGAAAAGTTTCTCTTGCTTGGAAAAATCACTAGAAGTGACCAATCATAGAACCAGAATCACACAGATATCTACAGACAATAGGAGTTTCCCAAATGTGCTGTCCACAACGGCCATCACACAACGTACACTATAAAATCAAAAGCCTTATGTCTGCTGTATGGTCAGTGGATTCGCACATCAGTGCATGGCAGTAGCTAGGATCTTTATCAACTGGTACAAAACACCCTTTTAACTACAACAAGAAGCCCTATTTGTAAGGTTAGACTTCATCAGTTGCAATCAGTCTCTCCATTCAAAATGTCAGTAATGAGTTGGCACCATGGGTTACCTTGTCAACAAAGGGATGATCCATGAAGTCTGGTCCCCCGATGCTGAGATTGAGGACGTTGATCTTCTTAAGTATAGCATAGTTAAAGGCATCCAGAAACCATGAGGTATAGGAAACCTGCACCAGGGAAAAACAGAGTTACTGATTTTAACACCTCTAATGTCAAATATATTCAAGAGGAAATCTGAAGTGACAATTACAACTTTGTTAGGTGCTCACAAAACATGGACTATAAGCTGGGATCTGAGCCTCCCTCTAAGGGACTTCATCTCAATGCTCAATGATAATTACTTCTGCTACGGCAAATATAATACTTGAACTATTTATGCATTGATTATTTTCATATTGCTTTAATGGTTTTAGTAATCACTGAATACTGAAGAAATATGATTCCAAGCTTCATACCTGATTATTAGTAAAAACTCTAAAAACAAAAATATCTGCATCTGGAGCAAAGCCAAGACATTCCTGGGAGCTGGCAATAACACCTGCCACAAACGTTCCATGTCCGAGGCCTGGAAAACATGGCAGCACAATTATGGTTACAACTCAACAGTACTTCATTACAACCACATGGTGCTGAAGATGGTTATAAATGATAATCACTATTCCTTCATTACACTAACAGATTTATAACATCTATCAATATATTTTGATTAATTATAAAATCAACAGACTAATTTTTATTAACTCATGCAAATCTCTTACCATCATCTAATGTCTTTTCATTTGTCCAATTTGACCTGTCCTTGACCTTCCCTTTTTTGAAGTGAGGATGATCTGATGCCAGTCCAGTATCAAATATAGCAACCCTGACGCCAGCGCCAGTGAATCCCATGTTCCAAAGAATCTCAGACTGGAGAGCACTAACAATCTGCAACACAATAACAACATAATGACAATAAAGAGCAATACACATACATTATCTAACTTTATCTCACAGTCTGTGAACCAAATTATTTCCCCAACACTCTAACCCTCCCTGCAATGCTAAAGCCCCAAATGAACAAGTCTAGATTTCCTCAGGTTCTGAATCTCCCATCTCACTGGGCTCCTTCTCATTTAAATGGGATTATTTGTTTCTATCAAAATTATATATATAGACACTAAGCGTTAGTTTATACAATGCGTGAGAGAGTTTAAATTTGTGCCGTTTTTAGCAATAAACGAGCAATACCATGTCGGGGGACACCAGAAATGGACTTCACACATTTTATCCATGTGGGGAATAGAACCCAGATGTTTGGCGTGACGAGGGAATGCTTTAACCACTAGACTACCCCATCACCCAGGACTATACAGCAACAGGCATCCGCAGCTGTGTCATATAGATATACCCTCCTGAGCCACACCACTGGTTAACTTACCTGCTTTGGTACAGATCTCATCAAATTCCTTGACCGGTGCCTTGTTGGCCCATGCCAATATGCTGCTCCCTGTAATTTAGAGAGAAAATTAAGACTGTTTTAAACAGTATTGTAGGTATGTCGTGATCTTTCAGTTTGAAAATGTAATTTTCTGACTAAAATTGATATTTTATACTTATCCTGACTCATGCTAAATGCTTGTCTCCTTCTCCTTGCGAGTGATAGTGGAACATTTGAAATCCCTTGAAGTTCCCTTCTAAAAAGCGGATGTAAAATCACCACTCACCCAGGAGTTACCTCCCTTGCCCCTTTGGTGCCCTTTTGGTCACCTGACTGGCCATGTTTTGTCACTCTCTCTGTATGTATGCCCGACACTCGGATTTACAAATCCAGAGTGTCATAAGAGGGGAGGTTGGGAGGGCTGACCTCATGAGTCAGGATAAGTATAAAATATCAATTTTAGTCAGAAAATTACATATTTTCCTTATCCTGACTCATGCTAAATGCTTGCAGAATCCTACGGAATCGGTGGTGGGTCAGGCCACTTCTGGATTCTCTGGCTGTTGATTTATGTCCTGTATTACTCCCCATGGGAACTTATGACAGCACTGCTTATGATTCTGTTCTTCCAACTTCCATCTGATGAGTCGGGGGGAACCACAACTTGTCAGATTTCTTCCAAAACTTCTCCTGACATTTTCATGCGGATTTTAGATATACTAATGTTCCATTAGTTATCTATTGCAACTCCATCTCTTGATGTGTGCATCAAGTGGAGATGCGACTCTCTTCATGTACGAGTAAGTCCTATACAAGTACAGGGTCTATCACTCATGCTTGTCCGTCCTAGAGTCGTGTGCATGGACTTTAACCATTTGCTCTCCAGACCGTTGGTTTTCACAAGTCACATGATAAAAGGGTGAGATTTTTCTCAGCGCCTTTGTGGAACCGTTAGTTGTTGTGCTACAACAAGTGGCCCAAACTGGTGAATGCCTGAGACGTCTTCGGTGGCAATGTCTCTGAGGTAGTGGTTGGCAAACACCACGTCCGATTTCCTAAAGCAGCCCTCCATTATTGTTGTAATCGAGCAGTTTCCATGCAGAGCAAGTGTAGACACCAAGGTTTTGACTTCGTGGGGATTGGAGGCTCGTGGAGGCTCAAGTCCTGCTGCTTTGTAGGCCCTTAGTATGACGGCTCTCATCCATACTGATATATACTCCTCACAAAAAGTTAAGCAACAAGTATTTTTTTCCACATATTTTCTTCATGGGTATATGAAGTTATTACTTGGCATATAAGCCATGCAGGAGAACCCTTTACGATTGATGAACTTAAAGCATTTCCCATATTGTTTTTCTGATAACATTGTTAGCACCGCCTGAACGCAACCACCCTCAAAACTCACATGCAAAATGCATGGAAAACATGTGCTATACACGTCGCACATGCGTTCTGATTGCGTTAAAACTGCCAGCAACGACAAATTGTTGACAGTAACATTTGAGAAATGGCTAGGCGTCACTTGACACCAATTGAAGTTGCTCAAATTGTTGGAATGGTGCAGGGGGTCAGACCCAGAGTGCTGTTGCCAACCATTTCAATGTTCATCGAAGCGTCATCTCCAGAGCGATCACTCGTCACCAACAGACCGGATTGATGACTGAGAGACCAGCTCAGGTCGTCCAAGGGTGACAACTCCCAGAGAGGACCGATGCTTGGCCACCCTAGCCCGGCGGAACAGGTTCACCACAGCCAGATCTCTCCAGAATGACCTCCAGAGAGTTGCTGGGAACAGAATCTCCACACAGACAGTGAGGAACAGACTCCATGCTGAAGGTCTCAGGTCCCGGCGACCAGTGCAACGTATCCCACTGCCTGCACACCATCGTCAACAGAGACTGAATTGGGCTAACCAACGGCGTAACTGGAGAGTCAATGGCTGGCGTAATGTTCTCTTCACAGATGAGTCAAGATTCTGTCTGGACTTCAATGATGGTAGGGCTCGTGTGTGGAGAAACCGTAGCGAACGATACGCCAACTGTAATGCGATTGCTGAACATGATCAGTATGGAGGTGGGAGTTTGATGATCTGGGCAGGAATCCAAGTTGGACTGACGAACTGATCTTGTGGTCATCAGGCGAGGTACCATGACAGGTGTGAGTGCGAGAGGCGAAATTGTCACACCTGTGATCATTCCGTGGGCTCAGCAAGCAGGTCCTAACTTCATCTTCATGGATGACAATGCCCGTCCACATCGAGCAAGAGTTGTCACTGATGTTCTTCAGACCAACAACATCACCCATATGGACTGGCCTGCAAGGTCTCCTGACCTGAATCCTATTGAACATGCTTGGGACATCCTCGGGGCGTGTGTGCGGCCTCCACGTTAGATCCTCAGACTCTGGATCAGCTTGAACAGGCATTGCGGAGAGAATGGCAGAACATTCCACAACAGACTCTAGACAGACTCATCTGGTCAATGCCTAGACGTCTTGAAGCGTGTATTCAGGTCAATGGTGGCCATACACGTTATTAAACTTTGGATCAGTGCTCAAAACTGACAGTAAAAGTGTTTTCAGACATTTTCATACCCTGATGCAACACATTTTGCACGGCTTTTTCAGTGACACTGTTTTTGATGATTTGCAAGTCAGTTATTGTTCAATGAATTTTGATTTCTTTGTTGGAAAAGTGTGTGGATATGCTTTATCTTTGTTATGTTTGATTCAGTTGTAATGATCATGAGTAAAGGCATATGTACTGACCAAAAATACACTTGTTGCTTAATTTTTTTGTGAGGAGTATAGTTGTCCGTGAGACTTCCGTGGGCATCTCAGTGGATAAGAGGATGAATAGGTGCTTGAATTTTCGTCTCCTTATTTTTGTCCTTTGTAGGTAGACTTTCAATGCTCTGACAGGGCATACGGATAAATCCTGTGTAATCTGTGGCCCAAGGACTGTAGAGAGTGCTGGGATGTGGAACTGTCTGTCAGGCTGGCCGGGCAGTTGGTTCTTGGCAATAAAGTCCCATCTCAGTTCAAGATGTACGATGTCACGATGTCTTGCTTCAAATCGTTTTCGTTCAAAGTCCAGAGCATGTATTTCTGACATCCGTGCTGCTGTTGCTAGGGCGATCAGGAACAGCATTTTCTGTGTCGGTAGTTCAAAGGATGTCCGTTCTAGAGGCTCGTAGGCATCACTGGTGAGATGTTGTAGAACTATGTTGAGATCCCAGGCAGGAGCCTTGAATTTCTTTTGTTGGTCTTCCAACTTGAACGAGTGTAGTACTGCCAGTATCTCTGGTACTTTGGTCAACTTGACACCCGTTTTCATGGTGATAACTGTGCTGAGAGCAGCCAGGTACGTTGGGAGTGTTAAACCTTTTAAGTGTCTCGTGTGTCGCAAATGACACAGGTATTCCGCCACTTGACGATGGGTTGCTTTCACCCTGTAAAGCCTTTCCTCGTTGCATACTGTTCAAATCTCTTGTCATCGTACAAGTTGCGAGTTGATCTGCGTAGAGCTAGTGTCACTGCTTTCGCTGCTCTGGCAGAGTACCCTCTTGTCTTCAGGCAAGCTTTGATACGCTCCACGCAAGTAGCTGGAACAATGCCGGATTCCCGTGAGCTTGCTTGGTGTGTGGATGGACAAGCAGGTTCGACCACTCTGGTAGTTTCAGGGTTGTACTTCCGAGTTCTTGTATGAGGACGGGAAACCATACCCTCGCTGGCCAATAGGGCGCGACCAAAATCAGCTGCAATGTTGTCGTCTGCTTGATTTTCTGTAGTACTTGTGGTAATAGTGCTGGAGGTGGAAAACGCGTAAGCGTTTAGTCCTTCCCATGAGATGCTTAAAGCATCTGTTGCCCATGCCTGAGGATCTGGAATCGGTGAGACGAATGTTGCTAGTTGTTTGTTGAACACTTCTGGATGTAACATCCATTCCGTCGGGGATGGTTGTAGTGGACGAGATAGGGCGTCTGCTATGACATTCTTTGCTCCTGGAATGTGGCATGCCTTCATGTAGATGTTCAGGTCGTCGACAATGCTGAACTGGAGAAAGCTGAGTTTTAGCAGATTTGTTGATCCTTGTTTGTTGATGTAGAACGTTACTGTGGAGTTGTCCTTTTGGACCGCGAGCCTTGTGTTCCTTAGTACGCTGGACCAGTGTTGTAAAGCGTTGATCACTGCTTTCACCTCCAACAGGTTGACGTGCAGACTCGTGTGCAGACTCGACCACTTCCCTGCTGCCACTTCGTTGTCGAGCTCAGCACCCCATCCTTGTAGTGATGCATCCACGTAGAGATGAGTGTTGCAAACCGGGCTCTGACAAAAACGTTCCTCCGCAAACATTCGACTTCTGAGTCCACCATAGGAGGTATGGTTTCAGGCTGTCCGGTAGTATCAGCGGCTGTTGAGATGGGCGTTCACAAATTTTTGTAGTGGACGCAACTGTAATCTCCCTCTGCGAGTCATGTCTTGAGCTGAGGTGAGTAGACCGAGCATGCTTTGCCAAGCACGTAGTGTCAACGGAAAGAGCATTGCTTGAGATATCATATGTTGTATCTTGACCCAACAATCCTCTAGGACGACCGTGTGATTCTGTTGTGTGAACAGTCATATTCCCAGAATTGAAGATCCTGTTTTGGTTCCAACTCCGATTAGGAGATTACTAGCCATCTACTGCAATCATGTCCTACGTTGTAGGCAAGTGGATTTAAGAACCCTTGCCATGTCCATCATGGAAGCGAAGAGATGATCGATTCTGGAATCATGGCTTGAACCTTGTCTCATCAATCTTCCGGTAATATGTAATGAAGATGTCGTCACCAGAATCCGAACAATGTGCAGCAATGATGCATAATATGTCGTCTCTAGATCAGCAACAATCTATGATGTACTGGGACTGCCATCGATGTGAAGTCTATTTATAGTCGACTGGCTGCCGCTAGCAGAAACCGTCTAACACTTGTCGCTGCAAGTCCCCAGATAACCAATATTAAATCTGCTGACAGGGGAAGTCCTCTATGACCCGTGACGATAGTCGAACCACGCTGTACCCTGCTAACTGGACTGTAAATGGAGGCATTCCCACGTTGAAAGATTTGTTTACAACTGTAGACGACTTCCTGGCACGTGACTGTGATGTCACCGGTGATGCAGGTAAATGATCCTCATAGAATCCTGTACAGTCATTGATTTCTTCGTCAACACTCGGCCTTGTCCGTAACCTCTCTGTTCGGCTTGTGCCGGAGTTACGCGAGTGAACACGTGTCTAGATGGCTGAGTGGAAGCGCGAAAACTTCGCCGCGTAGTACCAATGTAAGCAGACTGTTCCCTGTCTGTTGTGACTGTATTCTTCAACTTTATAATCTTTACTGCAGTTGTCATCTTATACAGATGTTCTGTAAAGCTGACCGTAACCGATGTCCCGCTGAGGAACTGCGACAATGCTGTTAACTGTCCCCTTGATATCTTGTAAGCCCATGTGATGAAAATTCATCTTCAGTGTATCATCGGATGTTATCTGACATCGTTAGTTCAGGTGTGCGTCTCTTCCTTCAGCCACGCGTTGATCCAACATAGCCAACATCTACTTGTAGTGTCCAGTTGCGTTATCTTCTTATCTTCCATCTTGAAGATCTATTACGGGATTCACTGATGATCTTGTAATCTCAAACCCTGATGTATCATGAAGGGCTCCGTATGATGAAGGGGAAATCTGCTATCGTTGAACGGTGGGACATGCTGACTCTGATTATAAACCTCCCCTAAGTGCCTGCGCATAGGTTGATGAAGGTCCAAGTTGAAAGATCCATATCTGCGCAGTCTGTAGAGTCCTGGGGAACGACTGGATCTACTTCTGTGTTAGAATCCTTCCTGCTGAGACGCTGAAACTGTGTGGAGGCTCCGTCGTGGACTGCTAACGCTAAGCTGGCGTTCGTTGATCCTCCAGGCTTCTAACTGCTGATACTTCTGACGGTAAAGATCTTCGCGTACGTTACCGTTCGTGCAGGCCTTCATTCGAGAGAGCTTGCCTAGCTAATATTCCTTCGTGCAGGGCGACTGTCATCGGAGGGGTCGTCTATGCTGAGCTGACATTAGTAGAGTTCTCCAGACTTCTAACTTCAGACGGTGAAGTTGGACATTTCCCTATCTGAAGATCCATAATGACGTGAGTCTCTGTATGTAGATCTGTATGTAGAGCTGCATGCAGGTGAACGGTCCCAATGTGACCGTGTGTTCTTCCTTGAGTCTTGAGATATCTCTCTAGGCCTTCACGAAGGCTTATTGACGTTAGCTCCCCCTCTGTTAGATGTGGAGTGCCTGCACGCAGGTTCCCGATGTGAGTCTAAGTCCGACGGTGATGACGATCCATATCTGCGGAATCTGTAGGGTTCTGGAGAACGCTTCAATCTGCTTCTGTGTGGAGAATCTTAGAGGCTCCTTTGGGGACGTCTAAGGCTGAGCTGACGTTGGTAGCGTTGTCCAGACTTCTAGCTTCAGACGGTGAAGATCGTCAGGTGCGTGGGCCTTCGCGCAGGCTTTCCTCTTCATTCAGGTGCGTTGGAGAGGCTGCTGAACCTTCACGCAGGCTTGTAGTCGCCGTAGTGGTCTTCGTAGCAGCTTCCTCCTGCGCGAAGCGATGTTCCATCATCGACATCATCTGGTCTGTAAACTGTTGCATAAACAGCCCCGGGTTGAAGTTCTGCGATGTCTGAAGAGACTGCTGCAGGGTTGATGATGCTTCTGAGAACGTTGAGGCCTCTTCTAAGGTACGCTGCACTTGTGAAGAGTTGACGCTGCTGCCATCTCTGGTACCCGATGTCTGCATTAATAGAAGGTCTTCTGTCAATGTCTGCACAGACAGAGTTGCCGATGAAGCTATTGAAGCTTAATTTTCTTGCTGACGACTGTGACTTCAGGTATGATGATGGGGGGGGATCATCATACACGTCTGCTTCTTCCGGAGGTACAATATCGGCAGTGAAGGATCTCGTCTTCTGCGTAGAGCTGCGAAGAGACTTCAACGAAGTCTTAGAAGCTGTAGACTTCTTCTTCTGCACTGAAGAAGATCTTGTCTTCTTCGTCTGCGATGAGAACAGCTCCGTTGACGACGATCTCTACTTATTCCAGACGGAGTTCATCACTGGAACAGTGACCTGCCCTCATAAACCGCTCGGCAATTCACTGGAATTATGAACATCAGCAGCAGTAGGTAACACATGGTTATCAGCGCAATCACTCGATTTACCAGACATGACTTGTGAATACCTTCTTACCCAGTCCTTTGCACGTCTATGAAGAGAAAAAAGGTAGTTATTAAATTCAAAAGTAGTTAGTTTCTGACAATGTTTACAGCGAGAGCTGGAAGAACATGTAGTAGTGCAATCAGGACATAATATATGCGGGTCAGCCACAGACAGCCGGTACCTACAACGAATACAAGTTTTCATCAATTGTAAACCAGATGAAAATCATGGCAAACAACGTATAATTTAGACATAATATCAAAACATTTGATAATATACAATCCAAAATCCGTACACAGCTGCCATTTAGATGTAAAAGGTCCAAAATAGAAAAGGATATGTGCCGTATAGGGACCCAGGTGCTCTCACAAACGTCCTCAAGGGCAAGGAAGGATAGAGTGACAACACATGGCCGGTCAGGTGACCAAAAGGGCGCCAAGGGGCAAGGGAGGTAACTCCTGGGTGAGTGGTGATTTTATGTCCACTTTTTAGAAGGGATCTTCAAGGGATTTCAAGTGTTCCACTATCATTCGCAAGGAGAAGGAGACAAGCATTTAGCATGAGTCAGGATAAGGAAAAATTGATGCACATCTCAGATGTTCCCTTCCACTTTGGAAAAAAACACCTCAGCAAAGGGTATGTGCTGATAAACCTAGAAACATATTCAGGGTGAAACCCGGGTTTGAACCCACAATCACAGGTTTCTGGTATGCCAAAGGGAAGCAACTCTGCATGGGGACTTCACAGAGCCACCCATACTTGAGCAAAGGGTCATTTGTACCTAAATTTCATTCAACATAAACATTACATGGAAGCCTCATTTACTAAGCCCAGTAATTTATTATCAGTTTCTGGTTACATGTTAATGTTCTCTTCTTAAAGCGTACTGGCTGCATTGTTGAAATTGCATCAGGTTTACCATGTGATGCAATACCATCAAGGTTCCTTTGGTGTTATTTTATTATTATTAAATGTTAATAAACTTCCCTTAGAAGTATGAAAGCCATGACAATGGTCCCTGTAGGTTAAGAAAGACATTCAATGTAATCAGAAAACACAGAGAATTCAGCCTTTTTCAGCTATTTTCATTGAACATTGGCCAAATTGAACAGAATACCATCTTAGATGCAAAATGACCCCAATAGTTAAACACATCAAACAACATTTGTTACACCTGCATTTCATTTTGAAACAGTGACATGTTCTATCCCTCTACTCACCAGTGACAAGCTATTCCTGTTTTGTGGCCGAGATGAGTGAAAGGACTGAGTCCAGTCCTTGCTGCTACCACTACACTTCCTGCTGCCATTACACGGGGAGCCTGTCTTGGGCTCTGATGTACTGTCGCTGTGGGGCTCGTCCTCAGCTGGGGACATAACATGACAACAGCATGACAGTCTGCACGATTATGAGAGGACAGTCTCACATGTCAAAACTATCATAAAAACAAGAATCAGGAATTCCTGTTTTGTATTTTTCAACAATCACTTTTAATCATTATAAATTAAAGAATAAATTCTTTTCCAGTTTTTACCTCCATCTGTAAACATTCTAACTAAACTGTATGAAAACAAGCATTGTCACTAAGGTGACACAATCCCCCGCTGCAAATTATCAAATCAAACTCATAAAGTAATGAAAGTTTAAGATGAAGTTAAATGTCAACAAAAACATGACCAGACAACCTCTCTTGATATCTTGCTCTTTAGTTGTTCAAACACACACATATTTTCAAGACTGACTTTGACCTTGACATGAATGTCATAGTGTATGAAATATGCAAAAGAAGTACTAAAGAAATTGCTTATTGAAAAACATTCAAGGGAAGTCTTGAAAGTCTATGAAGAAAATCCAGTGAGCCGTTCTTGAAATAACATGCTGAAATCTTCAAAGTGTCGTCAGTGCAGGTCACCAAAATTGACTGAGCCCTGGGCCTTCCCTAGATGAAGCTTGGTGTCAAATATGAAGAAAATCCAGTGAATATTTTTTGCGATATCTTGCTGACTATCTTAACATGCAGGTTAATACGCTGAAATCTTCAAAGTGTCTCTGTGACCTTGAAAATTAAGTGAAGGTCACCAAAATTGACTGGGCCCTGCACCTTCCCTAGATGAAGCTTGGTGTCAAATATGAAGAAAATCCAGGGAACGGTTCTTGAGATAGCTTAACATGCAGGTTTACATGATAAAATCTTCAGTCGCCATGACCTTGAAAATTACGTGAAGGTCACCAAAATTGACTGGGCCCTGTGCCTTCCCTAGATAAAGCTTGGTGTTGTTGAATATGAAGAAAATCCAGGGAACAGTTCTTGAGATAGATTAACATGCAGGTAAAACGTTAAAGTTCCCTTGTGACCTTGAAATGAAGGTCAAGGTCACCAAACCTTACTTGGACCTTTCTTATACTGTGATGAAGCTAGGTACCAAATATGAAAAGAATCTAGTCAACGGTTCTTAAGATATTCCAATTCCGTATGTACCAGCATACGGACGTGTGTACATCCAGACGGATGGATGGAGCCTAATACTATATCCCCCGCTTCGTGCTAAACGCGCAGCGGGGGATAATTAAGAACAACAGGATACTAAATATATGCAGTTGTTATAATAGTATATAGTATTCATCTGTAATTGAAAATATTGTAAAGTTTTAATCTGAAGAGGATGAAAGGGTACAAGGAACTTTCAACTGATCAGATCAACATTCACGATCTTACCTGGTAGAAACTTTAGCGTTTGTGACTTTCTTGTGTGGAGTGACAGTTTTAACAAGAGGGTGATCTGTCAAAGCTTCAACACCTTCTCCATTCTGGTCTTTCAGCTGACAAAATACAAACAAGGTTGATGTAATGCTTATCACATATTTCTCAACCCTTGGCTGCCAGGGAAAAGTCAAGAGTTGATGCCAAGAGGCTCCAAAGGAAATATCATTGGGGTTCGTCAGTTGGATGATGTAACACTTAAATGACCATGAACCAAAAGTAAATTGTCTTTATTATCAAAAGTCAGAACTTATTGTGGAGTTTGGTTTGAAGGACATAGTTTCACTCAGATTCTACTGGGGCCTTTTGAAGACAAATGGAAACACGTGTCTAAATCTATGCCCACATCAAACAAAAGAGATCACTTCTGTTGTGTTAGTACTGTTACCTACCATGACAACATCAAAATCACTTGGATGTTCGTTTGCAGGATTGATGCGTGGAATTATCTTCCATGATGATATTCCAGATTCCTGAAGAGCAGCTGTTATAAACCTTCTCCTGGCAGAGCTCTTGAAGTATCCATTGAAAGATACAATGTATTCTGAAACATCAAGTTGTATAAATAAGTGACTTTAAAAATACCGGTATGTGAAAAGTGTCTCCACCATGTGCCATGTGCAGTCAGATTTGTTAAACAACAACAACAACATCCTAACAAACCTGTAGAGGTTGCTGATTCTTTGATGCGAGTCCTCCTTGGGGTACATATATGCATTAAAATGTCCAGTTTAATCCCTACGACAGTTGTAACTATATTTTGAATAAAATATTTACAAAACAAAAATTTTTTGTCTTGTTCAACCACCCCTACGGAGCCCAGAATGAACCCACCCACCCATTCGGCACTACTTGCCCCTTTCTGTAACCTCCAAGATGACTCGTCCCCATATCGATGCTTGTTATGTGTGAAAATACGACAAACCAATCAGAATGCTCGTAATGGTTGCGGTGCTTTAAATAAAATAATCGCGACTACTTACATCATTTATGGCATTATGTTATTGTTTAAAAAATCACGAAAAATATATATCGTCATATTGAAAGTACTAACAGAATTGTGCTGTCTAGTGTGAAGATTTTGAAAGAATCATGAGACTGACGGTGAGAGATTCAAATACACGCACACACGTGTTTTGACATAACGGCTCTCATGGGTGTATTTCTGGCAATCTTGCGGGCTTGTTGTGGTGATTGTATATATGCGCTTCCAACAGTTTTAGGAAATGTAATTATAATTCGCTACGAGTTTCAAAACAATAATATTATATCTGTATGTAACTAATCAACTTTAATCTTTAACATTGGGCATATATTTCACATCTCTGGGAATATTTTATTCTGACCTGTTTTTGGTCATTCATATATTTTTCAGAGAATTCATTTAAAATTCCACTTGGGGTATGACAGCAAGGTTACACGTTTGAGAAATATTTTAAAGTCAATTTTGAGTTTCTGCTTTGGGATTTAATGTAGCTGGGGTTATTTTTATAAACTTTATTTGCATATTCAATAAAACAAATTCCATTTGTGACTATTAGACCCTTTTCAGAAATATAATTGGAAATATAAGGTGAACATTTGGTAATAATTATGTCAGAAAATGTCTTTAACAAATATGTTTTTCTCCTTCTAATCCGCCAGACAGCCAGACGGATCCTGTCCATGCCTGCTAGAAAACGCTGTACAAGAGGGTGCTGCCCCAGAAGAGCACCGTCGACAGGCATATGGAACTCAGAGATGGCCGTGGAGTAGCGATTGATGTGACGATATCGATTGACGTGAGCTAATCCCTGTCACGATGGAGGACATCACTGAGCGCAGTGTCTCCATCCTGAAAGACAGCACCTCCATCATTTTGTACATCCTTTTGAGATTGAGAATGGGTCTGAATCCTCCGTCCGTTCTTGGTCACTATGAAATACGCCGAGTAGAAACTCTCATTTTCGTGACTTACTGGAACCACCTCGATGGCTGCCTTGTCCAGCAATGACTGAACTTGGCCACGGAGAATGTCCGCCGTCTCCTAGGAGGCTGGCACTGGTGTGTGTTGCACTCCGCTGAAGTCCACTGTGGCATGTGGCCATCCCTGAGTGGGGACAGGACCCAGGGATTTGAAGTGGCATTCACCCATTCTGATAGGTATGTTTGGCATGAGGCAGTGCACTTCCACAGTCAGCAAGTCTCTGCTTGCTTGTGCGGGAGGCAGCAAGGGCACCAGAGGGAGAGCTAGTGGGAAGCCCCCGAAAAGGCTGCTGGGCAGGAGCTGCCTTACCCTTGCCCTCCTGCTCTTCTTCAGTGCAGTGGAGCAGTCCACTTTGCAGGCTCCTTCACCAGCGGGGAGGATATGAAGAAGCAAGAGGCAAGGGCCGCTGGCAAGTAGTGAAAACACCATGACAGCACCCATCATCTGGCTGGCACAACAACAGATGCTGTCCTGTGCCAGATGAGAATGGACGTCTGTCAGCTGCCAAGCCAGCGAGGGTGATGACGTGTCCCCAAGGCAGATAAGTAAGCTGAATAGACAGCCACATGCAGCTGCTGAGCCACACAACAATACTTCAGGCAGACTTCAGCGCCAGGGCATTGTTGGGGAAGGGCGGCAGTCGCCGACCCTGCCTAGCAGAGGCTAGGGAGGAAGACGACTGATGTGTACACTCTCGTGCACCACTGGCAGCTCAAACAGTGCCTCCTCCCCTATTGGATAACATCTGCCAAGATCGGGTAGATCAAAGCGAGACCAGGTTCCCGACAGGAGAGGATTAATCACCTCACTCACCAGCGATGGGAGTATGAGGAACTAGGCCTCAGCAACCGGCACAGGCGCAAAGGCCTCCCTCAGAAGATGAAATTCCGAGGGGTTGTGCCCTTGCATGGACAGTAACCTGGGGCAGGACTGGCGCTATCCGCTCACACACTTGCTTCAGGGATGAACCGAAACAGTACAAGACCTCTCCCTTCGGCTCGTCTCTCTCCCCGACCTACTCTATGTCCACCTACTAGCAGTAGGAAACGTTGAAGTGGAGCACGAAGACTCAGAGGAGAGATCAGAACCAGAAGGTTCGGGTTGTCCTGCCCCCGGCTCGAGCCCAAGCCGTGGCACTGAGATGACAAGGGGCTGCTGAAGCAGGCTTCCATGGTATCCCAGCCAAACCTCTGGGCGCCGAGGAGCCCGGACACCCTGTTTTCAATCATGAACTTCACATTGGTCATCTGTTGCTGCAAAAGAGAGGTTAGTGACTCTAAAGATAGTGCAACAACAGGTTGTGTAGGGGGAGCAGTGGGGGTAACAGGGGTAGTTTCCTTGGAAACCTTTTGTCTTTCGATGGCATGACTGACCTGCAAGTGGTGCAGTGTTAAAACTGCAAAGGGACGCCAGGTCTTAAACAGGGTAACAAACATATTGCAACAACAAATGGGTGATTAATAAAAATTAACCACGACCAATACGACAGAACTTATAAATAGGAACTACAGTATGAAAGGCCTACTCCATAACACAAGTAAACATGGAGAAACCTGTACAAAACTAACGTGGTCTGCCGCTATCACATAAAAACACCAGGGGACAGAAATATATATACGTGGAATGAAGAGACATAAAAATCTACATATCCAGTATAATAACACACAATGCTAAGAGAGTAAGCTATAAGCTAACCTGAAATAGCATGGAACATGGGTGCCTCCCCGTCCGCCATCTTGACAAGCACATGGCAAGCCGACAGGGACAGAGACATAAGTTACAACTAAAAGATGAATGAAAAATTGCAGGAAGCTTTATCAATTATCGCCCATGCGACATAGAGATAACCCTACATACAGTAGACGCTGCAGAAGTACTCATGTTACGGAAATTCAACTTGAAGAGCAGAGAGGGTTACACACACACTACTGATCAGAAGACCGACAGCATGGAAAGCGAGGTAAGGTTAGAGCATAGAGTGACCTTTTGTTTTGAAAATATTTTATTCCAAATATAGTTACAACTGTCATATAGATTAAAATGGACATTTAAATGCTTATATGTACCCTAAGGAAGATCTCTCATGAAAAAGAATATTTCAGAACACATTGCTAGTGTGTGAAAGTGCATTCAAACACTCTGTGCAGTCATGTAAAACAAAGCAGATAAGCCTCTGCCACTTCAACATATTCAGTGGTGGTGTTACCTGGCTATAAGAGAAAAACATACACTATTACCGAATTGCATAAGTTAGGTGATCTTTACATTTTGATTTAGGAATTCTTACAAACATTTTTTGCAGACTTCAGAAGAAATATCATTGTCTGATGAATGCCAAATATATACCAAAATTGTGCCACACCTGAAGGGATTTTAGACTCTTAGATTTAGAAGAGAGACTTTGCTGGGTTACATATAAGCATTTTCTGCAACTGAAAATGTCCTGTGCCAGTTGTAAAATTGTTTTAATAACATAAAAGTCCATCTGAATAAACTGGTTTTTATTTTATAGTATGACCAGAAATGATTGAGAATTTTAGGAATATGTCTAATTGGATTTCTAGTATAAACAACCTTGACAGCTATCAAGTGCTTGGTTTCATTCAAGAGAGACAACTCCGTTAATCCTTTATCATTAGTTTGTGAAGAGTTATCCCCCTTTGTATACTTGCTAGCATACGACATTTTCAGTGATCCTCAGTATGGATGATTTAAAGAAGAGGAAGTTGATTTTAGAGTATTATAACAAGGACATCAGATCAGCTAAAGTGATTTCAAGTAGAACAGGCATCCCTTTGTCCACTGTTTATCATGTTTTGAAAAATATTGCAAATGGATATGGCATTGAGCACCAGGGAGGCGCAGGTAGGCCCAGAAAATTGACTGTTGGTGACAGGAGACGGCTTGGTATTCTTGTTTCTATAAACAAACAAAGGAGTTTAGAAAACTTAAGGCTGGATATGATTGATAGAGGAACTGTGGCTGTCTGTAAGGAGACGAAGAATTCCATCACCGATCATGAAACCTGAACAAAAAGAGCGAAGGTTGAACTGGTGGTTACGGCATAGAAATTTTAACTGGGACAATGTGATTTTCTCAGGTGAAAGTTTGGTGTGGTGGTTTCCTAATACACTGAAATTCTGGACCAAACAAACTGAAAAAACTTTGTATCAGCGCCCAAAGTACAGTCCGAAATTTAATGTGTGGGGTGGCATATCTGTGTTAGGGGCAACGCCCCTCTGTGTATTTGAAGGGAATATGAACAGTGAGCGGTACACAGATATTCTCGAGGACATTTACTTCCATCTGCTCACGTGTTCTATGGAAATTTTTTTGATTTTCCAGCAGGACAACAACCCAAAACATCATTCAAAGCATTCACAAGCCTGGTTTCGGACCCAAAATATGAAATTATTAGATTGGCCAAGCTATAGCCCTGACCTAAATCCAATAGAAAATGTTTGGGGACTTATGAAGGAAAGTCTCAATAAGAAAAATCTGACAAACATTGCTAAAATGAAAGAAGAGGTGGTCCGATATTGGGACAGCATGGACCACGACTTTCTAACTTCTTTGATCAGTAGCATGCCCCGCCGCATTGAAGCCTGCATTGCTGCCCATGGTGACTTGACAAAATACTAACTCTTCACTGTCTTTGAATCTGGAGTTATGTTCTGCTAATATTCACATTTAATACGTGAGTAATGAGTGAAAAAAATAAACAAATTTACAATCTTTAAATTCTCAATAATTTCTTGTTGTACTGTATGTTACATGTTAGTTGCAGAACAGGTATCTTCACCTGGGCAGTGCCCGCTACCTTGGAGGGCAATTCACTCTGCTCAATGAGTCTTCAACCCCTCAATGGTGAAACAAATTAGGAAACAGTCTGTTTGATTGCAGGTTTCCCAGCCTTCACTCCAATGTAACAGCAAAACAATGGAAACCCTTCTGGATCCCACTTGTTCATTTGGTATAGACCTTCAGGGCCCTTCGGACATCCAACGAATGACCACTCGAAGGAGCAATCCATGATATGGAAGGCTGGGAAAGGGTAGGAAGTTTGATGGGAGGTATCACAAGGAAAGTGTGATCAATCTTAGGGCCATAAGTATGAGGGAGGCAAATAATGACTCAATCTTTGTGAAAGATCGTCAGTGCCAGAACGGCTAACATCGCTTGAATGTCTCCGACCCTTCTACCAGAAGCTAAATCCACAGAAGTGTGACCAGGAAACCTCTTATCTGCACACTAGCACGCATTTGTGTCTGCAACTGCTGCAGGATTTCCAACTGCCTGGAGGTTAGACTTGACAGGGGGCAGGCCACCTACTGAACCCAAGGATTCGGGTATGGCGCACCATTCTGAGTGAGACCGTTTGGTCATAAAGGTATTAGAACAGGAGGCTGAGCCACAGGCCCTCGTGTTCTTTGGCGAGGATCAAAGATTTTATAAAATATATACAAAAATTTGAGATGACCCCCGACTCGAAATGCTTCACAGTATAATACATTATGACAAGGCCGGACACTTCGGTGCACCCAACCCGACTGCTGTGCCGATTGCTACGCGACCATCGCATACAGTCGATTAAAACTTAATGTAAACATAATCATGGATGATTGGCCTATCGAGCACCACTCATGACACCTACCAGTTCTTCATTGTTATTTCTGCAAGTCGATAGAAACCTGATTTTGACTCTCAACTAAACGATCTTGACACAAATGGCGAAAGATATATTCACACAAAACGGTGGGGTGGTCGAAGCAAGCCCTCTGGTTGGTTGAAGTTTGTTAAGGAGACATTTTCAAATGATGCTTTCTTTTGAGAAGCCATTGCTGGAAAAAATGTTTTTACATTTCTGCCAAGTCAAGCAGTCGATGAAACTAAAAATTCCCGAGAATTTATGAAGAATGTGCAGATTTAGCAGCGTTGACCAACCAGAGGGCTTGCTTCGACCACACCCGCGTTTTGTGCGAATATATCATCCGCCATTTGTGTCAAGATCGTTTGAGGGTCAAAATCGGGTTTCAATCGACTTGCAGAAATAACAATAAAGAACTGGTAGGTGTCATGAGTGGTGCTCGATAGGCCAATCATCCATGATTATGTTTACATACAGTTTTAATCGATTGCATGCGATGGTAGTGTAGCTATCGGCAAAGCAGTCGGGTGGGGTGCACAGAAGTGTCCGGCCTTGTCATGATGTATTGTACTATGAAGCATTTCGAGTCAATAAAGAGATTTACGTTTTCTGTCTTTTATTAAGTTCTCAAAAGTAGACATGGTGAGACTGAAATGTGTCATTACAATAATGCAAGAAGAGTACAAACATTTTTCACATTAATAAAATGCTCGCATTAATTTCATGATTTACAGTTTTTGAGTGAAATAAAACCAAAAACAGGAAGATGGGGAAATGACCGGCCAGATATATATTTCATTTGGGTGGGGTATTGTCCGGGTGGGGAAATGGTAGGTGAAGAATTGACTTGGTGGGGAAATGACTGGATTCCTGGGAGGACACTATGAACAATTACACCAGCCAGTTACTGGTTAGAGAGGTGAGATCTGAGACATGTTAAGAAGGTGACATGGATCTGACAAAACTCACTAGTATGAGTCTTGTGACACATTGTTTTATGTTTACACTCTACAATACATGAAAATATATTCTGTTTTTCTAAATATTTACTTACTGGCCATAAGTGTAGAGAATTGTAAGTGTAGAGATTCTTATCGCAATCTCTACTGGTAGAATCTCTGATTCTACCAGATCGCAATCTCTACCCTGACATATATATAACCTAAGAAAGACCTCTTCTGAAAAAGAATTGCATTGTTTCCCTTTTGATGTTTGTGCATGTTATCATTGTTATCAGTGCTGTAACTCTCATAAACCACCTATCTGATTAAACATTGCAAAACCAATATCAAATGGAAACAAGAACCCCTCTCAAACATTTCACCTGTAACATAAACATAAGTGTTTCTTTGTTCGTCCTAATTTCAACGGCTGATCATATCTAGAAATACACAATGCCATTTTAGAAAGTGGTCAAATGTAACGTATGTTATATTTGGGATTAAACTTTCTTAGTCATATCTTACCATTATCAACAATGGCGCTGCTAAATTCTGCATGTATTCTGTGAAGTGGTACGGAAGATGTCATGTTGCACTTGACGGAGGCCTGGGTGACTTTCTCCAGCAAGTTACAGTCCGCGTTCTGCATCAGCTGTAACACTGCTGTCAGCAGCAGCAGCACCATCCTTGGGTTGCGGACACTCATGGCTGGCTTCACCATTTCAATCCAAGCCAAACAAGGCACATCACTCCGTACATCATCACCAAGTTGCGGGAAATTTTAATTTTCCTCTCAGTTTCATGCCAAACTTTTTATCCGATTCATTGAAACATCATTACTATTTGGACATACTTGTACGTCATTCACTTTTTAGTAAACACCTTTGAGTTCAGCAGCATCATGTGTGCTGAATATACTGCACACATACACACAACTGTCCCTTTTACTTTGTCATGGTCCTATTGTAAAAGTGGCAAACAGCAGATGGTAATTTACAGTAAGTTGGTGCTTATATTCTTTATGTCACCATGGTGAGAGCAGAGATAGCATTTTCAACCAGTCAGTAGAGCTGAAAAAGAACAAAAAAATATATATATTCCCATGAATTGTATGTCAGTGACATAAAAACAATCCAATGATAAACAGCATGAGCATCAATATATACAATTGGGATATGATAACGTGTCAACCAAGTTAGAAAGCAAATTATGTGTTAATGTTGATGAAATGTGTAAAATCTTGGTGATGCTCTGTGATGATATGTGTATCAGACAACAGTTAGAGGATGAAGTTTTGAGTTGTTTGTTGTTATACGCCACAGTCAGCAATATTCTAGCTATTTGGTGTCGGTGTGGACCACAGAATCCAGTGATCAACATCATGAGTATTGATCTGCACAATTGGGATACGATTACATGTGCCAACAGAGTCAGCGAACCTGACCACCTAATCCTGCTGGTTACCTCCTATGACAAGCATGCGTTGATGAAGACAACTTCTAAGCTGGATCTTCACAGGTCAGAGAGCAAGTATAAACATGACACAAACTTATGAAAACTATGAAAATCAGAAATATGATTTGCTAAAAAACACAAGGTAATGGAAATCTAACAGTAGAAAATATCTCATGCAACATTTACAACATTGTGAAAGAGTGCGTGAGTTTGGTTTGACAATGCTCATAGAAGAATTCATGTTTGTTGTATTTAAACTGACAGCTGGTGTATATTTGCTGTATTGAAATAAACACTGGCATTACTGCACTGAATTCTGAGTCATGCTGACATTGCTTTGTTAGTAGCTTTCATGTATATTCTTAAAGCATGAGTCTCATTGGTTCATGTCATGAAAGAAGATGTTTTTGTCCAAGAGGCTAACTGAATCCCTATGATTAATTACTGACTAAAACAGCATGCATGTACTTTTCTATTTGTGGATCATGTTAATGTCATTAAGCCCACGTACGTAATCTCTCATCATATTGGTAAATGTTAAAGGCACAGAGTAAAGTAAATTGGAGAAAGAAATGTTATCTAATCTAGCATGTATTTTCAAGTTCAGGCCTGGAGATTGCAGAGGCTGTTGAATGAGTCACAAGCTCACCTGGCTTTCTGGGAGTCAAACTTATTTCAGCCACTCATCCCAGTTGGTTTGCAACAGTACAACCTGTGATGCTTTCAGTAACATTTCACAGATGCCACAACTGTCTACATACTACGTTTCATGACACTTCCCGATTATGCTTTGACAATTGAGTTCATTTAATGGTACAGATTTTATGGAAGATGGTGTGAATATTTACTGAATGACAATATGCCAACAATAACCACAAGAACCCAGAAACGTTTCACTGCAGAATTATTTAAAGTTCAATATTTGTGACATCTTACAGGAATCTGGGATAGCATGGCAGTAACATGATCAAAGGGAATGACCAAGTGGTAAACAGAAATCTCCTCAATTTGAAAATCATTCAAGGCCTCAGAACTAAATGCTGATAACAGACAAATAAAAGAAAAATATACACTGAAAAGATCAACGAGAGGCCGTAAAGAACACATGCTTCCCCATAGGAAACATGAAAACTGCATCTCAGTATTGTCACTGTTTCGCCCTTTGTGAGTTTGTTGGTGTTCATCATTACCTGGGTACTACACTAGTAAATAAAATATCAATAATGTAAAGACAAACGAAACATGCCACGAAAATCAGCAAATGTTGTTACTTTTAACTGAATTAATCCTGGATTGACCCAAAATCCTTTTCTAAAAATGTGCTCCATTCTGATAATAATCAATCAATCTAATTTCCTTGCGTGAGGGGTATTCATTGGTAACTTGTATGTAGTATTGGTGACAATAGGCTATTCCTGACTAACCTGAAGTAAACTGACCACCGGCGTTCGGTCGAAAATTGTAAACAAAGACAATTATCGATACATTTCTCATGCTCTATTCAACTAAGTCTTCTTCCATAGTTTTATTTCCAGCCGAACATGGATGTAAGGCTCATTCCCATTGGCTGAAAACTCAAAAGGTATCCAGGCACATTTGCGGAATATGAGCTTTATGGCCGCAAATGTTTGCAATTCTTTCTATTATTTCACCTCAGTAAATTACGTGTTAGCATCATGTATGTCGCTGAGTCAACGAAAAAAAACACTAAATTTAATTCCAGGTAAAAGACAATCGCTCCATTGCGCTTAGTTTTATATAACTTGGGTCAGTTTCGACTGGGTCCAATTATAGTGCGCTTTAAAACAATTAACGCGTAGATGGGCTTATGTTTCACGTGGTCGTTAATAGTAGACAATGTCTTTCAACCAACTGCATTTATGGTGGTAGGGTGGTATAGAGTCTGTCTCACAGTCCCTGAACAACATCATTTCCCCTTCCGCTCAGCCCTCTCTGCAATGCCAAAGTTCTAAATGAAGCAAGTCTAGATTTTCACAGCTTCCTCAGAATCTCACTGGATCTCCTTTTCAATTTAAAAGGAATGATATGTTTCGACCAAAATTATATATATTCAGAGACTATGTCTGAGTCCAGGTGGTATTTCGCTTCGAAGATATGAAGAGTAGTTATTCTGCTGAATTATTCGATCTGTTTCGTCGTTTGATTACAATTTTGATAAATGTATACTGTATAATTAATTCGACGTTGTACATAAAACTCGCTGTGAATTTTCTATATAGAGCAATATCAGAGCACCTCTAGATTTCTTAGTTTACGATCTAGCGTTTGCGATTCGTGGTAAAATCAAGATCTCAGACATGGGCAGATCCAGGAATTTTGAAAGGGGTGGTGGGGGTGGTGGTGTTCGAACCCCCCTGAACTCGCGCCGCTCAATCTTTCTAATCATGGATTCCAGTTCCAAATTCACCGTATGTGAATCAGAACCAACGGTACTCGTGCTTTTCATCAAAGGGCGAAACGTCAGGGCTTCTCATATTAACTGACAAGCCGTCGTATTAGTTCTGTATGAATATCGGTTCGAATGGCAGTGTTAAAGGGCCACTATAGACTCCGGCAAATTGGCAGCCCCAGCACATTTGTCAGAAATAGAAATGTCCGTTAGCTGGCACATCGATAGCATAAAGCAATGCACTGTCCCCACTCCTCACTATAGTAAGCAAACTCACATAAGTAATACTACGTATTAATTGGCATTTGTGATTTAGAATGGGTGTTAACGCCAAGATGATTTTGATCATGAAGCAATGTCGTGCACGTGTTTCTGGTAGACTAACGCTCAGTCCCTGATATATATAATTTTTATAGTAACATATAAACCGATTTAAATTGAAAAGGTGCCCTAGTATGTTGGGAGATTCAGGGACCCTGAACCTGAGGAAATCTAGACTTGCTTCATTTAGGGCTTTAGCATTGCAGAGAGGGCTTGGCAGTAGGGAAAATAATATGGTTCAGGGACCGTGAGACAGACTAGTGTTTCTGGCTGCTGTACAAGTTCGGACTTGTGTCAGTTTTATAGTGCTGGACCACTGAGACACCATGCAGTTTAACATGGACACCCCGACAGGCACATTATACTGACTCCGTGCAGGCCAGCTAGTCCTATATGATGACCACTACCTTCACTCGCCCTTGAGTAGTACTGACCCATAGGCGGACCGGGGCCCTTGGTGCTGAAAGTTTGTTAAATGACCATTGAAACTCGGGTGAAAATGAAATGTGCACCCCTCCTTTTCTCAATAGTGCGCAACCCCTCACCCCTCCTTCTCAAAAAGCTGTATCCGCCCCTGCCGACCATGGCGAGAAAGACGCACCTTCCTCTTGTTAAAACTATTGCTGATTAATCATATCATATCATTACTTGCCAAATTCGATGTGGAAATTTTGAAGTCGAACTAAAACTAAGCGTCGACGTTAGGCAATAGCAGTTTGTTTCAAACTATCACTTGAAAGCCGTAACGTTTGAAACGCTCTTTCAAATAATATATACAAATGCGGCAATGCATTGCAAGCTACCACTCACTCGCCCCTAACTTAACCTGGCTATACGAATTTACAGGCTAATCGGCTTGTCCCGGAATTACACGGAGGTCCACGACTGACATATAAACGCTGTTGAAGTAAAATTACCTAGACATCAATTCCCACTCGAGGGACAATAACAAGGAACGAGGCTAGAATGACCGTGTTTCATGATATTTGCACCTGTGCATTATAACATATCTCCACGTTGATTGGTCAATTGAAATAACACTACGTTGCGGTGCTTCCTTTACATTATGACGTATTCAAATTATTCCGAAGACGTCACGAATGTATGACATGACGTAATCGGAATGTATGACATGACGTTATTGGAATTTCTTACACACCCGTGGGTGAGAAACCCATGTGAGAAAACTGGTATCACACATATGTGTGAGATCGATTTCTAATCCCGTGATTGGCTACTCCATGGTGATGACCTAAGGTCAGGGTATGACGGACTACTTTCCGGACTATTTCCTGATTAAAATTCATTGATAAGTTACTCGTGCTTCAATCGAACAGAAACCTGTTACTCGTGCAAAAAATACCCCTTTACACCTACCTGTTATTTTCGCGATTGCAATATAAACAGGTATTTTACAATGAGTCACAAGTAGAATAAATATAACACAAATCTATTTATTTTCGAATTCCTTTTATTAAAACTCTTATTTCTAGTCATGAATTCAAAATGGCTCCAACAACCTGTGATACCTGTGTAAACAATTATGTGAAAATCACCGTTAGACATAAAGCCCTTGATTCCCTTCGAATATTCAAAATGTACAACACTGGTACTTTTACTGGAGAGATGCGACAAGTGTCATGTGCCGTCTTGCAAAAATACCTGACACGATAACGTCAGTGCCTGTCGAGACATCAATTTGCCTTGTTGTTTCTTTGATGCATTGATGAAGATGACATTTTTCACTGATACATATGATGGAGACTCACTTCCAGCTCCAAGATACTATGTGATTCCAATGTTATCAAATTCACTCATGACAATCTGAACCAAAACACACTCGTTGAAACAATGTACAACATGGTACGTTTTGCAAAGCTTCATGAGTGCAAATGCCGGCACACGTCCGTTCTGTTCAATCGAACATGTACACATAAGTCATTGCTCAAGATATTCCTCTGACGCATGATAATGAAAAGTTTATGTCTTGATAACTTACAGGATGTAATCAACTCACATTTCATACTGAAAACTCCGTAAACTCCATTACATTCCAAGTGGCAGTTTCTGGCTCGGGAAAACGAGAAGGATGTGGCGAAGAAGAGTAGTCCCCCATTGACAGTGAACGTAACCTCAGCAATGTCACATTCAAGCACACTGGGTGCACCTAATTACACACACTCAAAACCTTTGGCCCCGGTCGATGGTAGAACATTGAGCGTAAACTGGTACACAAGTACAGATCCCCAATGTACAGAGATATCCAAAACAATCTTCCGATGATGACGACAACCACCAAGCGATAACGATGACGTCACACGCTCAAATATTTACGCTTGCAAGAATTAAAATCATCCACATTTGCATGGTAACATCATCGTTTTAGAGGGTTTAATTAATTTTCAGTGATCTTATCTAGTTATCATTATCACCATTGCCTTGATGATGCGAAGAGGTGGCAGAAACTTTTTTGTGGAGGGTCACCATGGGGATGAGTAGTGATTAGGAAGCCAAGTGACGTCACTCATTCATAAACGTTGTGTTGTGTATTATTGCGCACCTACGATTAGAAAACATGAAATTTGAATCTATTCGACCATAAAATGATACGATTTAGGGTGTGTAAGAAACAGATTACTGTACTCGTGTCTGTCAGATACCATTTATCTTACAACTCGTTGTTTCGAAACGTATTTAACTCGCTTTCGCTCGTTAAATACGTTTTGAAACAACTCGTTGTAAGATAAATGGTATCTGACAGACACTCGTTTAGTCATCTCTGTGTATGACATGACGTAATCGGAATGATGAGGGTGCCCTTCATGAAGCTCATCTGTACGGTTGACATGTCGTACTTTTTAATTCTTTCCGTTATCTTATTTGTCAGTCGCATGTTCAAAACTCGGCATTTTGGAATGTCTGTCCTTTTTAATGAATGTTGTGGGTCACTCGCAAAACGCTCGGGACTTATCGTTTATTCACTCGGGACAGATAATTCGTTACTCCCCGTACCTACAGTATTTGGCCATAAGTGAGTCATCATTAGTGAAATTCCCATAGACTTGCATGTTAATTAACTCTTGCAAGAATAATTTTCATAAATTTAGTTTCGGTCGAATTGCTTTCAATACTTATATACTAGCTGGGAAATCATATCAGCTTCCGATGATTATTAAGTATTCTCAGTTGAGTATTCTCAGTCACGATCTGTATAGTACCACATGACTGACATAACAGTGACGCCATATTTGAGTATTTGAAACGCAACCAGATCGAGTGAGTGAGGCAACTGGATAGACGTGAGTGTCTGCTTATTTGGCATCCTGTATTAAATAACATCATGACAAAACAGCGGCATTGAATATTATTTCAGCACATTCAGTCAATATTACGTGTAAAAAATCGGCTTCTTCACTCACTTTTGTGGACTATCGGGCCATGGTGTTTTGCGAGACCCTAAACAACAATAATGATTTAAATATCTTTTTAAAACCCATATTGAATTGATAAAATGCATAACTGTCGGCTAATATACGGTTATATGGGCTATTGTCATTATGATATATGTTGGTGTAAGAATTGTTAATCAAGAATAATGATTAATAACCGCAGCGTATATATGTGCCACAGTGATGGTAATGGAGCGCTTTCTGTTCCATCAGTCGATTCCCATTTTGGTATGAACCACACTTACGGTGCATTCTGGGATACTTGTCAAAATGGAGGAGGTTGTTGAGGAGGAAGAAGGCAAACACATTCAGCTTACCTGACCGCTCATGACGCTGTATTCACAAAAAAGCAAAGACGGCATTCAGTGACACTGTTTAAATATTTACACGATAATGTTTTTGAAAATGGTACACAGCAATTCATTGTTGACACAGCGGGACGAAGTGTCATGGTGGTTGACAAATCTCTACAGAATGTCAGTTTACGTCTTTGGATACAACAGTGATGTAATCCTTCACACATGAGGCTGATGGTCTCTGGTAAGACTTCTACTTAGCAATTGATGATTGCTCATTCTGAACCCTTTTACAGCCTGTTCTCTGCCTCAATGCATCAAACAAAACGAAAACTGACTCTTTCTGCGACATCTACAAATCTTTTACAAAGTTTACACTTTTCAGTAAGTTCGAATGTAGGACCTCTGTATTCTGGAGCAAATAATCATGGAAATAGTAATGCCCAATGCAATTTGCATTCAATAGCCTGTGAGGTAATGGTCTTAATTCTTCATATGATGATGATACAACCACACTCTAGGGTATACATGTGTCAAACATACTGCCTACCACTTCAATGTCACTTCCATTTGGCTTCTAGAATTATTTTATTTGTGATATAACATACTTCATCATGACACTGACCATAACACTCATCTAAATCTCAAGGCATTGTTCAACACAGTCTAGTGTAATTTGGACTATTCATACAAATAGTCACTTTTCAATGAAGAAAACGTTCTATTTAAGGAACCATAATAAACTATGTGTTGATGCATTGTAACTGTTATATCATTTATCATGATATGTAAGAACAGTTATTATTCAGGCTCGTCAGGAAGTAAGACCCATTATGCATGCTAACCAAGTAGAATTTGATGAGTAACATTACACAGTTAATGTAAAGAAGGTCTATGATATAATAATGGATGTAATATGGGACATTGACGATACATAAGCAACAAGTCAAATAGTGATAGTTGTCACCAATACAAGGATTTACTATCAGCGGTATCTGATATGAGTTGTGACATTGTATTTGGCAATAGAGATACACGGCTGACAAGTCAAATATTGCTAGTTGTCACCAATACAATGTTGACTTTCAATAGTGTCAAGTATGTGTTATCTACAAAGTGTTTCACTGCCATGCTTGGGATTTTCTGAAGATAGGGTTTGCCAGACTTTCAATAGTTACCTTGTTGACTTGATACTGAATAGTAAACATAGTAAAGACATGAGCGACACTCATCTATTGCAATACATCTCAGTAGTCCTCAGATAACAATACTCCTGTAATAATCTTCTATAGCTTCAACACATTTCTGTAGTTTCAATACTTCATCCTAAGACGGGGTAGCTTAGTGGTTAAAGCATTCTCTTATCACAACAAAGATCTGGGTTCGATTTCCAACATGGGTTTAGTGTATAAAGCCCTTTCTAGTTTTCCCAGCCATATTGCACTCATGCTTTCATTTACTCATTCACTTCATGCACCTGTTATTTGTAGCTGATATGATAACATGAACCTATAGTTCATGAGTTGGAATCTGTAAGTTGTGAAGTAATTTGCACTTTTTATAGAACATGATGTATGCCCCTAATACAAACATGATAGCTTTTCAATTTCAACATATTGAACATATTAAAAAATGAAATTAACATTTTTCAACAACTTCTTCATCCTTATTATTCTTATGTTTTTTCCCATAGGAAATGTCCAGTGGTGAAAACATTTCAAGCATGTCCGAGAGGGATTCCAGTGATGAGAGTAGACAGAACAGGAACTGTCTTGGCCACCAGTTTGATCCAGGTTCAACCTCTAAACCCATCACCAGCCACATGAATCTTGTGGATGGATCACAGATGCCGTTGGGTGTTAATCTTTCCGACAACCACCAAGCAAATGGATATGGGGGCACATCAACATCCAGTGAAGATGATGATTTTGTTGATGCAGTGGTCAATGGCAGTATGTGCAATGGGTCAGCTCATGAGAATGAAAACCACTTGAACAGCAGGGCGTTAACCATGCGAACAAGTGAACCAAATTCTCAGATCGAAGAACCAACAGATCATCGCTGTCCAAATGGAAGAGAAGGACATGGTTATATGTCTGCATCCAGCAGTGCTGTGAATTCTCAATTTGCAACATTTAATGGCAGGGATCGGAGTGTTAGACCTAAACAACCAATACCACCCAGGTCGAAATCTATTCAGAAAAACAAGAAAACATGTGACCGAGAAACTTTGCAGAGTTTGACAGAGCCTACTTTCCAAAGTGGACACTCTCCAAGTCAGTCTATGCAGCAACATAATGTAAATCTGCATAATACCCATGTACGACCTCCTGTGTGTGTGCTTTCTGATGTAAATAATCAACAAAATGGTTTTGTGGGTCATCCCACGTCTAATGGTGTTTATCACTCTCCTTACATGCCCTGTACCAGACCTCAGAGTCTTATGTTATCTCACATACACATGGAAAATAGACCAGCTAATATTTGTGGCAATGGTGAGTTAGATGAACCTGATTTGTTTGATATGGTTGATGAAGGTGCCGTCTGTGATTATGATAAACTGCTTTTAAGTGATGAACATAATTCTCCTTCCGAGAATAGTCGGAGTGAGGAGGCAGACAGTGAGTTTTTGAATTACCACTTTCCCAACACCCAGCTTGATGGCATGGCTGTGATTTGCAGTCATTGTAACCATGGTAACGTAAATGAACATTGCCAGTATTCCGCAGACTCCCAACATGGAGAGTCATTCCGTAATTCTCAAGGACAGTGTATGTGCAGGTCCAATCTTTCAGCGTCAGGTGAAGTAGATTTTGACAATAGTGATTACTTGAAGCTGTTTGATGAGATGGATGGCGAACACTATTCAGCAGAAGATGAGGTACAAGAGACCTGGGAGGATACAGGGGACTTCATTGACACAGATCTTCCAGCACAAACTCCGGGAATGATGTCAAGTTCGGCTGGGTCCTCCTCCTCTTCTCTCAGTGAGGATGAAGGGGCTGGAGGTCTCTTTCATGAAGTAAGTCGAGATTCAAAAGAAAATGACCTCTCGAGCAACAGACTCAATTCAGACATTGTTCCATGTGGAATCCTTGGTGACAGGATGTATGGACACCTAAAGAAGGGAGGCAATTTGTGTTTTCCAGGTGATGCTTCCATGTGTCCTTCCCAGAGATTGGTCATGGAGTCCAGTCATCACCATGGTGTCAACAGTAGTGAGAGTGAGAATGGAGATGATTATCAAGTGGACATGGTTCTTAACTGTGATGCAAATGAAGTGTTTTATGAGGAAGGAGCAGCAAGCTTAGAAGCTGCTGCAAGTTCTCGGAACATTCGGCCAGCAGGACTTCATAATGGTGCTGGAAGTGGGTACTGTGTTCATAATGACGGTGTGAGACTTGAGCCCAAAGGGCCTGTCCATCATGAGCATGTTGGCTGCGACACAGCTGATTGTGGTATTGGGCCATCGCTGTTGTGTCAGGATCAAACTGTTCCCCCAGGTTCAGCTAGCTGCCAGCATAGTTCCTGCCCCATGGCTGTCCCGGCTGGCTTGTGCGTGAACAACCTGAGTAGCAGCTCGCCTCCAAATGTTGAACCATCCGCAGGGGGTTACCATGTTCCAGTGTCAAACTTCCAAAATGACAAAAGTAACAATCACCAAAAAGTGTTTATAAAATTTAATGTTACAAACCAAGAACGGAAAAGAACAATAGGGCACATAAAGAGAGATTCCTCTCACCTCGGTTCCCCCATTTCCCCGGATGATCCGGAGTCTAGTCAGATGGAAGATGAGGATGGGGACCTCCCTATGGATCAGTATGAGTACCAGCATGTACCAGAATATTTCCAGGAGCAGATGCTGATGATTGCTGCAGAGATGGCCAGGACTCGAGTCAATGCTGAGTTAGTATTTACTTTCTTAAATTTGCTAATCTGTAATACAATGTGTGGCTGAGTGATAGTATATGACTAGTGTAGTACCTATGCAGCATGGATTGTTGCTTGTGCTATCAACCATTGGTTGCCAGGTGTACACTTGATTATTTACCAGGGCATGGCTGCTACAATCTGTTATGCAGAATCACTTCTCTCTGGCACGCTTTTTTGCCTCAATAATAATAGCTCACGGTTTTCCATCTCGGTACCTTTACCATTTTGGTTCACCAAAGTGGTAACTTTCTGAGACTTCCATCACTCTGTGCTTTCCTTCCTTATCGTATTTAGATTGTGGTGACTGACATGCTGTGACATAACTGAAATAATGCTGAATACAGCATTTAAACCAAACTGATTCACTGGTTTATTACCAGGTTAACACGCCCCGGGAACGTCCGGGTAAGACTGAACCTTCAGTAACCCATGCTTGTCATAAGACGCGACTAACAGGATCGGGTGGTCAGGCTCGCTGGCTTGGTTGACACATGTCATAAGTTTGCAATTGGCGCAGGCTCGGCGATGCTCATGTTGTTGATCACTGGAATGTCAGACTGATCACTGAATATTTACAGACCGACCGTTATATAGCTGGAATATTGCCAGTCAGAGACGTAACGTGTACACGAGATGGCCTATCGTCTCGTGTACGCGAGACGGGTGTGCTCCGCGGTACTAACTGAAGCGCTTGACCCTAATTAATGCAATCACCGTGGACCAACTCGATCGGGTGCGAACACGGCGCGGGGGTGATTATAGCGTCCCGTAACATCTTGACAGTCGTGAACAAACAGGTTTCTCGACCTCGGATTTCACGCTTTCGTCATTTGCTCTTCTACATTTATCTGAGAATGAGTGCTGAAGAAATTACAAAGGATGAACCTTGTATTCAGCAAGTCGTACAGTTTATTGTTTTATTCTGTCTAACATTAGTTTGATCACTCAATCGATATTTACACCTGACCGAGAGATTCTAGGCTACGAACACGCCACTGCACGGCCCTCGGCTGTCTTGGCTCCGGCATTACAGCTACAAGACACAAAAATTCAGAATTTAATTAAAATGCAGTGCCGTTTCTTGCACATTTGACGACTGCTCATGGTGTTGACACGTCAGGCTATTGGATGTTCGAGAATATAATTATCATGATTGCTGAGTGTTGTGTAAAACTAAACTCAATCACTCACCCAGGTTAACACATGTTATTGTTAACTGCCTTGACACTTTGAATATGGTTGACTATGGTATAAACCAACATTTAGTAACTCTGACCCTTGAAGCATGTTGTAACATTTTTTAATGGTAAATTTTTCCATATTTGAACAAGGTTGTACACAGTGTTACTGTGACAGCAATTACTCAAATAAGATGAAAGAGTATATCAAATTGATTTGTTACATATATTGATGGATTTATACTACCTTATTTGTGATATTGATCTTCATATGTGCATTAACAATATTTTTCTACCAGTTCGGCTTTGGATATTGCCGATCCATTAGCCTGTAAGCTCAACTGAAATTTAGTTGGGTTTTGGCTATTTCACACACTGCTTATTCTGTTGAGGGAAATAACTAAAATACTGCTAAATATTTCCAGACATTTTAAACACAACTGATGCTCTCACCATTCCTTGTCAGATTCATGGTTAATGATGAGCATGTCAGGGATAGAAATGTATTTTATTTCAAGGGTGCCACAGAGCACTCACAAGGCTGTTTAGGCATGACCTTTGGAATGTGTGTGCCACCACATGTTGACTGAATAGTTGAAATAAACAGTCATCAGTTGGTCAAGGACTGTGGATTCCCATGTCCAGCAAGTCAGGGTTTATTCCGCTTTAACCAGTATTCTAGCAATACTGCGGTGGGGAATCGAACCCGTGCATTTGGCATGACAAGCAAATGCTTTTACCACTAGGCTACCCCACCACCCCTCTGAATTCTACCATGTCAAAGAGATTTTGTCATACCAGTACAGCGGCCTACTTTACACGCTTGTGTGTTTTTTAAGGTCCGGTGTCTCGGAGCCCATCTACGAGGACATTGAACCACTGCCTGAGACTGAGGAAGCTGGCAACATGGCTGCCTCGGGTCTTCCAGCAGATGCTCAACAGAAAGAAGCAGCCTACAGAAAGGTTAGCAAACACTAGAGGAGATGACCCTGCCAAATGGATTATACACTTACATTGCTTAGCTTATGATGTCATCAAAATTATGCTCAACTTACAGACATTTGTGAAGGTTTGCTTGAATCTTGAATCCTTTGCTTGAAGGAGCGTTATCAATGAAGTTACCCGTGATGGTCCAGGTTAGAATCTTGATCTTCAGATACCCATGCTTGTCGTAAGAGGCGACTAACGGGATCAGGCTCACTGACTTGGTTGACATGTCATCGGTTCGCAATTGCATAGATCAACGCTCATGCTGTTGATCACTGGATTGTCTGGTCCAGACTCGATTATTTACATATAGCTGAAATATTGCAGAGTGCGACGTAAACTAAACTCACTCACTCACTCACTCACTCACTATCAATGAAGGTTGTGTTTGAGAGGATCCTGATAGGCACTGCTCTTCCAAAAAGGGAAACAGCTTTATCAGCCGTATTCATCTTGGGAAAAGGAAATATCTTGAATTTTATTTCCATTCATGTTTGGGCATTTTTCATTATGAGCACATAAGGGGATGCACCTTGTTTTGGGGTCCTTAATTTGTTGTTTATGGACACTTATGCTGTGCCTTAATCACTGTTTGCCCTGTGTATTCCTCATCACAACTTTGGCATATTATGACATATAATACATTTTTGCGGAGCAGTCCAGTTTACAGTGTACATTTTCAACATTTGCTCAATTTTCTTTGACAATTGGCATAATTATTACTTTTGGCATGTGCTGTTATCAATTTTGCTTCTATGTTGAAATGTAGATTGGCCTTGTACTTATGCAATTAATGTATCTTTAAGCAATGAAAAACAAGAGATTCTATGTCAGTACAACCAGGATGTTTGTTGTACAGAAACTGGAGACTGTGTGTTATTGAACTCCTATATTTGTACCCAATCTTGTTCTTGAGGGAATGTCGCATCAGTTCTATAAGATTTCAGGTGAGGTACAGTGGGTTGTAGTTCTTGACTTTGATAATATGCTTGAGAAAACAAAGATCAAACACTGAAATATGTTCCCTCCATGTCCTGCGGTGCTGTATCATCTCTAGGGGTGGTGGGGTAGCCTAGTGGTTAAAGTGTTTGCTCGTCACACCAAAGACCAGGGTTCGATTCCCCACATTGGGACAGTATGTGAAGCCCATTTCTGGTGTCCCCCGCCTTGATATTGCTGGAATATTGCAAAAAGCAGCGTAAAACTAAACTCACCCTCTTACAGCCTCCCTTAAGATTGACTCCGAGAAGGAAGGACCGACGATCCAGCAGTGGCGGCAAGTCGGGTATCGAGAAAGTCATGATATGGAATGAGTACGAGGCCTATGTGCTTCAGGTGAAGCAGATAGCTACATCAGCTTGTGGGCCCACTGCAGTTCTCAATGTCTTGGTGAGAAGAATCTCTTGATTTTCTTGAACACTCATAGGAAATTGGTTGTGGTTCATTGCCAATTATTGTGTGTATTTATAAGGAAAGCTGCAAAAACAACAATATATCACCTGATATTTATCAGATAACTGATATACCATAGTTCATTTCTTATCTTGCTATGCTTCTTAAATGTCTGAGCATTATGGAATGGATTTGCTAAATTTAGATTTCCTATCATGTGTTATGTTTAGTTGCTGCATGGGGATGGCAGCTAGTGGGTCCACCTTTAACGTTAATGTTTATTAACCTGGATATGTCCAATGCACACTCCCATCTATATGGCTTTATTATGGGAAAAGATATGAACCTTAAACTCACAGGCTGACAAATTATCAGATGAATCTGATGTAAATTTGTTTGAAGTACATTTTATGGTTTTAATACCTGTACAAAATGAAATATTTGACCCCACATCTGACCAAATCTACTTCAAGTAGAATGAAGTAAGTGTGTGATACAAGTAGTGTTTGAGTTCTGATTTGTTACCATGGTTACTAAGACTTGTCAAATATTATATATTTATTGGTGGTGTAAGTTAAGTAAGTCTAAGTCATGTAGTTAGGTGGTGCTGGTTTACCCCAGAGATGGCTGGGTGAGATTCAGCTAGGTTGGCACAATATGTGTTGCCAATGGCCTGATGCTGGTCTGGAATACAGATACTGCTTGTGTTTTGTAGCTGTTAGGCTAAGAGTGTATTAAGTTGACTGTTTCGAACTGTGTCAAAATGCACTTTCAGAAAGCATTTGATGTGTGTGTTGACAAGGATGAAGTGTGTAAGAAGATCCACACCAACCTGAGAGATGAGCTCGGCTCCATTCCTAAGTACTTGTTCTCAAGGGCAGTGGCAGGTAAGGATTCTTCTTGGTCTAAATTTGGTTTAACCAGACTTTTCCTGTTTATCCTATTAACTTTTGGGAGGTGATGGTGTACAAAGGTGCCTACTATTATAATCATTAAAATATTTTGAAACAAAATTATGCTGTCAGACATGTTACAGATGATTGCCTATTTTAACCCCAAATGCCTGACATATTTCGAATTGCCTCAGTTTAGACTTGCCATCTCTTGTCTTATTCTGCAACTCATAAAGGCAAATTAGATACAGTACTAATACAGCTGCTGAAGGTAATTCATACCTGGATGGGGGAGGTGGGGCAGCTCAAAGGTTAAAGTGTTAGCTCACACCAAAGGTCTGGGTTTGATTCCCCACATCAGTAAAATGTGTGAAGCTCATTTCTGGTGACCCCCACCATGATATTGCTTGAATATTGCTAAAAGCTGCATAAAACCTAACTCACTAACTCACTCAATCAATCAATCTTTATTCATACTGAAGGCCACAGGCCCATAGTATACAAGAACATAGTACACAATATCATAGAAAAGAATAAAAATAGTCAAATCACAATATGTCATATCGCATCAAAATGTATCACATCATATAACATCGCATTACACATACTTTGTCGTATCACATCATATCATAACACCCCATATTACATCATGTCATATCATACCATGTATCATATCATATCTTATCATATCGCACCACATCATACCATATCGTAACAAATAACAATATGAGTACATACATTCTATGAATTATTATGTTTATTTCTTAGAGACAATGCTTGATGGATAAAGGTTGACAACTTACGGATAAGAACATTGTCATCAGTACTCATTAACAAAGAAAATTTCACCCTATCAGGATATACAGAATAATATGAAGCAGGAGATCTTTAAGCACACTAACTCACTAACCATACTTGGATGGAGTCACTGACCCAGTACATGGCCAGGGTGTTAACAGAGAAAGGCTAGATGACACTCAGAATATGGCATATAGGGATATTGCTCTACAGGCTGTGGATGTATGGTTACTCTAGGGATCAGTAATAGTCCTGCAGTGACCTCTGGGGACTCAGGATAAGAACAGGCTCCCAGCATCCTATGATTGTAAAAGGCACCAGTGGATCAGGTTGTCATAATATCAACCACAGGACTGTTACTGCAGGGCTTGTTACAAATAGCTGATGCAGCATAACACAGTTTTTATTCACTGCATTATGCAGACAGAACACAATGCAAGACCAGACTTGCACATTGTCTGTTGCCAGGCACCACAGCGGAGGATTTGCTGCATGGTATAGAGAGTCTGACTCAGGGCAGGATACGTGGTCGTTTCTTCCACTTCTGGCCATCTAGGGATGTGCATCTGCTCAAATGGCTGGGGCAGTGGATGAAGAAAGGTCTGTACATCACAGCTGGAAGTTTACTCTATTTTACCAAGTTGTCATGGTCAGGTCTATGACAAATTTCAGCAGTTTTCCTTTTTGGAGGGTTTAAGTCATTGTGCATAAAAACAAACTTGGAGATATTGTTATAAGTCTGTTGAAATAAGTGTTCAGTCAGTGCACAAATGTTCAAGCTTTAAGATCTCATTCATCTAATTGGTAGATATTTTACTGTCTTTCAAAATTCTGCTACGGTCTAATTTTCATGTTAGGTTTGGAATCTAAACTTCATGTCAGAGTTCCTCGATTGTGGTAAAGATAGCTAATTAAATGAAAACCGACTTGCAGTATTTTGGTAATGAGGATGATGATGTGCTGTATTGTGAACCTAGGTGCTGTGCCTCTGGCAACTCTGAACCTGCAGAAGGGGGTGAAGGCAGGCTGGACTGTCCCCGATGCCTGGCACCATCAGATGGTCTATGGTGTCTGGCACCATCAGATGGTCTATGGTGTCAGTTCTAAAGGTATTGTCCACAGTGGAAAATGAGCTTTTTGGGGAAAATGAGTATAAATGATGCTTTTGTGAATGTGGTTGCTATAAATTTAGAATCTGTAGGTCAGTAATCTGTCTGGTTTTGTTTAGTTATAGTTACAGTTATAGTTTACATAATTTCTTTGGTTAGTTATCATACCATGTCACTCAATAACATTTAGATATTTATTTGTTTTCTGGATGCAACATAGCAGTTCACCTAGGCATCCCTTTATATACAGCATGATGTTGTCACATTAGTATTCATGATATGCACGTTTGCACCTTTCTTGGAGACTTGGAAATCTTGAGGACTTGCTAAAACCTCATTACTTTTCTATATACACACCTAAATACTCGCTGTGCAGAGTTGCCTCCCTTAGCTAACTTGATCATGTCATGGATGGAATCCAACAGTCATCTTGAATTAGGTACATACTGTTAGGTACATACTCATTACTCATACAATGTTTTGGGGGCCTAAAGGCAAATTCTATATGACTACTACTTGCTAATCTGATTGGTCAATCAGAGGTTTCAACCTTCAAGTTCTATAAGAGCCTCCGATTCAAAGACTGGTTTAAAGGACACATCACCAGAGAAGCAAACATTTATCTGAAGTCACATTGTATTTGATTATGAGTCATTGTTGGCAAGAATTTTATGATGATATAGAATTATTAAACGCCAAATAAGGAGGTGCAGTTCTTACAATATTCAAAATATGTGTGATTCTACTTTTACTACAGAAACTGATATGATAAAATGGGGAAATTTGAGTCAGTTACAGTATGTATTATGACATTATGTTTGTGCTCAAAGTTGATGTTTCATCATTTTCATGTAGGGTGTCGATGGACATATTTTGTTTCAAAAAGATAAGCAGTGGTGACTTGATTCAAATCTGCCCTGAACATTTTACAGTTAACTGTAAAATCATTTGTAGGATGAAGATGAAGTTTCTGCTTCTGAAATAAAGAGGTATTTTAAATTGTTATTTTAGAATATCACAGCAGGAGCTGGGCTTCCTGTTTGGTTTATCCCTGTCAAGTTTGCAGGTATCCTAACTCTCTGTCTAGCTGTGTATGGTGTCATTTGCCTGACCCTTACCTTTACATATGCAGGTGTGTACCTGACTAATCCCCTGGAGAACGTGGCAGAGGAAACTGTACTCGAACAACTGGTTAGTGATTCCATTCTTCTGGTTAGACGGCAGGATGTGGTGAACCGTTTCCGTGACAATACTGACCTCGGGGAGATAATTCGACATCCAGATGACAGATGGCGAACTCTAAATGTTCTTGGTATGAACTTTGACTTTGTATTTGTTGATGACCGTGTAAGAATGCTAAAATTCTTAGGTGCATTATTTAACTGTTTATATGGATGATTTTTGCCAATAGATTTGTTATTTTGTTGAATTTTAAGTCTTTTCTTAATTTGATAAATAGTAACTAAACTGTAAACCTGTATAATGATGTGTATTTGTGTAGATTATTATGAAACCAACATGTAAAGAATTTCATTCTTAAAATTAGGACTCTGGGCTGAAGTTTGCATGATATATTTTCACAGTAATAATATTAGAACTTGTGGGATTATTAGATTCAGGGGAACAGTTAAGCTTGTTGATTGATGTTTTCCCTCCTTCCAGGCCAAGTTGTGAATGTCCTGCGAGAGTCCAACATGCCGCACCCAGTGTACAGAGCTCAGTTGACCTCCCACATCTCCATCCCAGCTGTGTACAAGGCTGGCATCACCCTCTTTGTCCAGGGAGAGTCTGATCTGTGGCAGGAACTGATTGCAGCGTCCGACTTGCCTCCCCGAGACTCCCCGCAAACTTGACACCCCCTAACAGTCTCCACTACACTTCCGCTGTATTTCCACTTTTGAATTGAAGGAAATCACTGTTACTTGAAACACTTTCCAATTTCTTTGAGCACCTTTGAGAATTGAGTGAATTTGTCAAGATGTTTGCTTCGAGGAGGAGCATGCATTTGTGAAGAATGAGTCTTCAGTTGGTTAGAATAATCTGTGCCTGTGAGCAGTTATCATCGTTATAGTCCTTTCATAATGATATACTGATGCCATATTTTCCATATTAGTGTACAGGGGAAATTATGTCAATCTTGTTACAGTCAGATCTTAGTGCTCACTATCTCTGCACAAAGACCTTGGGACATACCTCAGCAAGTCATACAAATATTGTTAGCAAACATTGACCCACCAGTGGAATGAGTGAAGGCATGGGGGATCAGAATCTTCACCAAACATCCAAGTCCTGTACAAAAACATATGGAGATCGGGCCTTTTAGAAAACTGTGCCACATTTGAGGAATAACTTAACACTAGACTTACCAAATGAACTAAGTCCTTTTAAATCATTGCTGAAAACTCAATTTGTTCTACAAAGCCAACAAGGACTATTCAGAGCCATGTCTCAAAGTACTTTTGAGAAGTGTTGATTTTCATTTATTGATTGAACATTATCCAGTTTGAAAATAGCATTCTCAAGGTTATGTCATTTTCAAAATGGTGACTTCCATTTGAGACATTTTGAAAAATGTCAATTCAAAATTTGAAATCCAAACAAAAGGATATTATTGAATGTCTAATATATGGCCAAGACTGCATGGCAGTACACAACCTGTGCTATGAAAAGATTTTTGCATTCTAAATGTTTATCACGGTATGGATGTAATATGATGGAATCTATGATTTAGAAAACACATTCCACCAGTCACTTTCCCATTCTGGTAAGCAATACTCTGACAGGCTGTCCGGAGGTCGTTCAGATGTGACTTGTATAGGGATGTCCTCACAAGTTTGTTTAGCAGTAAGAACTGAGATCTGACCCTAATAGGATTGCAATTATGCAAGCTTTAGGCCGGTTCTATGCAGCTCCCCTTAAGCTGGCATTTTCGCCATTCTTTTAATCTGCTACAAATTACTCCCTGGTATGTGGTTGAAATAGTTACTGGCTGATTGGTGTTAGATATGAAATATGATATGTGCATAGTTACTTTCTGGTTATTCTTTTACCTGGGTATTTGATAAACCAGGTAAATTGAAACTGCCATAACATCTTACATGGGTGCCAAGAATCGGTCATCATATGATGCATGCTTTGATATTCAAGGGAGGTTTATCAAGGATGGAGAAATATAGAAAAATCATATGGTTAGTGATTACAATCAAAGGCTACGAAGCATAATGTTGCTGGTTAGGAGGCTTCAGCTGATCTCAGCCTTACAGAGAAGTGTGTCCTTAGTGGTACACATCCTGAAGTGTGGCAGAAACAAACCTTTGTGAACGGAGCAAATAATTCTTTGATAGCTTATCAGTTACCCTGAATGTTCTGTCAATGTACTATCAATAAATTGACAACTCTGTAACCTTATTAATCTGGAACCTGTTATTATCAACCTCATCAGGGCCACAGGGAATAAAGTGTATGTTTCAGTTTTGATATTTTAAGATTCTGGTTCAGTTAGGTTCCTCTGCTTTTGTGGTACTATCAGTGGAATATTGAGGGTCTGAAAAGAGGTTGAACGAAAAGTTTCAGGTGAAATTGTTAAATATTGATACCTGCTCTTGACACTCCACAAATAATGTTCGACTGGAAGACAATGAATTTTCTGTTGATTTTTAATAAAACTTGCTCATGTTTATGTAGGGTTGGAAGCGGTTGGATAAACTGTGTGGAAAGAAGCTAATTGTAAACACTTTGTTTCGTATTTATTTTGAAGGGACCTAATTGTGAATATATACCGGTAGCCCTGTAAAACAAGTATGGTTCTGCTATTTATATGAGTAACAAACTAACAGATGTGTTATCTTACTTAGATAGTAAGCGTGTTGATTTATGTATAACAAATTTGATACTCATTTTGCATTTGAGGCCCGTATGTTTATCTTATCCAAACTTAAATAAGCATTAGTGATGTCTTCACAGAAATCATGGAAAATTATCCGATTGTTGGAGACAAAATGTGAGCAATCTTCAGAGGAGGAAAACAGAGCCTATTTTATGTGTACATTTGACTTGTGCTACCAGTGTGAATGAGACTTGTGAATGTGCTGTTGTATATATTGTTTTACCTTGTTACACTGTAGACCTGCTGTTGATCATGCTGCATCCTCCACGCTGTGCTGGGGCTGACCATAATACACTTCTCTCTCACAGCCACCATTTGACCACTGTCACATGGAGACAAGAACACCTGACAACTCACCATCCTCTCGTTCTATTACTCACATTATTCTTCAGGCAAAAATTTTACACAAATCAGTTTACGTTTTTCTCTGATTTTTATGATTTTTTCATATCTTAATTTCCATGATGGCATCACTGAAACCTTGACATGAAAGCAGATCTGATCTGGGCCTGGTCCACAACAGTTTCTCCTTCAAGCAATCGATCTTAGTTGTTCCATGGTCCAAACTAATTGTTAAAAGATCGTGAGGAAAGTTTTAGCACTAAAGATCACTTTGTGGAATTGGGCTATTATGTTTTGGATTTTACCAAATTGAACTCTGAAAGGTGATAACAGTAGGGAGCCATCCATCATGTTAATATGAAATTCAGAGTCATAGCAAGAGAACCATTTACTTCAGGTGTTTCATGATGAGGTCCTGGTAATATTCTGGAGACATATTATATCAGTGTAACAGAAAACAGGCCAGTATTCTTTCTAGTGATCGAAAGGTCATATTCTAGCTGTGGTGAATAACACTCATATATTTATTATGAATTTATTTTCTCTGCTCACATATGACTATTGAATGTGTATTTAAAGATGAAACTAACTTTAATAATCATGGAATGAGTACTGAGTGGATGTGAATGTTTTTTATTTGCTTTATGGAAATGTAGATAAGGAAATATCCACTTACCGATTCTCAAGGATACAGTATGATGCCAAGTGTAAATGTGGTGATAGAATTCAATATGCTACTGTTAGCCTGTGTGGCCAAAGAAGATTGTTGCTTTTGTTTACACAATTATTTAGCATAATACTGGTATTATTTCTGTGTGCTTGCTCCTCCTGATCATTACTGGTCTGTTCTGAGACTGGCATTACTCTGTGAGAAAGTGGGTTTAATTCATCACAGATCACATAGATGTGTTAGAGATGTACATTTAACCCAGATACTTTGCTCTGTACATTGTGACATACATAATTAATGGAGTTGTTTGACCTGTGATTTTACTGTTTTGTCTGCAAAAACCAGGGGATTAGAATCAGCAGTATTCAAGTTTGTAGCATGGGTATTCGTAGTTTTGAAAGTAACTCTCCTTCACTAAGTACGCAAGGAGAGATGAAGAGATTATTTTGATAATAAACGTGAGGGTGCAAGGATAAGTATAATAATATTCTCAATGCAATTAGTCAGTTGTCATAAATGACGTCATCCATTATTTATGATGTTGGAAAACCTTGTCCTCTGAATGGCGACTTCAGTGACGATTCTCTGAAGGGAGAAACGGGTCACCCAGTCCTTGATTAAATATGAATCTCCAGCTTTCAGGAGGCCCCGTTTCATAAAGTATCGTGGCGCTACGACTGTCGTACCTCCTATGTTGTAACATAGACTTACGACAGTTGTAGCGCTACCATAGCTTTGTGACACGGGGGCCAGACTGACAACGTATGTTCATTGGTCTCTCAGTGGTAATCTACGACCACGTGTTCCCTGTAGCTTTTCTCACAAATGAACCTGTTACTGAACATATATCCTTCGATGTCCGCTCACCTAGTCTGTAAGGCAGTGAGTCGGCATATCGGCATGTATACTGGTGCCCAGGATCCTGGGTTTTTGCAGACAAGATATTAGTGTGTATGAACTGAGGAAATCGGCTACTGCAGTGGTGTGACCATCATGAAGGTGACAGCATCTTATGTACAGTGTGTGGTAGACAAGAAGCCGAGAGAATGTGTATAAATATTGGTGGCCTATTTCTTGTTGCTGGAGCAACATCCTCTTGCTTTCAACATAATATGTATTTAACATACATGTAAATGCATTATTTATGAATAAATGATTACCTGAATACTACTGTACGTGTTGCTAATATGTACTTACAATATCCAGGCCTACTCACAACCCTACCCGAATCACATGACCACGTCTGTGGCCTTGTGACGCGTGTTCAGCAAACCATACTTGATGTAAGAAGCCAACTTGTCCAAACAGGCATCTGACAGGATGAGGAGATCAAGCTATCTGCGTAGATTCGTGCTCATGATGTCAGTCTCTGGATTGGCTGGACCATACTCGATTATTTACAGACGGACGTCATGCAGTTTGAGTGCGGCGTGTAAACATCCAAAATAAACATCCGTGTTCAAGTAAACAGAGCATCTGGTTCGACCAACTTACCATCTATCCACGAAAGGTTCAAGATGCTACACCCTTGTTACCGTGCCTGGCGGGCAGCGTCAAGGCGATAAAACAAATGGTCGACCCTGGAAAACACAAAAAATGCATCTCTGGGAGTAAAGGGATATAAGTTAAAACATTCTAACCTGAAAATACAGTGCATTCCTTATAAATTGATCAAGCTTGTTCTTTCCAGAACTTAGTACTGTTGCAACTCAGTATTTGTACAGCCTGGCAGAGGTACTTCAAAGCAATGCACATGTAGAAACGACTTGACACTAACGGCCTCTGTTTATCATTTAACGTATCATTTACAATTCGAAAACCTGGGGCGAGATGAAAGTGGGGTCTGGATGGTTGTTTAAGATTTTCTATCTTACGTAAGGAAGGTAATGCATGTGTATGCTTGAAGTGCCAATACCCATCCAGAGAAACCTAAATACCATCTAGTTTTTCCCTGAATCTCGAATACAACTTTTAGACCAGTCTAAAAACGTATGGAAAAAGGCTGTTATTTTAGTTAAATTCCCGCAAAAGATATTGGGAAAATAATTTATAAAGGATTAAAAAATATTAGTAACATCTTTATTTAAATGCTGAATACTTTACACATTGTACCTCTGTGGGGAATCGAACCCGTCCTTCAGCAGGACGAGTGAACGTGTTTAACGCTAGGAAACCCCACCCCCGACGGGTGTGTGAAGCTTACCAAAGGTACCAGACTGAAACTAGAAAGTGTCTGTAAGAGTAGGCCGTGAAATCTCTTATCTAACGTCTCTTGGCAAGAGTAGGTCTTGTTATGGAACCACCGACCTACTTCATACAGGAAGCGGTCCACACAGTTCGACAACCCTGGAGGTAAATGGCATATATGTTACTAAGCTTAAAGGAGAATACGAACGAAAACAAAACTTTTGATATATTTAGGGGATAATTGTACTGTGTTTGACGAATTGGGGACGTATACCGGTGGTTATATAGCCGCAAATTTAGTTATATCGGCGACGCGTAAGCGTAAAACGAGTTGAATTAGAATGGGGAT